CTCAGCAGAATACCAGAGGTAAGTGACCTCATGTCGTTCACCATAGGCGTCTGACCTAAGGTTCGTTTGTCAGGCGAAATTCCAGCTGTAAGTGACCTCATGTTGTTCACTGCCGGCTGACCAGGAGGACCATTCAGTATTCCACCCTCGTTAATTGGGAATCCCCCCAAACTCAGCAGAATACCAGGGGTAAGTGATCTCATGTCGTTCACCATAGGCGTCTGACCTAAGGTTCGTTTGTCAGGCGAAATTCCGGCTGTAAGTGACCTCATGTTGTTCACTGCTGGCTGACCAGGAGGACCATTCACGGTGATGGATATAGTCCTTGGTGTGTTTTCATGGGTCCTGCCTCTTTCCCACTGATGCACAGCACATGGATCATGGATCACGGAGTCCTCCATGCACCGTTTCACCTACCTCCTAGGATGAAGGACACGGTGATGGATATTGTCCTTGGTGTGTTTTCATGGGTCCCGCCTCTTTCCCACTGATGCACAGCACATGGATCATGGATCGCAGAGTCCTCCATGCACCGTTTCACCTACCTCCTAGGATGAAGGACATGGTGATGGATATCATCCTTGGTGTGTTCCTCACCCTTGCTATCATTAGGCTTGCAACACATTGTAAGTGCCCTGTTTTATAGGCTCTTGCACCTGAACTGAAACGAAGCGCATCTGATTCATTTGTGTAGGTTCGGCATTCAACCCTGGTCAAAATGCACCCTCGAACGTGCTGGCCTAGGTCATTTCTAACTTGTAACATGAGACTCTTAATGTAGCCTAATTCATGGAAGAAACCATCCGAAGGTGAGCGCTTGTACATATTTAAAATGCGAGGGGTGACCGTGATAATGGTTCAGGTGCGTTTAGATGCGAGAACAGGACGCCAGCTGAAGGCGAGTCTAGGGAGGTATGTGTGGGAGCAGTCAGTCTTTGAGCCGTTTTATCTTTCCTTTGGCTCGGGGGGCGTGACGTCCCCGAAGGTGGACTGTTTCGTCATGTTCATTGCATTGTTGGCATCGTGCCGTGGTGGACTTTGCAATTCGGTGAAAAAATTGGTTCAGTGGGGCGTGGCCTGCGTATATTGTAGGTACCATCACCATCTAACTTCTACACCTCGTATCAGGTTCACTTGCTTGCCACGACTCCAATTGCACGACTGATGCAGACACGCGCCTTATTCGCAATGTTCATGTCTAGGAAGTGGTATGTCATCCTTGAACGTCACTAACAATGTTGAGCTGCAATCTCGATGTACCTCCCACTCTCAGTATGTGCGTGTTCACTTTCGCTTCCAGGCCAACCTGCAACTCATTCCTCCCACCCCCTCCAACCCAACCTCCTCAAAACCCCGCATGTTACAGTAACATGGCATGAGTCCCCTGCCAGCAGACAGCCCTCTGCCACCGCACGGCTATAGACGATACCGGAGTCTCACCAGCTCTATGACGATAGACGACGATAGATGATGATAGACGATAAGCGGCAACTGCTGGCTTAGATAAGCAGTCTGGACCACACATGATGACACATGACGACATAGGTCTAGAAGACCTATTTATGTTATCAAGATAGAAGGCAAGCCTCGTGTTGCCTCATGTACTGATAGAAGGGTACTGCATGGACCCTATTCATGATAGAAGCCCGCCTCATGGACGCTATCTCTGACTCATGTAGATAAGCAGATTAGAACCCGGCTTTAGGCTGAGCTTAGATACGAAGAGTAGCCTTATATAAGGTCGAAGATTAAAGTAGACGTTCCTTACTTTAATCTTACTAGGTTTACCCTTGAACTCCTTGTCCCACTAAAGCTACCTGCTCGACATTGACTCGTACCTTCAGTGACGCCTCTCACTGTCTGTAAACCCTGCTATCATCTCAGTGTAACCCCTCGTTAACCACCACGAGCTACGTTCGAGTACGCAACCTTTGCTTGTCTGTAAAGGCCGACGACTCTCAGCACTCGGTACCACTGTCGTGGTTGTCGCTGTTTAGATCATCCTAGTCGCACACGACCGTGTGTCGTAACACCGCGCCACCATTTCACTACTGGCCGTCCACGAACATTCGCTGCTGCCCCCACCTCCACTAATCCACTGTTCCGTGAAGCCCTTGCTGGCTGCCCTGCCCTCCATCTCTCCATTTTCGCCTCTCTGCAGGCATCCTGTATCCTGCAGGCACGTGTAAGACTGCAATATTTCTAATTCAACTTAGCATTCGAACTAACGGAGAAATCAGCTGTCACTCACATTGTCTTGGGGGCCCATTGCGATCATGTTTGGATATGTGATAGGTGATTTCAGACGTAGTGTAGTTGTTGTAGAATCGAATCTGATTGATAGCACACAGCACAGATCGTTACTTTTTCGTATGAATTTATTAATACATGTATTCTAATTTAGCACACAATGTTATTTATATATTCTAATTTTAAACTAAGTTTGAGCTGGCTTAAAGGCCTGGAAACACAGCTTCACTGACTGGACCGGGCCGTGCATTATGTAATACATAGCTAGATACATGGCTTGGCTAATTCCAGCTCCGCCCACGGCTAAAGCCGGTCACAAGCCAGAGCCGCAGCAACACTAGTCACCATCGCTCTCTTGCCGCAGATGACAGCGGCAGCACCCATTGTTTGTTACCTCAAGATGCGGTGTTTGGGTAATTTTTTAGACAAGAAGCCCGAGTAAAGTATGTCCCAACTTTTCTGTATTATGAGCATTGAAAGAATATGTCGTTAATTCAGGAGGCTTCTAAGGTAAATATCTAGTGCTACTCTTGTTTTTGAGTGCTCTGGTACTTACTTGCCCCATTAAATACATAGTTCCTTATAATGCCGAAGGTATGTCTTCAGTACAGTATTGATTTACGGAAATCATTCTGACCTACAGTGGTTAGAAGCATAAACATGTCACCAAGTCCAGTCGTCTGGGTCATCTAAAGTCTGGGACTTGCAGGATGAATGTTGACATGGTCCAATAGCTACCAAAGTTTGAAGATGTTTTTTTATTCGTGTATGGTAATGTATTGCGCTGGTCGACTCTTTCGCGGCAGCTCAAGTTGTACTGGACTCCAAAGTGCCAGCTTTGAAACTGCCACAGCGCTGAATGTAACGCCCCGTGCGTGACTTCGAACGCTAATTGACCCACCTGCGTCCACCATGTGTGATCCGAAAAACTTTAGTATCCCACTGGAGTGAGCCTTGAAGCATGATGGCTTGGGTGAGAGATTTCTCAATGTTTAAATCACAGGCAATGAGCGCCCCATGTTCGTCGTCACTTGCTATCAATTGTCCATGCATGTCTCACAATATAATATCATCAATGCATTCACGTCGCTCCACTGATGCTCCTCCAATAGAACACTATCCCTCATGTCCGATATTCCATGAGTCTGTGATCGTGCGTCACCCATCGAGAAAGGCACTCGAACTATGGGTGTAGTGTTTGCTGGTGACATCAAATAAATTGAACGAAATTAATTCCAACAGAAATTGGAAAAACAGTCAATTGGTGGGAGCTAAAGTAACAAAACATGTGTCTAGAGCTAGTAAAGTAAGTAGTCGAATTGAATTAGTCTAATGAGTGCTGGATTGCTCATGGCTGCGAAGGTATTGGAGACTGCAGTTGGGCGTGACTTGGGACAAGAAGATATTGGTGTATGCATGATTGGTACGAGAGGGTGCAGTTGGCAACAATGTCAGAGATGCTTGACACCTGAATTTTGTGGAGGGCAAAGGGGACGATGAACGGTATAGGTTCTGGGCATAGTTTGTCAGCGTGCCTCAGTGTTGACTCTCAGACACTCAGTTTTGCACTGGCAAATTGGTGACGAAAATCAGTACCTGTAAGAGAAGTCAGCAAAGGCAAGGATGGCAAAGTATACCACAATATGAACGGAAGAGTGCTTGTATTTGACGGCTCGTCGAAGGATGAGGTCAGTGGAAGCATTCTAAGTCAGGTGCTTCAAGCTGAAGGGAAGATATAAAATGGTCAGTTCGAACAATTGCAACCTGCATACACCGGCTTGAATGTGCAGGGTCTTAAGAAGTAGCGGACTGGTGCTGGCTCGTCTTATTGTCATCAGTGGCAGCAGCCGAGCAGTAGAATCAACCAATTAGCATCACAAAAAGTACTTTGTAGGCCTTGTACAAAAATTAAATTTGCTCACCCGAAGATTTCGGCATGCTAACGTGCGTCACTGGGAGGGAATTTAAGTTGTTTGCGAGGACAATTTGCACTGAAAGCTGAAATAAAAGCAATGCAGCCAACCTGGGAGTCAGATGTATGGGTGGCGAAGGACATGCCACAGTTCGAATTGGTTCAAGTTCACCATGGGCCATGATGTGCGTCGCCGATGCCGCGATAGCCGCAGTACCGGTCAGGATGGAACTTCTGCTAAGTTAACTCAACCACTGAGTGGGCTCGCACTTGTAGTTCAACCGCCTTTGAATTTGAATGCACTGACGCAGGCGTGACACATGATTGAGATTTGGTGCAACATAGAGTGGAATGACGTGTCAGTGTGGCACTGATGCGGCATTGTCCACTAGCTGGGTCGGCCAGACAGCCCGGACCACCGTTAGAGTTGATATGAACCCCTACAGAAGTTTACGAAGTACTATACAATAACCCTACGGGTATACCTGGACCCGACACTTTCCAAACGTAACCCTTTCTCTCAGCCAATATTAATATCATTTTTTAATTCTGAATCCATAATTTCCATTTCTCCCCCATCCTGTTGTGTCACGTGCCTCGCTTAGTCCTCCACCAGACTTTCTTCGTATTCTCTATTTTCAATGCCCTTCCATCCAACTCCTGTCCTGCAATATCCTGCTATCCTGTCAGTGTACGTCTCTTCTTTATCTATATGACAACTTACGCCTTCAGCAGGAACGTCGTGAACACCTTGTCTTTCTCTGTCATGTTTATGATTTCTTGCTCATCCGTCTGCCTCATTTTCATCACTAAGATGTTTCCCTCATGGCGCAATCCGTTATTTCCCGTCGGGTTGATGGATTCCAATAGAAACCTCACTGTGCTGATACCACAGATTCCTGGCTGTCAAAAAATCAATCAGGGTCTTGACAATGCTCTTGGTAACAAGAATTGGTTGCATTTTTTTCAACGTCTCGTGAGTGGGTGACTGGTTATGACCGGTAAAAACGACACAAACCGCATCACAGATGTCGTCATATGAGGGAGGTAACAAGGATTGCACTTGAGGCGAGTCTTGCGGCCGAATAGCAACGTTCCCTTGGTTATACCATTGAGACGACTCCTCGCTCTGGCGATAGCCACCTGCTTGGAACTTGTACGAATAAAAATGGGTAACATGAGGCGCACGTGCACGCGAGACCAACATGAGGTCATACAGAGAGGCACTTTTCAGTGCACTACGGACAGCGTCTGGCAACCGCTCATGCATAGTATTGAAAGTTAGCTAACGAGTTGAGGTTGACGCGGTTGCTTGCATAATAAGTATCCACAACAAGAAGGACAAAGCAAGAGAGGCACCAACGACCAGCAATCAGTCATACCCTTAGGATACAAAATGGCGTGTTGATACAATTCGAAATCATAGGATCGTGGGAGTGTGTGCTCCGGCAAGCATTCATTTTGCAGGAGACTGAGAAGAAATCTGGATAAGTCAACAGAGACGAGGTCAGCAGCGCGAACATTATATGCACAAACTGCATAAGCGCCACGTTTCTGGTTGGCAGGGGACATCTTGTCCTGCCATTCAGCGATGATGTTAATCTTGTCAGCCATCGTGCAAATTGTAGGGAACTGAAGATCATCCTCCACAAGAGGATCAGAATCAAAGTCACGTCGATGGGCCGCAGAGTCTTGTTGACGAGTAACAATGCGCTCCGTGTCAGAACGAACGGCATGGGACTTGGCCTTCGCAGTAGCGCACGTCTGTTTGCTCGATTGAAGAAAGGGGTCAGGGAGAACTTCCGGGTCAAACGACGTCGCACGTGCAACAAATGCTTGAAGACAAAAAGTAAATTACCGCAGTGGTCATTACATATGTGAACTCGCAGCAAATCACGAACATAATCATGGGTGTCAGACGCCTTGACAGACAGCGAATGAGACCGAGCCAAAATCATCGAAATGAGCACAGGTCATCATGGGAAAATGATCAATGACATGGCGGACAGTCGGGGCTGACACCGCCAAGAATACTCCAGCTGGATACTGCTGAGAAGCGGCGAACCGCGCTCTCGATACTCCTTGATACTCAAACAATCTCCGGAGCAGAAAGGAAGACACAACAGAAACACCTTCATCAGCAATATGGTAATCTGCAATAACAAGAGATGCAGGTGGAACGAGTTCATGCGCAGAGGGCACAGCAGACGACGAGGAGGCGGCCATATCAGGTCGATGTGAAGATGAAAGAACATGAGGCCCCTCAATGAAGGGGCGAAAGGAGAGCGCGAGAAATTGTGGTCCTAAACAAGCAAACCGAGCGGACCGCTAACGGGCCGGTAGCGATCATTGGACAGAGGATTTTTTTCGTTATACCTGTACCCTAGTCGGGTCCAGGGACAAGATGGTCCAAACGTTCATCCTGTATGAGTCCATACATGCAAACTACTACTTCATCGGGAATAAGATCCCAATAGCAACGTTGCATGATACAGAAAGGTAAGTTATTTTGTGGTGGTGTTGGCACTCCATTTTCACCTGGCCCTGCAAGTAGTATGCATCCAAGTCATCACCTTCCTCATCCCATGGTCAACGACCTTCGCCGCACTTAATGCAGTGGTTCACGTGGCAGATACGAAGATTTCCTGATTCACATGGGTTATGCAACGAAGTTGTCAACCAAAGATGTCACGGTAAAAGTAGAATCCTACTTGCCAGTGGTGACATATTGAACCTTCTAGTTAAAGGTTGCGGCCTGTGTGGCTTGCGTAACGCCGAATGCTAGCTTACCCACCTGCGTCCACCATAATGTGATTCGAACAACTTCAGGATCCCGCTGGAGTAAGCTTTGAGGCATGATGGCTTGGGTGAGAGATTCCCCGATGTTTAAATCACAGGCGATCAGTGTCGCGTGTTCATCACCAGTTACTATCAATTGTCGCGGGAAGATTGTGGGCTTCACTGCTGTCTTACGCTGCTCCACAACGTCAGGCGCCTTGCTGCTACCTGTTGATTTCAAACTTCGATTGCAAAAGTCGACAACAAAATACGTGTTCCACCTAGCGAGACGTGGAGGTTATTCCTAGAATAATGTTCTTAGCAGAGATCCCCCGTGGATTCGCTTCAGAGATGTTTATTTTTCTAGCGAGGTCCCTCACCCATGACTCCACCCTGCTATCGAGATGCAGAGCTTCTTGAGGTTAGGAAACGAATTTTCGGAGTAGCAGAACAGACTTTGCGAGGCATCGGGACAGCATGGGACCAAGTCAAATGAAGTATTTCAAGTTTTCGAGTGAAGTAATGCCCTGTGTGATAATTCGGCTCAGGTAAATTACAACTCTTGCGAAAGAAGAACATACAGACCACCGATCTCTTCTCATACCCACCCAACATCACTCATCAAACGCACCCATAGCCCGCACACCCTCCACTAATCGTCTATACTCCCTCAACAACTCCCCCACCTCTGACACCCTCAAATCATCCTCCGTACACTCCATAAACCGCTTGCTAGGCGCAGGAAGCCGTATAGAAATGGGAGAAGGCGCACGCGATGATGGCGGTGAGTCGAGGCGATTGTGATGCGAGGGGAGCAACAGTGAGGAGCGTGTGATTGGGGGTGATACCGTCTGCGACAGGATGAAGATCAATGATTATAGATAGAGCACGTCAGCGATGACTTAAATGCATGAATAAGCAAAGACAGACCTTGTGTACATCCGTTCCTGACAGCCTTGAAAGCCCTGGCACCTGCGCCAGCCGGTCCGTCAAGCTCTTCCTACTGAGCGAAGCAAGTTTCCTCTTCTTTTTTCGTGCTTTCCCGCTATTCCCGCTCATCATGCTCTCGAAGCTTCGAATGCTTTTTGCATCATGAGCATGTTCTTCTTCCTCACTTTCATCTTCATCTTCCTCATCGTCTTCCTCATCGTCGTCACTTGCTTCACTCTCGTCTTCCGTCCCTTCCACCCCCACATCTTCGTTCACATAAATCGAACGTATGGAACCCGGGCGCGAGGATACCGCCACGAGCTCCCTCTGCCCATCCTCCCCCTCCCCCTTCCCATCTCCCTTCCTCCCTGGCACCAAACTCGCAATCGAGAACCCGCTCTCTCGCCTCAACAGCCCCATGTTCCACCGCGCGTCACTGGTTTCTGTGGTGGGGGCAGACGTGAATGTCGAGGTTAGGGCAGACGCTGGAGTCGGAGCAGATGCTGAAGAGGGGGCAGATGCTGAGGTGGGGGCAGATGGTAAGAATGAGCGAAGTACGCCGAATGAGCTGTCAACGACACCGAAGATGACTTTATTAGCAGACCCTGCGATGGCGTCGACGCCTTGTTCTACGCGTCCGCGGAGGCCACCAGGTGCGTCTACAGGCGCATCTGGTGGAAGTGTAGTACGCACGATTGGAATTGGGGTGAGGTGCGCGGTGCTGTGGAAAGAAATATTAGCGCATCGAATGGGATGGATGTTAGAACACAGGAAAAAAGAAACAGCGGTTTCAAGTAGGCAATCTATGATCGAGAAGGTGAAACACCCACCTAACAATACCAATACCTCCAACACCCACAGCACCAAGATCCACATTCTCCAGAAATTCCACGACAGCCATCAAATTGATCAAACAGTACCGCTCCTCTCCACCAGCGAATGCAGCATTACGATAACGCTGCGTGAACAGAAGGTGCGAGACCAGGCGTACGGGGTTTGATTTGACAACGGCAAATATGAGAAGTGGGAGGAGGACATCGCCTGATACTGTCGTCGGCTCTTGGACATGGGAGACGGTCGGTTGGGGCGAGGAAGCGCGAGGTGGGATGGGGATGGAGGAGAGTACTGTAGTCGAATATGGCGCCTGTGGGAATGAGATACTAGGCGAGAGAGACGACTTCTCGGGTGACCCATGAGCTGCATCCCCATCGGGTTGTAGATCGGGTGAGGATAACGCATCGGGAGAAGCAACGAGCGCGACATCCGCAACTTCGATCGATTCTGGGGGTGGAGTCGCTTTTCGCTGCAGCGGCGCGTGTTCCTCATGCTGTTTTTCGCCATTGCTGAGTTTAATCGGAGGAAGGCGGGAAAGACCATCTTTCCGTAATTGAAATCACATATCACGCATGCATATGCGCATCTCACTCACCTACTATGAGCTTGTGCACTGCAACCAGCACAGCTGCTTTGTCACCGGGAGATCTACAGGAAACGTCTAGCTGAGATAACGCTGTGAAAATATCAATGAATCATCAGTACATGTGGATGGATTAATAAACTTACTCTCTCCACACGCTCGGACTACGACGTCGATCTCGGACCCAGCGCTGCCAACATCGACATCAAGATGCTCGAGCCCCAGATCAAGAACGTTGAGAGCTGCAATGTGGCTTGATAGTGCTTCGTCATGCGAGGCGTCATCAGAGTGAGATGGAAGGAATAGTCTAGTAGGAATCAGCACTGGAACAGGAAAACTGACTCTTCCATACTATTCACGTACCGATCATAAAACAAGGTAGATAGAGCCCCCTCCACCACCTCAACGAGCTCCTTAACCCTGGACTCTTTTTCTTCTTCCGGTGCCTCGCCTTTCTCTTTCTCAATTTCAGTTCGTACTTCTCCCTCCAATTCCAGATAGAACTCCTGGAATTTCTCGGCCAATTCTTCGGAGCGATCTTTCCCTGCATCGAGATTGACGGCCCATGTTCCGTGTCTACTTGGGCTTGCGCCAATATCGTGAAGTTTCTTCTTCCCAGCAGGACCTCTCACAAACGGAAGCAATGGGGACGCAAAGGATTGTACGCGCTCGATGATCATTGCTGGGACACCAGCCGTTTCAAGAGTCGATGTGAGCTCGGACTTAAGCGCAGCAAGAACGTCTCGCATCACATCATGTCGATATACCGCACGGGAAATACTGAATGCACTGATGAGAATGGGATGATCCTCTGGGGGAGGTATTGATGGCGTCTGTATGGGTGGGAGGGGAGCAGCGATTGTTGGGGGTGTGGTCATGGGCTTGGCGCCAAATAGAGAAGCGAAAGGCATGGCGAGGCGTGAAGGTTGGGTAGCAGGTGTGGGTCGCGGAGGTAAGGGTGGCTTTGGTGGACGAACTTGAATTGGGATGGAGGTGCTGTGTGCTGGGACTGCATATGAGGGGTATCCAGAGTCTGATGGGATTGAAGGGAGTGGGGGAAGAGATGAGTGTGTGATATCGGGTAACTTTGTGGGCGGGAGTGAGGAGCGAAACGTCAAATTTTCGCTGAATAAATATATTAGGTCAAATTGGTACTGAGTAACGAAAAAAAGGAGGAAACAAACCTAGATAAGTGTCCGCGCAAGCCAGAAAGTGTAACCACTTGTGTATTTTCTTTGGATAAAGGATTGCATATGAGCACATGATCTGACATGAAATCAGGCGTGATCTTCTCCTGTCCTGAGGATTTCTCAAGTGGGAGCAGTAGAGACGCCTACGAAACTTTTCTGTGAACTGAATGGTCACAATCAATGAAAACGCACCTTGCCCTTGGTAATGGCACCCCAAATTTCAGCCCACTCTTCTGTCTCTCCATCTTGGCTTAGTTTCTCTAACATTACCCACCCAAGGCATGCAGCATCAAGGCCAATGTCCTGTGCTGCGGCCTTGAGGTTCATCAGCTGGAGCTTGCTAGTCGCACCGCCCGTGAGTTGGTGCTGCGGAGAGACTGAAACTGGCGGTTGGGCAGTGGTGCTGGTTGTAGGCAATCTCTGTCTAGGCGTGTATGGCACATACTTTGGTATTGAAGAAGACTGAGCTTCCGGTGTAGGACTTGGGGAAATGGTAGATGGACTGGAAGAGAGGAGTGGATGTGTGGCTAGATTATCACGAGAGCTGATCCTGGCAATAGATGTGCCCTGGACGCGCCCTATCGAGACAGCATGAAAGTGTGCCTCTCGTCGTGTAGTCATTACGGTGTAACACTGGTTGATGCAGTTGAAGCTTGAAGTCTATCGAAATAGTGCGATTGTGATTTCTCTCACATGCGAACGTTGCTATGATATCCTGTCAAGACTCGACGATCTTCGAACAAAGCTCAAGTCTGCCTGTGAACGCTGGTAACTAGAAATCTGTTGACGTGGACAACCCTGTGACAGAAGTTGGAAAGAGTTGGTGGACAACCTTTAAGCACTGCCGTCACTACCCTCGCCGAAAATAGTAATTCAACCCCTATGGAAACATGCTAACCCGCAGACGATATTTTGCGCACAATTTACAAAATAGCATAGTATACAGTGACTATTTCGAATACGTTCAATTGTTCACCGTGGTGTTTGTCATTATCACTGAGATAGAGCCGAGGGGATTCACTCGATCCAACATTAGGTACCTATATACTGACATGCACATACATAGTGAGGGATCGGAGTGCGGTACTATTGCTATTGTGGATATTATCCCCTGCAGCTGCGTCCACCCCCTCGCTTGATGTGGGCAGCGTGGGGTTCTTTCAATGGCGGAGACGGCCGGTATAGAGGAATGTGTGTGGAGGCCGAGGACGAGGACGAGGAGTTGGATTCTGTGATAGAAGCGGTGACCTCTCTCTTGGACTTGGGGGAAGATTTGTTACGTCTCCAGGGTGCCTTACCCTTGATGCCACCCCCTGGTCGCACACATTTGACTTTCGAGGAGGATGGGGGTGAGTAGGATGCTGTGCTAGCAGACTCAGACCCGGACTTCGCGAGTTTCAATTGACTTGCTTGATAATTCGCTTCTGCGAGGAAAGTGACTGCAACATCCTCGAATGTGACCTTTGGAAAAGCGGAGGGTGTAGTAGGAATGGAGGAGTTGTTGGCGGTGAGGTAAATCCCCATGGTTAGACTTCTATATACCACCCACTGCAGAGTATCCGGTAAGCCGTGCAGTAGCATCCAAATAGCTTCTTCGTCTGAGAGACTGACGCCCATCTCAACAAACCGGCGACGCCCGTTTTCAAAGACACTGAGATAGCGTAAAGCGTCGGCGGCATCCTTCAGCTTCTCAGAGAAGAGCTGGTTGCGCAATTCGATTTGGGAAGTGATGTCGAGGCGGGCAAATCGTTGATGCAGAATGTCCCATTGCTGACGAGCTGTAATTTTCTCGCCAAGCATGTTCTGTATGACAGGTGAGAGTCTGCATTCGATAATGATCTTTGCCTGCGCATCGTCCTTGATCCATTCCTTCATTGCAGCGCATTCTGCACTCGTAATCGTTCCAGGAGTGGCTGCTGTGGGCATAGTGCTAGCGTACTCTGCGACGTCATTGGGATCTGTACCATTGGTACAATGATTCCATAACCCTTTACTAGCTAGAGCTAGCATCACAGCACGGCGCCAAGCCCGGTAAGAGTCTGCATCCGTCAATTCTGGAATATAATCATATTTTCCCATTTTGCGTGATTGTGTCTGATCGAGCAAAGAGATGAGAGCAGTTCGAGTTCGGAAGTTTGAATATTCAATGTTTTATGTTCAGCCGTTGGATAAATGTGACTCGGAGCGCGGAAAGTTCTGATTGGTACGAGTCAGTAAATGTAACCACTATGAACTGTAAGACTGACATACCTCAGCGAGATGTGGAACAACGCTGAAGCAGGTACGACGAGACTCCGTACAATAAGTATCGTGTGTTATGTAAGAATCAGTGGCTTATGATGCAAAGCCATGGTACTGTACAGTATGTGCCAATTAGGTATCGAAGGTGCAATGTAGAGAACGAAGCAAGGATACCAACAGGACCGAGTTGATGGAAAGCTCGGCGGATCTGGTGGGGTGCAGTTGAAGGACAACCATGAGCGCCTGGTTGTAGGCGGCCGCGCTGGAATGTGGCCCTTGTCTGTTATAGCCAGAAGTTCCATGATCGCCGACCAGCGATAGAGACACGTTTATTCTGTCTTGTCGATTAGTTACTCCCATACTAACCCATTCTGTCTAGTTCGTAAAACACAGCAAGCAGCCTATTGGCATCCCTATAAAAACTGCTTGGAACTGTTGAACAGTCGATTCTGCTGGCGCATCCGAGATCGGCAAACTAGAGAATTCAAACTGTCACATACTGAGGTCTACGTCCGTCAGATCAAAACCCAAATTTGAGAGAACAGCAGCACGTGTTGTAAATTTCTTGTCGTCTCTATAGTACATAGAATCAACCTTGCAGGTGATTCTGTACCTTGAAAGGTTGTCCTCTGAGTTGATAGGTTTCAGAGTCGGTTGACGATTCAAGTTGCTCTGTGTTGTACAATGTAAGTTCAGCGGTGCTACCAGTAATGCAAGGCGGATACATACACTGGCAAGAGTCTGCAGCATGGCTACTCTGTGTGGCGTGCAGAGCTTGGGTAGGATCGCCTGATTCTGTCATGATGAGGATAAGTATAAAGCAAACCGTATGGGACAAAGACTAGTTGAATGTGTATCGGAATATTGAAGGCTAAGACACACGAACTTGAAGATGGGCTACTAGAATGACCGGTATAAGGATCCCGCTGAGCGTATTCTTTGTCCTCGGCTGCAACCTTCCGGTCACCCGAAATATTTGCACTGCACCCTCGCTATACGAGTTGATCAGGATTCAGGCTATGCATGACAAAGTATTTCATCGAGAATGTAAGTGACATTGCATGATATTTGAATGTCATCCCTGCAGAGGAACGACCTAGTAGGCTAGTACTGTTCGTGTGTTTGATGAGAGTATCAAGTGTTCGAACTCCGTCAAGACTCGTGACGACTGTCACCTCGGGCTCGGCAATAAATCATGTTGAATAACAAAGGATAAAGGATTAGAATTTCACCTCTGCCACATATACTGGCACATGTCGCTTCGAAGTTCACCCTAATTGCTATTCTTACAAAGCCAGGTCCATGGTTTCCTGCTAGACATGATGGCTTCAGCAAGTGGTCTGCGACAACCGAAAGAAGCGAACAAAGGGAAAAATGGGTTTCGCGACAGACACATCCCTCTCCATTCTACTAACCCAGACGACTTGGCCATTAGCAGGCATCACTTTGCTCAGTACGTCCTTGCATCCAAGGGGTCTTATAATGGTCCTTCGTAAGTTTTTTTATTACTTTGTGTGTGCTGGTTTAGGTTTCTGAGATTCTGCAGGTTGAAAGACCTCAAAGCCACTCCAAACGAAGCCCCGAAAGAGACGCTAGAAATTGTCGACGATAAGATAAAGGAGCTGAGGAGGCAGCATCAAGAAGATATTGAACTACTTACCGCGTTCCAGGCTGCAGAATACCGCCAAGAGGTCCTTAGCAAGTATAGCTGCATCGATGATTCAATGATGGGGGTGGATGCGGAGGACCTAACCCAAGTTGATTATCTTGCTGCCCTTAATGTACGTCTTCCTTTATCTGCAACTTTGGACGAGTCTGACAATGCTCTAAAGGAGCTGTACAGCGATGCACGGCCTATGAAGCGCTTCCAGCATGATATGGACGATTCGTTGTCTCAAATCCGCTACAACTACCTCAAATCCCTTCTCCCGCTCCTCACTCAGCGTCGCCAGTTGAAATGGCGAGAAAAAAGTAATCGGAGACATCGTGATGCGCAGTTCCCGCAGAGTATCGAAGAGTATCACAATATCCCGGACCGTGACGTTCAGCTGCGAATCGCGAGGTTCCTCATGCGTTCGACTTCTGAGAGGGACAGGATGATGGATGAGTATGGATGGGCATGGAGAGCGGTAGAACCGCTGCTCTTAGCATTCAAGGCGAATGTAAGCTATATTTCAAAGTGCAAGAGCGCTGACGTTGATGTTGATGTTGATTTGCAGGAAGGGTTCAGGAACGAGATATCGGAGTCACTCAAAGATGCGCAAGCTTTGGATCCTCGGCGTCGACCAACAGCGACCCCTGGATGGCAGCTGTAACTTGCATATCTTTGCACTATCTTCGTATCACGATTAAGATGAGATTGCTTATGTCCATTCCATGTGCCTGATTCGTTCAATAAAAGCGGTCTTCTCGCTGAGATTGAAGGCTCACTTGGTGTAGCTCGAGACACGGGCGCTACGCACAAATGAAGATAGATGGATGACAGTTTATTTATCTTGATGCGACAAAGGGTTTTCGTATGTGTGCTCCCCAGTGGTGCAATGGATTTACGATATATCAATTCTCATGGGTCCCCGTGTTTGAAATTTCTTATCACAGCGTACGTGGAGCAGGTCAAACATTTTGTTCGGCCAAATGATCCTATCCTGGATTCCTGGATGAGATTAAGATATTGTTAGTATGGGAGAGCAGCATTGCCATCACGATATCAGAGATATGGTTATGAGTATCAAGGGTTCAGCTGCTTGCAGGGTTCCACCCTTTGTATTCGTGTGATAAGGCAGTGGCCGGTATGAACTAAAAAGAGTTTTTCTCTTCACTGTTCACGGATCAATAGATGAGCATAATTCTGCGAGATGCCCGTTCACGCAAGGAAGCGGAGCTTCGCAGATTTTTGGTTTTCATATTTTCAATTCTGCGGTCTTGGCTTAAATTTGTGGAAGAATTACTTTGGCAAATCAGATGCAGGGTCATTAGACTTCTCGACAGTTGGACAATATTAATGGACGCTTGAAGCGGCCTCATCCGAGTCATTATGAAGGACAAAGATACTCGGTGCATGTTTGTACATGTTTGAAAGCGAGGCTGCTACCAAATGCGGAACACCATCTTATCAGATTTGCCATGATCAAAGGATAATAGTAATTCCGTCGTATTGCGGTAAGGCTAGCCCTGTTCGGCCTGGTAGGGGGTGTTGTGTTTTATAACATAGCATGTGTCGCATTTCACTGATCAACACGGCAGATTAGTATTAACCCAATGCGCCACCGGCACTGTTGGGCATGATTGACCGGGTAGTGAATTCGTCCCTCTGCATTTGGCGTTCACTGATTTGGGTGGTTAAACGCAGACAAAGCCCCACTTTCACTACAGCTCTGTGAAAGCAAAAAACAGTAGCTGACTTGAAGAACTTTATAACCGTAGATACACGTTTCCAGAATGTTGGGATGTCCTTCAGCCACCAAGTGACTGGTGTCAGGGTGCAACTGAACTGCCAAATGCGATTGTCGTGCTATTAGAATGTGGATCTCAGAGGAACTGGTTTGAACCATGATTTTGATTGGTGAAAATGGCTGTGCACTGGTAGATACAGTTTCAGGACGGGCATTTTGTCCGATCATTTCGTGTCCCAGCCTCAGGCCTGCCTTCTGAACCGTGAAGATCAACGTCGGTGCCGGAGAGTGTACACGTCCCCCCTGAGGGATAGTGATAATATAATATAATATGTGCTCCTGGATGTCCTGGCGACAAACGATGGTTGACGCTGATCTGAGCTAGTTTACTGGTCCAAACAAAGCGGTGCTGCTTACATAACTTTGGGCGCAGTGCCACGAATGGCAGTACTCACTGCTGTGTTGGTTACATGTTGCATTTCGTGAACATCGATATCGATTACAACTTTGATTGCGCGGGTGCGGTCAGTTGACATGTCCGGATCGTTTATTCACAGCTCGCGTACAGATGGCCGGGATCAATCAGTCTTTCATCAGGATAAAAGCGTAACGACTAACATCTTTCACACTCAAAACTTGTTCCTACTGTGCTATATTGACCTTCAAGCTGTAGCTCCCCAGTCTCACTCTCCTTGTTCTTTGCTAGCTGGTCTTGTATTCTTCTCAACTCCCTTGTTTTCTCTATCAATTATCTAAATCCGTTTGTTGACCAACTCGGACATGCATCAATATTATCCAACTTCTCCTACTACTGGGTTGGGAGCTTTTACTACGCCTACGCGGCAGGGCTCATATGCAAGCAACTACAGTGCTGTAAGTGCAGTATCGTGGTGTCATGTCTCCCATCCTCAATACCAATCCCCCACCCCCAGTACAGCGCATCAATTCCCAGCCCCCAATACAGCGCCTCCATCCCCAATTCTGTACACACGCTCATCGCATCAATGAAAAACCTCCAATCCACACTCACTCTATGGTCCACTTCACGAGCCTCCCCTGACACAGTCAGCGACGCCTACATGCAATTTGGAGTCGGATTTAACGCTGTCGTATGGGCATTTGAAGGATCAGGGGTCGACACGTCGTGCGTCTTTACCATACCCCTCTCTCATCAATGAGGCTATACCTGAGGTAAACAGAGATCTGCATCAAATTCCCACACGACTGCGTGCTGTGCTCGAGACATGCTTAGGCGAAGACCCTTGCCCTGCTGCACTGGAAATGTATCAACCACGAATCCGACAGCAGCTATACGAACTACTGCAGGGTCTAAAAGCAAAGCAGGGTGCGTGGCGCAGCGCTGTAGCTGCGGGACTCTAGATTGACGTCCGTGCAGGCTATGCAGGGTGGCAATGATGATGAGAACAAATTATGCAGTCCATTCCCGACGATGATCTGCGATCTTGATGGTATTGTATCCTCTTTATATAAGTATTGATTACGACCTTGATTCGATTGAGTATCGTTATTTTGCTGATTGCTAACAGTTAATGTATTGCCTATATATTCAGTACAGAAGCGCAGAGTTTACATAGTCCTTTGCAATGACTTGCAGTAAATCACACGAATAGAAACGCACTACTGTACAACTTTCTTCCATTATCTTCATGCATTACTTGGGATATCAGGCGTCTGGAAGTTCTGCTACACACTCGATCTCAACGCTTGCGCCCAACGGAAGAGAAGCGACACCGACGCAAGTCCTCGCAGGCATCGCATTTTCATCGAAGAACTATGTGACAAGGTCAAGCGGTTTAGCTCAAGTTGAAATATCCGTTGAGAAAAGCAAGACGTACCGCCAAATACGCTCTGTTCATTTCAGAAAAATCCGCCAGATTGGTGAGATAGACGTTCGCTTTCACAACGTGTTGGAGTCCAGATCCTGCAGCGTGGAGAATCTTGCGAATACTTTCAAGGGCAGCAACCTGTAACATCGTGTGACCGATTGGTTCATGAGAGATAGGAAGTATGAGCTTACTGTTTGCCCCTGCACTCCGCCCTCAACGATCTGGAAATCGTTTGTACATCCGATGTTGCCTGAGACGTACACGAACCCTTTAGATATGATGGCCTGAGCTGAACGAATGTATCGTCATAATCCAGTCACATCCGATAACACAAGTACTCACAGAAGGTTTTGAGGGGAGGGACAGCGTCTAGAGTGTACACGACCTCTTTGGGCATGGTAGGATAGTAGGTTGAGGTGGGGGGCTAAAGATGATTCCTATAATAGAGGAGATAAATAGCTTCTAGCTTTTGTTAGCACAGCGGACCGAATAAGCTACTATCAGCGGCCTAATCCGCTGACAGCTGCATATGTCAGATGAATGGAAGATCGGAGCTGTCAAGGCTCCTTCGCGCTCGCGAAGCTCCTTCCATAAGAAAGGCCTCTGAGGCTGTGCAACGGTAAACTTTCCGGCGCGGTTGAGTTCATCCCACGTTATGTTTGTACATGCTTGATATATATATCGTACAGCCAATATGGGCGGTGCAATGAACATGCAGGAGGTCTGGAGGCGAGACTTTGAAGGGACTGTAGTATCAAGGTGAGTCGACAATGTAATCACACGCCCGCATGTATTTGGCACAAAGAACGCACTGAACCCGCAAGTCAAATGGTGATTTCATAGATCAACGGCGCTTGGTACAAACAAGTATGAGCCTCTATGAACTGGGTGACACCAGCCGGAGGAAGTGGGAAATACAGGCACTCCCGGAGCAGGCTAGTCCCCACTAGGCGTACTAGAAGTTGTTTTGGGGGGTATGCTATCTATAGCCCGAGACACCAATTAGGAAGGTTGCTGCCGCTGGTCGACGTTTATATCGTGATCGATCGTTCGCTAGTCGCTGGTAGCCGGAACCTAGCTAGACCAATAGACGGGAGACAGTTGTTTTTATCATAAATCGAAGTAGTCGGCTTTTCATGGATGCCGTGAAGCAGGCTTATGATAGCCTCCTTGTCGCGTGCGATGGAGTGGGAGACCCGGAGTAACTGTGTTCGCGATGGTGAATCCTAGTGGCGTAGCGTGAAGGTGACGATGTTATAGAAAAGGCCGGCGATTGACAATCACCGTCGAGCACCAGGACAGTCAGAATCCTGATCGGTCATTACTAGAGCATGCAGCTGCGGACGCAGAACCTTGAGAGGTAGAAGTGTGACTGGGAGGTTTAAGATATATAGCCTTTGGTCCGCACAGTGCATTGAACACCATAAAGGCTATAACCATGCGGAAAGGAAGTGACTTGGTGGAAAAAGCCAGATTGTATCGCTAAAATGGTCAGACGCTGATCATGATGCACCAGGGAAAATGGATGCTTCCCATCAGTAGAACCACATTGATGGAGATACCTACAGTCACATCGGGCTGCTCCTACGTCCCAATCCTGCAAAATTTTGAATCGGGGAAATCTAGCTCTGGCCAAAAGCGTAGGTGCGGAACGCTGAGGCCGGAGAAATCAATTGCCCTCCTTAGAGACAACCCCACGAGGCTCATTGTACTGTTCAGAAACACGATGAACGAATGGTGGTGCAAGAAGTTCGATAACATGACAACGCCTATAAAGTCTAGTTCCACTAGAACAAGCATTGCTGGACAAGCCCTTCACGATCCCAATCTGTACAATCGGACAGTTCAGATACGAGAAACGAAACTTTCGGCTGCACCCAGATTCCAGTGCAATTCAAATCTTTGATTGACCAGACGCTACCACGGTATGGCAGTGCAATGTGCTAAATGCACTGTCTCAGCTTCGTGAAACAGAGTGATCAAGGGGAATCAACGTACTGTACTACGTGGCTGTCATGGCAGGGTCATCGGAGCTGGAAGTTTACATAAGTTGGAATGATGTGATTGTTTGTCAGTGCTTGTACTATGGTTGAGTTAGCGAGGTTGCGGCACCACTCCAGGGACGAAGTCCGCAATTTCATTATGATCAACTCTATTCCCAGTCCAGGACATCATGCCATCAACATCCCCCAGGGTCGGTGACGAGCGCTGCAAAAATTATTTGACAGGACCCGAGCATTGCCAGCTGGACACGAGTCGAAGTTGGACATCAATTGGTTTCCTGTGAAGTGGCAAGAGGAAGTTAAATAGTCTGCATAATAACAGTAAGTGGATGCTCCCTATGCAGCACATGGCGAATACGCTCCATCACTTGGACGTCTAATGATACAGGCTAACAAATATAAAAATTGCCTAGCACACCCACCTCTGCGGTTTTGAGCAAGACACTCACAGGTCTTAGCACAAGTCGGATCCAACTTTATCCAATTGGCGGAAGTAGTGAGGTAGTCCATCATCCCAATCACTACACCCTTTCGAACGTTGGAATTCATCAAAGAATTTGCCATCGTAGTTGCGGTGATCCCCGATAGTTGACTCTGGGCCCCTGGGAGGACACTTCGTCTGCGGAAATCGAAGGATTGTTTGTACATTCACCCTCACTCACCATAATGTGTCATGGGACTCATGGCAGTTCATATTCATCCAAGAAGGTTCGGAATGCCGCAAAGCGTTCAATGCCACATCCGGCACTTCAGATGAGCAAGCCGAATCCCGATCCTAATGAGGCTTTCCCAGGAAGGGCATCACTGCGTATGAATGAGACCCTACGTAGGAACGGAACACACGTCGATGCAGCATTGTGCGACTCGTATTGACTTTGTTGCTGTTAGTCATGCTTCCCCTGTATCATGATCATCATCTCGTCGCTTAACATCAAAAAACTTGATAACTCCGCATATATACAGAACGCGTTGCGCCCATCCTACCGACATTGTGGGATATAGGTAAATGGTTGAGCTTCAATCAAGGCCAAAACCCAAACCGCGACACGAACCAGACTGTCGTTGAGCAGGGATGATCGATCTTCAACTGTTCCCGTGTTCCCTGCCAGTGGTGATGATTCTTCGATGCTAATTTACGTGGGTCAATTTGACGTTTGTTTGCACACGGGATTTGACCCGCTACGCGCCTCTGTTTTTATGAAAATTACAGGGAAAATAATTGTTTTTGGGCGTGCAGTGTTCATATCAACTCTCTGACATACGATGGACAGGTTGGCGGTGATGAGAGTGTTCATCCAGTTTCTAAATCATTGCTGACACATGCCATGTATCACCATCTGAGTCGTTGTCTTAGGTGTTGAGGACGACTCGATAAATAGAGCTGACGCCGTGTTCGATGAAGTGGGCAGTGGACACTGAAGCTGATGCCGTTGTCATCATAAACTAGATCATTGTCGATGGGGTCAATGACATCGACTGATTCGCTCACTAGTAGGACGTGACTCAGGTCGATCTGTACATACTATAAGATGGTCGATGAGATGCATAACTCAACTCAAGGCATCTGAACGAATAAGCTTCAGCAACAACACTAGCCTGGTGTGGCTGTAGAGTCGTCACCACATCATTTGATATAACTTTGGATGAAGACGCCATTGACGCTCAGAAAATAATCTGAATTAATTACAGGAATACGGCGAACGTTAGTGGACATCACAAGGTTATGTTCTCCCGGCCGTACGACTGTGCTGCAGATTAGTTTATGACTTAATCTCGTGGTTTCGGAGGTCGCCTCGTGGCCCTCGTCACCATGTGAGCGGAAAAATTACTCCAAGCAATTGTGCAGTAACACCTTAGGCTTGATTCTACAGCGAGACTGTCGGCACAGGGACAGGCACACAATCACCATCAAAGCCAGACTCATGGAAGATCAAGGGTCAAATTTACGATAGGGTCTGGGTACGTAAAAACACCTACTTACAGCTCGCCTAGTACAACTTCTGACTTGTCTCAACAACAGTCATCTTTGTGGTTACCCTGCGTCTCTCTCTTCCAAAGAATTCGAGATGTCGTATTAACGGTGAAGTAAATGTGAGGTTTAGCTATAGTACTAATGGCTTTGTTGCCAATTGGGGTTCGTGCGGTGCTACGGCTGGGCAGAACTATTCCGAGTTTGAGGTAAATCTGCTGGCAGAACTGGCAGAGCCTGACATGTGCGGGAGTTCTGCAACATTCAAGTTCTGCCGGAAAGGTTCTGCCATCTGCCTGGTAGTGCCAACTAGCTATCATATGGCGATGTGCCGGGATTAATCGTAGATATGTATCCATTTGAAGGTACGTCCACGCAACAGTAATTCCAGAGAACAATATAAAAACCAGCCGTCTTCCTACTATTGCCTTCAGAATTACCTGAACCCACACACGAGTCGCAAACAATGCATTTCTCCTTTGCAACTGTCCTCGCCGTCATCGCTACTTTAGTAGCATCAAGCTCTGCCATCCCCTCTAGGGTACGGACGAAAAGTCGGTTGTTAATAACACTGCTAAAAAAGGTGTGTTATTAACATGTTTTTAATATGTTATTAACAGGCACACGGCCATGGGGTGGTGACATGGTGCTAATAAGTCTGTCGACCCCCATGGTCTTGGTGGGTCGCATTCTAAATTTCGAATCTTCCGCTGTTCCTCGCAGATCACTTTCGTGAACAGCTCGAAGACGGACCAGCCGACTGCTATCTCGCAGCTTTATGCTTAGATCCACGTATGTTTACTCACTCTTCACCTTTGATGAATGCTTATTCTTATCGCACATGAGACAGGTTATGTTCGCGGTGCAATCCTGCATAGCAGCATAACCCGCTCTCTCTCAAAATCAAGATCCCTCGCATTCCTTCAACAGCTGTGCCCGATATCCTCACATCGCCAACTTACGTCCGAGTTCTCAAGTACCTCAAGATTGTGATTGAAGCCGAGTTCAAGTCCCAACACAACCCCGCTCTCAAAGGAAAAACAGCTGCCGATGTTCGCGAAGCTTTCGTGCACCAGTTCGAGCGCTATGTGAAAGGACAGTACCCGTTTGACACAATGATTACCAAAGGCCTTGTTTAATGAACGCATGGACAGTCTTATCAACGGCTTTGGTAGTGCTCAAGACAATTCTGCGGAGGATGATGCTGACCTAGAAGGCATGGACACCGAGTGGAGCGAAATTTGGTAGTACCTGTAGCGAAATTTTCGATTTTTGGGTCACGTGATAGTTAATAACATGTTAATAACATGCTAGTTAATAACCCTACGCAAGTACTTGATTATTAACATAGGTTAATAACACCACGCTGACTTATCGTCCGTACCCTAATCCCCTCTATCAGTGATACAGATGGATGTGGCGGGTGGTGCAACAGCAACTCACAATGCCAAAATAAACGCTGTGCTCTGAAACTATGTGTGAGTATGAGCATTTCCTGGACCTGATAACATGACTCACCTGCATGACAGAGCGATCTGAATTTTTGCACAGTGAGCTATATTTTTGCTTTCGCATCGGTGGAGTATGGCCGTTGACACTGACGCGCGATATACTAGTGATTTGTGGAGTTGATCGACGCAATGTGCATTCAGTCCACTTGCAGCTCGAATAAAGTCACTCAGAATAAACTGCGCTGCTATTAGTATTTGTCCCATTCGAAGCAATCATATTTGCCGTGTTCTACAGATCAGATATATGTGCATGTCCTGCATCCACTATGAGAAAGGCAGGGCCGCATGTAAATATGCCTTCGCAGTCCAATACTGGTCCCTTCAGGCCCTTGGCTAGTACCGTAAGTCCACGACCAGCCCCTGTCGCTAAGAAAAGGAAGCCAGACAGCGCACCCAATGCAACTGCTGTTAAATGAGTGCGCCCACTGGCAGTGGTAGTGGGGTTCGTGCTACGACTGTACGGTTCATAATTGCCAGTTTCAATAGCACACAACAAACAATCAATCATCTCATCAACACAACAACTTGAAGTTGAAGCCAAAAGCTGAGTCCATTCTTGATCACGGCTGCGTTTACCACAGAACGTCTAACACTCTAGCCCGAAATATGCACCCCTGCTGTTTTATTTCGCATGTATCAATTATAACTTCGATCATCCTGCTTCCCGCTGACTTATGTAAATTGACAGGATCAAGTTGCTGTGGGTATTTTTTTTAGCGCTCCGCACGCCGTGCCACAGGGACTGATGCCAGTCTGCAACTTCAAAGGAGTACCTTGAACATACCGGGCTAATAGCACAGTTGCTAAGTACCTTCACAGTGACCCTCCACCTTCGAAAATTGAAATTCCACATCGCGAACCTTCGGACGATGGGTCACCTCTAGTCCCCCTGAACACGCGAGGAATTTGATGGTTTTTCTAGATGTCTTTGTCTGGATGCCTCCAAGCAACCCAGCTGCGCAATTTTTCGCTATAGAATGGAAGTGAGAGAGGGACACTCGGGAAGCCTCAAAATCACTCACCCTCGAAATATGTATTGTTGTTGTGGCCTTTGACATCTACTGGGTACGAGTTCCTTCACATTTGATAATTTGCTATGGGTCTATTTGATGTTCTCCACGTCGCACAAGAAATTTTCGCCAAAGTCCACTGACCTACTATATCTGCGGTCTTCATTTTTGATAGATCTATCGTCAACCATTTCTGATTATTCCCTGAACACACGGACAATTGAGGAATCTAACGGTCTTATCAGAAGTTGTCTGCTTTCCACAGTCGTGATATTTCTCCTGTGGAATCGAAGTGTGAAAAGAGGACCCGGTTGCTCCCTTGGTGAGCTTCAAAATCACTCGTCTTATAGTCCCTGAAATCGCGGGTCGGAGCCCACGAGGTGAATGTCGCGTCCAATGCGAGCGCGTCGAGACTTACGGCCTGCTGATCAGCACAAAAGAGGCGCAATTTTAGTCCTTGCCTTGGCAGGTACTAATGCCTAGTGCCCACTCGACAGGTGTTTTTGTTTGTCCCTCCATGGGATCATCGTCTTCTCGACCTACTTGATTTGCAGAAGATGCAGAGAGCTTGAGAGAATTGACTATCCATTATGCAAATATCTATCTACAAACATCATTTCATAAGTCATGATGGGGATGATGTGCAACGTGTTCTCAAATGCGCGCGCTTAGCCTCCATGATTGTCCTATTGCACCATTCTGTTCATTACAAAATCATAGTAGTACACAAGACCGTTTCTCGCCTACGACTGTTTATTCTACAAAGCGATTTGTAAGAGAGGCGCGCTACCTCAACTATAAGTACGCCTACGACTCTCATGCTCTAGCATAGGCCCCTCAAGTAACAACTGAAAAGCCGATTCATCGGTGAGTTTGCGGTACCCTGATGGAAGGTAAAGCGAGTGGATCCCATCAAAGCACTTCTCTACAAGCTTCCAGGACGTTTTGTGCGATCCGGATGGACACACATCTCCAATCTTCGCTGACCAAAAGCCAGCCTTTTTGTCTGCGCACATAGAAGCATCCATTTTCAGCCATTCTTCTAGTGGTCTGTTTTTGCTGAGGAGTATGCCCCCTTCATACCGAAGACAGACCCAGGTGAGGACCCAGATCAACGATTCAGCATCATGCGCATACACGTGCTCGACCTTGCCTGCTATGCCTGCTGGCGAGAGAAGATTGGCGGCCATAAATGGTACCGTGCCTGTGCGTTCGAGCCCCCTGGGACCATCACGTTTGAACGATGATAAGTCGTAGTCGTTGAGAACGCCTATGTATTGGCCGCGTAAGCGGTACACCATGAGATTACTAGGGCTGACATCCCGATGAAGCACGCCTCCCTTCCAGAGGGCGCGATGACCTGGCGAGTGGCGGATGAATGATGAAGAGCAGAAGAAGGGGAAAAAAACTTACACTTCACAACTTGCCACCATGCGGCAAGGAACTCCTCGCCAGAAAGCGTCGTGATTGGGATGAGCTTTCTGAATACGATGATGTACAGGACGCGGCTGCCCTGTTCGGCCTGTTCAGCGTCCTTTAGTCCTAGTGCAACTCTGATTTTGGACGTGGATGTATCTTCAAACTTGTGAAACCAGACCAGCTCTGGGACGTGGCCTCGCACATCCAGATCTGTCTGTGCAATCTTGTAGACCTCGTTGAGGATGTCTGGCTCGCTCTGACGCGTCTCTTCTGGCCAATAGAGCTTGGCCACCAGTTCAGAAGATTCGTTGGGAAAACACGGATCCCGCTGCAGATCTGATAGTGCCTTGCTCTTTACCGGAAATACGGTAGTTGCACGTCCGCGTATACCGAAATGAGTCACGCGCTCCTTAGACTTCACATCCAACTCAAGGTCGATTTGGGTATTCTCAACCTCAACCATCACTTTGCCCGAAAATCCGGGCTCAGGTTCAAACACCCGGTTAAGGCCCCACTGTTCGTATCCCATCCGCTGCATGATGAGAAGCAAGACCAACCAGCGTGGAAGGTCCTGAACGAAGTTGATGGCGGCGCCTTGAATCGTGGTTTCACGATCACAAACCCAGATGTAAATATTGTCGTCTGGAAGCAGTTGTCAGTTTTGACGCCAGGTTAACAGCATCCAACCAACTCACTGTTCACTATAAAGGAGATGACGTGTTGCCGCGCAATATGAGCCGCGAACATCTCTGCAACGTAGAGGCCGTTCTGGACGATAGCAGGAATTTTTGTCGGCTCCTTCTCTTCAGTCCGATCTTCATCGTTGCCGCCTCGCTTGCGCTTGACTCCTCTGCTCAATTGCGACGAGGGTCTTACTACCTCGCACATGTCAGTAAGAAAGCAGAAAACGGACATACTACAGCTTACACTCATTCGATGTTTCGTGGGGGGTCTGAGCAGACCCAGTAGCAGATATTGAACCTGTTGGCTTAGCAGGGCCGTTCGCGTCCTTCCTATATTCCATATACTGCGCAGAAGGAGAAGGAACGACGTAATCGGTCTTATAAGCGGACGGAGGATGGGTCAGAAACTTCCGGGTGCGTTTCAACTCCAATGTCGATCGAATATCGGTCCATTGAAAGTTGTCTTTGGGCGATTTGCACGCCGTCTCGGTCAAAACCTGTGATTCTTGCGTTTCGTGTGATTTCTTACCCAGGGCAGTTTCATGAGAGACGACGACAAGGTCAGGCTTGCGTTCGGACTGTTTGTCCTGGTGGTCCTGGTATATGGGCTTTGGATCATTGACATGAAGTAGAACGTTGGTCTTGTCGTCGATCTTGAACGCAGGTATTCCATCTACATTCACCTTGCTTAGTTCACGGAGCGCACAGTTGGCGGCTTTGACGAAAGGAGTATATGACAATGGTTCGCGCTCGATATCACAACTTGACAATAACGTCAGTCTTCTTTCGCACTGCTCGAAATGCTGACTTACAAATCAGTCAGGTGTCCCTTTATCTCCTGCGCTACAGCCCCCACATTGCAGATAGGCAGGACAGCATTGAGGGCAGTTTCGAGTAGCTTCGATTTCTGGCTGCCAGAAAGGTTTTGAGAGGAACCTGTGCATCTTGCAAGGAGTTCTTGCAGCATCGTATCTGCCTCACACTTCTCAAAGTTTTGGACGTCCCTCGCGATCCATGGGCGGACATCATTGACTCTGCGAAATTTACTGATATGGGTGATCGTGGCGAGAACAAAAGGAAAATTTGACGCACTCAACGCCAACAGTACTGATATGTTCGCTGACAGCAGCGGAACCGACTGCGAGTGGTGTGGACTTGAGGCCAGCCTCCGAATCGGCAGACAGGGTAGAGTTACGGGGAGGTGTCTTGTGTACAGTGGCGTCAGTATTGTCGGCCATGATGATGAGGGCTACGGAGGCTCAGATAGAGAAGAAAGTGGGTTGAGAATCAGAACACGCAAACCTGAGCTAGCTTTTAAACTAGCAAAATACCATTGTTAAATGTTTCAAGTCAAGGTCCACGATTGATAATCGATAAGTAGTTGAACGAAGTTGATGGCAGAGCCAGACTCACGGTTCACTGTAAACGATAAATTGACCGAGTTCGTGACAACGACAATTATGTAATCACCTTCGACATGAGTCCGCCGGTTGAGTTCTCAATCCAAATCATGTATCCCTCAATTTCCTGCTTGATCCCTCTTGTTTTCTTTGCCATGTATCCAACACGTATCGGTTGCAATCTCAATAAACAAGGTTTGCTATGGTATCAAGTTTTATCTCCATAGAGGCGAAAGGCTCGCATGGAATTCTCAGGCTGGCACTCCGCAAAGGTGTGGCTTGTGGGCGCGTTGAAGAACCATAGACTGTACAGCTGTCACCTTCACGGCGGCCCTTTACCTCCGGTTTGATTTACAAATTTCAAACCTTCGGACGACAAGTCACTTTCAGTAGTCCCCCTGAACACGCGAGTAATCAAGGAATCTGATGGTATTCGTCGATGTTCTTTTCAGACATCTCTCTGCATCCGATCAACTGGACTGCGCAATCTTTTCTATGACAGAAGTGTGAGACGAGGACCCAGGGAGCATCGAAATCACTCATTCTCGAATGATGCTGTGGTTGTTGCCTTTGGCACCTATCGGGTACGATTTCCTTCTTCAATGAACATTTTTCATTACTCCGTCTTGACATTCCGCGCGTCGCACAAGAAAATTTTGTAGAAGAATTTTACTGATCGGCAGCCTTTGCCACCACTTTTTATTTTACAAATATCACGCTTCCATTGCGCAGAACACTTCTGATCATTCCTTGAACGTACGAATAACCAAGGAACCTGATTCAAGATGTCTTATCAGAAGTCCCTGTCTGGGTCCCATAACCGGGCTGTGCGTAGTAGGGGTTAGTCAGACTCGCGACTCGTCGATCATCACACAAGAGATGCTGCTCCAGTTATGGCAGGCAAGGCCCAGTAACTCAACTTGACAACAGATGTTCTTGCTTGTCCATCCATCGGGTCCGAATGATTGTCTCCTAGACCTGCTTAATTTTGCAGATGGCAAGGAGAATATTTGGTCAAATCCTGCATGTTTCCTGAACCGTCAGTCGGATTTTTTTTATGAATTAATGATGTGCTCTCTCTACGTGTCTGTGGGTGCCTTCATTATCCTCCGTAATTGCCCCACTTTACCTGCGTACATTTGGATATCTCGCTTCTGAGTGCACAATGTGTCGGTTGAAAAACTTTGCGTTTGCTGTCGTGAAGCGGTCTTAGTAGCGGTAACGAGAATGAAAGGAAATGTTTGCTTTATTGAGCAGATAGCTTTTTGGGTGGAAGCCCCGCAGGGGCAACCCGGCCCCGATGGCGGCCCCAACCTGTGCGAGAGAGAGCCGAGGTGAGCTGCGAGGGCGGGTGGGCATCCTCGCAGCCTCAAACTCAGCAGGTCTAGGTACCAGCCATCCGGACCCCATGAAGAGGGATGTAGTACTAGTATGTAGTTAAAGTTGACTACCTTTAGGTACCAGTAGCAATGTAGGCTGCGAGGATAAGGGAGTGGTGGGTGGGGAAAAGAAAAGCAGAAGGCAGCAGGCACGTTTGAGCGTGGCGCAAGCACTGCGTGGTGCAGAGACAAGAGAGGCCACGTGCTGCACTGCCGCTGCCGCAAAGTCCTAATTCTAACCCTACACTCGTTCCTCGCTTCGGGGTAGAATATCAATTTTCGTCTCTCATCGTAGATTCATTCCTCATGCAGAAGAGGTCTATTGCATTCCTCGCATTGTGATCGAGCTGCTGGTTCGTTAACTCGCTCTGCCATCACATGACGACTTTGAATATTTCACAAGTATCTGAATGTATTTACAGCTGTTAGCAGTTGCGCTACGTTGGATGACTTCCTTACCACTCTCGTGCGTTACGTTACATTAGATGATTTCCTTACCACTCTCGCGCATCTCTTATCTTGTTCACCTTCGACACCATACGCTCTAGAAGCTTCTTGGAATCTGCACCGCATGACACTTCCGCATGTCGATCCTCCGGTACGACTTAGCTAATCACTACGATATGTATTTAGTCTTGCTCGTCCTCGTACAAACACCTCAGTTTTGTTTCATAACACTACTGAGGTATGCATCGTCTCCGTCTCGCACCTATCTTGTACTAACGTTACCTTAGCTTGTTGTTCTCTTGCTAGGTACTACCAATATAGTTTTGTTTCATAACACTACTGAGCTCGTTGTTCTCTCGCTAGTGTATAACAGCTACCTTCAAATCAATAGGCCAGAATCCATTTTTGTTCATTCACCGCTTTTGTTTAGTTGTGGAGCTGGCCAAACAACAGGGTCCTGCCTTAGGCTGCCTATTACGATACTTCGTCGGGGCGAGATACCCCAGAATGGCACTGGACCTGCGCAGCTTTCTCATTCGACACTGTCTTTGGACATTTTTGCTATGGCTGGAAATCACCATCACATTCCAGTAGCCATAAAGCAATAATATGTCACTATGTCTGCCCAAATGTCATCCAAGGCTGGTTGCTCGAGTGAAGCATGCAAGTACTACTTAATGCTGAGCTCACTGTGCTGGCATGATCCGAAGTAACAGAGACAATGTTAAATATACCATGATGAGTTGGTGATAAATAGTCATATCGATATTACCAGCAGTGAGCTCAGAAGGGTGTCAGACACAGCGTCAAATGAACCGCATACCATATCATAGAAGTTGCACAGTCCAGTACCATTCTGGGGTATCTCACCCGACAAAATATTGTAATAGGCGGGACAAAGGCGGGACCCTTTTGTTTGGCCAGCTCCACAACTAAACAAAAGCGGTGAATGAACAAAAATGGATTCTGGCCTATCAATTTGAAGGTAGCTGTACAATGTGCGCTGCTTCAGCTCCATACTGAACCCTGTGCAATGTGCATCCTCCACTGTACATTTTTTTTTCCACTACATAAATATAAATATGTAGATCTGCCAGCGAAGTATATCATACTCTGAGTAAGGTACATAGTGAGATATATAGGGAGACATAGGGGAGCCTGATTTCTTAGAATGGTCACAGGCCTCATACAAATCAATCTCATCCAAGCGCGACCCAACCACACAACTCCATCCTCTGACTGATCTCCGTGGGCATCTGCAACACCATCTCCTTATGCAGTTCATTGGCCTTGCAGCTCTCCGAACAAAGCACAAATCTCCCAAGCCCTCCCTCCCGTCCTGCGAAGATGCAAACCGTCGGCAGTCGCTCGGCACGGAAATAGTACATGGTTGACGAGCATGTGTCAATGAGCGTGAACATATGTCCCAGTCCACTCTTCGCGTGTTCCTTCGCATCCTCGTATTGCTCGTCTGAGCCTATCTGTCTCACGAATTGTTCTGGCTTCGATAACAGTGAACCGCTCAGGGTGAAATACATCCTTGGGAAGTTTGCAATGGTACCCCCGTATAAGTGACTCTCTACCGTCTCTCTATCAATCACTCCTTTGACCCCGATCAACCACGGTTGTTTGTTGACTATACACCCAGATTTGCTATAGAGAAACAGTCAAGGGGAAAGGAACAGGTGGATGAATCCAATGACAATGAATCCGATGCCCACTGCTCTGCTGCTCTGTATCCACACAATTGCTGACCCAATGACAATGAACACCCAGGAGAAATACGGTATGGAACTGACAATCTTCCTCAGCAAAAATGTAGTTGCAAATGGAACATCCGGGAAGTCCTTCCATCTGATGGCTGCCGCCTGACAGCCATCCAAAACGAGAGCTCCGTTCTCTGTTACACCAGTGACTTGGATCTCTGGAAGAATATCCCAAAGATTTGAGTCATAGATATCATTGTCAGTGTACCAGCATGCCCCTGGGGTGGTGGTTGAGGGAAACATGGACACCATGCGATCCGCGATGCGGTCGCTATCATTGGCCATTGACAACCTCGCGAGTGCACATAACTCATCTTTATCGTGGTTCGGCTGAATGTGGTGCTCAAAAAAGCCCATGAGCGCATACACATGGTCTGCTTTGTGTGGCTTATACCCCTCGCTGGTGACAGACCCCCCGCCTACCATGTATGACTTTGGCGGGAGAGGAGGGCCAGAAAGTGTTGGGAAACCTGCCATAGTGCGCCTCCATATGACTTGTTTCAACAGTGTCAAGTGCTCCAGCCTCTGAAGCGGATCCTTCCCACCAGTGTATGCATTGATAATTGCTTGTTCATCTTTGGAGTTCGTATATGCCAGGTTAGCCAGCTGAAACAACGACAACGACTCGACCTCTTCCCGATCCCGGAACTTGTAACAAAGCCAAGTGCTCAGGAGGGCTTCTGTAAAAGTCCATACCCATCCACCCCAGCTCATCCAGCACTCGTTCTCTCCAAGTCAGCTCTCCCGAGCATGATCAAAGTTGTCTCCGCTCTACGGTAGATGTCTGACATGCAATACACATCCAGATTCTCCTCTGATGGTGTCTCCCCTAGACACTCCAAGTCGAGCCAGTAGGCATTGAATTGCTGTCCGAGCACCACCGCACGAACATCATCTATAAACTGTGCCTTTTCTTTCTTCTCACCCAAGCCTCGAGAGTAGACGTCGGTTGCACGGTAAGAGATGGCGATGTATTTAGTGTGGATGATGATATCGCGATCTACGCATCGAACCCACTCATTCTTGTTTGGGTTGCGGATCATGAGAACTCGAGGGTAACAGGCATGTGTATGGGTAATCACATCAGCTTCCTCTTTAACGCACGATGAATGCTCCATGCGAGAACAAGCTGCCCATAGCTGACCCTGAAACTGGCGAAGATATGGTTTGTAGTATCCTGTGTTATATGACGAATCAGTTTCATCTTCAAAGTCACCACTACCATTGGAATAATATTCCACGATAAACCGGATGATTGGCCACAATAGCTTCAGTGCGAACCACACTGATTTTCTGATCCACTCGAAAATAATCCATTCTTTGAAGGGTGAATGGGTTAGCAGCCATATGGCGAGTTTGCTGACATGGTGGGCATGATCATTGAGGGGAACTTCGAATTTGCCAGAGGGTGTGACGGCTTGTACGATGAGCCTTAGGCAGATACCAGTGGTAGGGCTCATGTATCTCTGCTCTTGACTGTGCGTTGTCAATATTCCTATATCATTGGAGCAAGTGACGTCTGAGTCATGACTCACGAGTGGAAGCCAGTGCATTCTAACCGTTCCTGTAAAAGCGTCGGTCTGATGATGAGTGCGAAGACTACAGGACCTTCGAGCTGTGAACTAGACTCACAGTGAGGAGAGAATCACAAGCAGGGTGTTACTTCTCACAGTGATGCCCCAGTGTTACCTTTATATATTTCAGGTACTGCAACTCTGTCTATGTGTAGGTCACACATGACATACCACCATGGCAGTTGCAGAGTTAGAAATCTCTTCTGATTGAACCTTAGGATCCCGAACATGATACCGCCAAGCGGCGTCTTCTTCAAGTTGAAATGCCTGTCATATAGGAGTCACGTAGCTCTGAGAGACTTAGTTCCAACATTCTTGGGCGCAATTTTCATTTACCAGTAGCATCAGTGGGGTTAATGTTTTAGCTGCATATTTCCGTGATGTACAGCGAGGTGACAGACATAGATTGGTTGCAGCAGAAGACAATATGAATATCTGGACACGAGTGAACACAACCAGGAAGGTGGCACAGCAGCGAAAAAATAGTTGTCAATCTTGTGGCAATTTTTTTTTGATCTCTACAATATACCTACACTTTGAGTGTTTTTGGCAGATTAATGCTGTCCTGCCATTTGCCGTGACAGAGCTTGGAAAAACCTGTCAGTTGCAAAAGGTCTAAGGCAGAATTTGACAGAATTTGAAAAGGTACTTACCAACCGCCTGTGACACGCTTACGTGCCATCCACTTGACTTCAGGGATATTCTCAGATGGGTGCAATCTTATGCACGCGTAGATAGATGCGGCTGTTCTTATCTCATTGTAGATGTACAAAGATCAGTTCGAAATAGTTATCCTGTTGCCTACCGATGGTGACTAACCTATCGCTGTCAGAGTTTGGACTTGTCAAAAAACTATTGTTGAACATTGTATCCTTGTTTGATAGTTTCAGTCGAACGAGTGCCTCAGTGCTGATTCGTGGTGCTGGGGAGACCTGGCGAAGCCTAGAGAAGCATGCACATAAGTTGCGTCTGCGACATCAAATATTTCATCCTCGCAAACCATAACAGTGTCAATCAGTGCATCAGCACTTCAGCGGTGATGCAAACTTCTAAAAATGAAAGATAGCCTATTCCAAAATGATGTTTGACAAAGGGTGTATATGACGACCCGTCGTCACATGAACAAGTCGAAGGAGAAACTGTTTGCGATTTCAGTCTAGCTTGACTCGAAACGTGCTGGATTGAAAGAGAAAGATAAGGTGGTGCAAAGTAGGCAATGCATCTCTCCGGTATGAGAAAACTGAACCCCCACAAATTGCGTAGTTAGGATAGAGATGTCGATGAACAATCGCAGTGTGCTGTGGAAGGTATGCATTGCAATTGCAAAAGAAGGAGTCCATAGAGATGCGAAGAATGCATGGGACCTATGGCATTATGTAACATTAAAAATTTATTTCATTTCTGTACCTCAGCGTTAACCAACGTTAGACTAGCCCTCAGCTATGATGCGCCACTGGCATAGCCTCACTGCAGCACCTTGGCTCCATAGACGAACAAGGCAGGCGGACTGATATGGTGATAGTGACGAGCTGGAGTTACGCTGGGCAATATGCACTGTCTTGGCAGGTTCAACATCCTGACTGGTAAACTATGATAGGCTTGTGATTTACTACCACAGAATCCAAAAAAATGCATGTAGGCAGAATGGTTACAATTCACAAGTCTATGGTAAACAACCTGAGACGTCTCAGCTTACAATTTGGGAACAAGGGTTGACTGTTAGAAATTGAATATAACCCTGTCATAAAATTTGTGGGGTTTCTTTTCCTTGTGCCTAGTAAGTAGTATCGGACAGTGAAGTCGGTCTCCATTTTGAAAGGAAACTGTAGTCCAATACATACGAAATGCCAATGCAGGCTGCTTGGATCCATAATCTTCGCAGGAAAATGCATCTACAGTATTTCTATCGTCCTGACGTCCATCAAGTCCCGAACAGAAGCCCCATCTTTGACTTGCGTGATGATATCACGATCTGATGCGACCCTCTTGTATTCTCCGCTGCGCTGCTGCACTAGTAAAAATGCACCAAAAGGCTGCCCAAGAAGAACAAGTAACTGTAATGCTCGCGATTCTGGATCATCCACCTCCTGTTTTACAACAGAATGGCTAGGTGAGTTGTCCAATGGAGAAGAAGGTGGTGTCCAATAATCCCCTTCATTCTCCGTATTGTCTTGCAGATCCGCAAAGTCTGGTAGCTCAAGAAGAAACTGATCCCAGGGACGGACAAGCACCAAGGTTTGCTGATTGGGCCTTGTCTGCAAGAACTGAGCAATCGGCTCTTTGGTGGTGATCAGCAGGTCATCAAGCCCATCTGCCTTGACTTCATATCGAGTCTCCTGGGATGTACCGTAGCTCAGACTGACGTCTGTAATGCGGAATGTTATGCAAGGCAGACACAATCTGCAGTTTGTGAAATGAGCAACACTTGTGTTGCCAAGCTGGGTGTAAAGTTCCGAAGCCAAATCCACAGCTATGGGATTCTTTCGCAGGGAGGAGATAGCTGTCTGAATCTGATCTTTGGACAAAGATGGAAAGGTACGTGGAGGAGTGGCGTAAGAAGTAATATAGGCCGGAAGACAGCTGTTGAACTCGGAAGGTTGTCCGACCCAGTCGAGGACGGTGATGTCCCCTGACCGGGCCACAATCTCCTGCAAGAGTCGCCCGAGCATGTTCTGCTTCTTCTCGCCATAAATGACAGGTAGGTGGACACCGAAGATACCAAACAATGAGTACACGATGTCTTCTTGCAATGTGGTGATGCGAGATGACGCCCACTGAAGTCTCTGTCGAGCATCGCTCATCCCAGGACGAAAGGAGATCAGGGCCTGTGCATCTATTCCTGTTGCATTCTCTAACTCCTGCATGATTACGGGGGACTCTTTGTGGTTGGGAGAACGATCGTCAAGATATAATGACCAATCCTTTTGATAGAAGATAACAACTTTCGAAGCGACGAATTCTTGAAAGGTCCATCCTCGCTTGTTCCAAACACTCCTCTCCAGTGCACCGGGTTGGGATGAAGGAGGGACATCACAGAGGTAGACGATGGTAAGCGCTGAATGACGATACCAGATGAACATAGAGTTGACCGATTCTTGAAGCTCAGTGTTGCTCTTCTTGTTGATGCAGCATGTGTCCATCCAAGCCCAGCGATATCCAGCATCACAAGCGACATTGCAGAATGACTGCAATTTCGTGATCCCAGCAAGTCCATTCAACTCACGCACATCTTTATCTTGAATGTCATGGAGTAGCGCCTCCATCTCCTCCCACCTGTGTGATAACAGGACACAATGGAAGTACATTGCCACTACATCTTTGATGCGCTCTGCTCAGAGATTGGGATCCTTCATTGGAAATGAGACAAGCTCGTTGTACTCTGGACTCATCTTGAAGGCATTTATTTGTGCCCCTCTATCGCACAAAAGACCCGTGGAGGTATTCAGTAGACGTAACGGGGCATATTCGAGTTCAATCCGAACAACTCTTTGAATGGCATCTTCTGCTTCCGATGGAGAGACATACTGTTGATGCAAATCTACAGAACGAGATAGGCATTTTGAGATCATACAGAAGTTTCCCATGGCTTACCTCGTATCTGAGGTTCGGGAGAATCGTCCAACTTGGACAACATAATTTTGAAGGCCTCAGTAGCTTCGTCATAACGTTGCATGCCACGCAGTGCTGTATGCATCAACTCGTATCCAACGTGAGACAAAGGATCGAGTTCGATGACCTATGCATCACCGAAGTCAACATGGGCTATGGAAACATAGATGCCATCGCACCTTTTGCGCATCGAGAAGTGCTTCTGTCCATAGCATTTTTGCCAACCTTGCCTTGCTGCGCTTTACAAAGATGTCCTCAGATGCAAAAGTCAAGTTGATCACTGCCGAGTAGAGCGCAATTGCCCTATCATAATCACTTGCAGCCAGGGCAGTATCTCCATTGGTAAGGCAGAGCGCGCTGTATTCTTCCCTGAAAGCTGAGTAAAATGTGGGTGAGGATTGTAGCCTGTGTGATATTATAAACTCCAGACTTACCATTGGACCACTCAAGGTATTCGGCCTTGGTATTTTCATCACTCGAAATCATGATATACTGGTATGATCTCACGGCATCTGGAAGTTTATGTGCCTGAAGAAATGCATCACAACATTTATGGTGTGCAGTGAGCCACAGCGAGTTAAGATCCCAACCAAAGAGCTGAACAAGAGACCTGGTTATGAAAAGTGTATCAAATATATATTGATGTACCATCACTAAGTCCTCGTAAATGTCATGAGTGTGCGATTTTGATGATAAAGTACTGCAGTCAACAGCAACAGTGAAATGGTCAGCGGCTTTGTCGTGACATGTGTCATCAAAGGCTCTGAGTCCAAGTTGAACATGTAGATATGCCTAATATGCAAGTTGCAAAGATTAGCATTGATGCAGATGACCCAGCGTGGCTGCATGAAACCTACTTGCACAATACGACATGCGCGAATGTCGGCATTTGGACAACCGGTAGTGAGTTCTTTGAGGAGCAGGTTTGCCTTGTCATGTTGATCTGCATTGAAGAGCGCGATGGCCTGAAATACACGATGCGGGGGAAGTATGCGAGGTAAATGTAATATGCTTACCTTGATCAAGAGCAAAAAATGAACAATATCTGAATCTTGGTCTATGTACATGGAAGCAACATCAAATGCTACCCTCGCATCTGGGATGTGGCCTTTTCCGCAGAGTGCAATACCCTTGGAGATATAGCCTGTCAACGAGGGCTCAATGCTGATGGACTGTGTCACCATCGAGTTAGTCACTCATATAAGGGAGGGGGGCGATGATGGATCACTGAATCTCACCTTGATTGTGTCCTGAAGGGCATGGTCCCAATCATGTTTTTGCGCCATAATGAATGAGCGATGGGCATAGGAAGTATGGTTGTTTGGATCAGTATCGATATCTTTCGTGAGTAGTTCTTCAGCGGTAGATAAGTCACCGTCCAAGCATGCATTGCGGGCTGTCGTGATAGCTAGGATCTGCAGGGAATATGCTCGAATTGCGATGGTATGTGAGTCAAGGACAGAAACATGCCTTTGAATTGATATTCTGAGGTAATGCCCACTGTGAGATCATGTTATCACCACCTCCACTGAAGATGTGTTGGCCATTTATGGAGAAATTGACGCATGTTGTGAAGGATGAGTGCTTGATGATGTCAATGATTCGTCAATTTGAGAACTGCCAGAGAATAATGCGCTGGTCATCAAATGCGGATGCGACGACTGTGCCAGCAGGATTAATGGCGATGCCATTGGGTTCGCGAGAGTGGCCCATCCAGGAATTGCCAACCTGCGGCTTCCATGTTGTTGTATCTCATTCACACAGATTGTACACGCCACCTGTGAGAAGGCATGTACCATCAGGGGTCCATGCAACTGAGTTGTAACCCTCAATGGATGCAACACATTCCCTTGTGGCTGAATTGTGAATTTCGATAATGTTGTATGATACGGTGGCAAGAAGTTCTCCAGACAGCGAATACCGTATGCATCTGACAGAATGAGCACACTTAATTGGATCCCCTTGTTGTTGCCAGGTTTTGGTATTCCACAGTTTCATCACATGTGCACCAGTGACTAGCACTGTTCCATCGGGAGAAAAATCCAATGAGCTGATGTAATATTTGGAGTGGGCTTCGATTTTGGCGAGTAATTCACCAGTTTCTCCATGCCAGACAATGAGCACTCTGCTGTCATCACCGCTTGCTATCAATTGCCCATCTCGCGATAACGCCAACACCCCCACCATCTCGCGATGCCCCTCCATCTTCATTAACACAACACCTGTCGTCAAGTCCCACAGACAAAGTGTCTTGTCATACAAGCCCGTAACCATCCGTCGTTTATCAGGGAAAACTGCAACTGCAGTTACACGTTTTTCATGGCCTTTGAACTCTTGCAGGGGCATTGTGATTGGAATGAGGTGCGACATGGTTGATTGAGCATGGTCGAGGTGGACTTTGGAGGGGGGTTTGGTCTTTCTCTACATTGCAGAGGTGTGTGTAATGTGCGTTTTATGGTGCTTCACTGCCTCGACCTGCCTTGTTTAAATAGACGCCCAGGCTGTTTGCCTGCATCGCTGTTACGGCAAGAATGTGCCCTATTGTCATACTCGCCGTCCTCAACAGTATGCCCTCCCAACACCTCTGCGGTGCATACATCATGATGCGTCCCACTCTTTTCTTCAAAGCTTCCAAAATGTATCCCGTTGTATCCAATCAAGCAGTCAGTGCTTCCCAGCGCTTGAATCTGACTATCTATCCTGCATAATATTTGTTTTTTGTGTCAAACAGGTACTCCAGCACATCACCATGTCACTCCTTCGAATGCATGCACGCAGCTAATTGCAATATTACCATTCATTCAAGACCTGTTTGTGCACTGGATGCAGCCGAAGTTCTCTCAGTTTTGGCGTCTCAAATTCGTCACTAATTCTAAACAGGAGTCCAGTGCAACCCTTTCTAGCAATATTGCAACGAACCTTCTTGCAGCTCATTCCTCGGGCCGTTTGGTGTGGGGGTGCTGGATAATCCCTCTTGTACGGCTGTGATTGCACTAGGTTTTGACGAGGAAATAAGCATCACATCTCTTTTGTCTTCCTACTCTCAACCTCAGCCCTTAGACCTTCCCATATCGAGAGTATGAACGAGTGCCTCCAGAACAATCTCATCTAACCCAGGATAGAGGTCACAAAGATCACGAAACAACACAAGGTGCATCTTAGCATCCACCACAGCCATACTGGTCTACACATCAGCCGAGTCATGGAGAGCACCGATGGTGCGGATGACTGATGCATCTTCCACCTCTAAATGTGTCCTACACGGCTATGGGTAATACTACATATGGCTGATATGACTGCAGGCTAGTTTGTGTTATGTTTCACTCTAAGTCAGGAGATGGTGAGGATGAATTGGGCCGCCAAGATGTCTCGAATCACGAATATAGGAGTGAAGGCTCACCGAGCCTACCGCTTCTCGCCTGTGATGGTTTATTCTACAAAGCGATTTGTAAGGGAGGCACGCTACCTTGACTTTAAGTATGCCTACGACTCTCATGCTCTAGCATAGGCCCCTCAAGTAACAACTGAAAACCCGATTCATCGGTAAGTTTGCGGTACCCTGATGGAAGGTGAAGCGAGTAGATCCCCTCAAAGCACCTCTCTACAACGTCCCAGGACTTTTTGTGTGATCCAGATGGACGCACATCTCTGATCCCCCCTGACCAAAAGTGGGCCTTTTTGTCTGCACATGTACTAGCATTCACTTTGAGCCATTCTTCCAATGGCCTGTTGTTGCTGAGGAGGTTTCCACCTTCATACCAAAGACAGACCCAAGTGAGGACCCAGATCAATGATTCAGCATCATGCGCATACACATGCTCAACTTTGCCTGCCATGGCTGCTAGTGAAAGGAGGTTTACCGCCATGAATGGTACCGTTCCTATGCGCTTGAGGCCCCTGGAACCATCACATTCAAACGACAATAAGTCATAGTCATTGAGAATGCCTATGTATTGACCGCGTAAGTGGTACACCATGAGGTTGCTAGGGCTGACATCCCGATGAAGTACACCTCCCTTCCAGAGGGCGTGATGACCTGTCGAGTGGTAGATGAATGATGAAGAGCAGAAAAAGGACAAACTTACACTTCACAACTTGCCACTATGCGGCAAGGAACTCCTCGCCAGAAAGCCTTGTGATTGGGATAAGCTTTCTGAATACGGTGATGTACAGGGCACGGCTGCCCTGTTCGGCCCGTTCAGTGTCGTTCAGTCTTGGTGTTACTCTAATCTTGGACATGGATGTTTCTTTGATGTAGAACCAGACCAGCTCTGGGACATGGCCTTGCACATCTGGATCTGTCTGTGCAATTTTGTAGACCTCGTTGAGGATGTCTGGCTCATTCTGACACGTCTCTTCTGGCCAATAGAGCTTGGCCACCAGTTCAGAAGATTCATTGGAAAAATGGGGATCCTGCTGCAGACCTGATAGTGCCTCGCTCTTCACAGAAAACACGGTAGTTGCACATCCGCGTATACCGAATGGAGTCACGCGCTCCTTAGACTTTACATCCAACTCAAGGTTGATTTGGGTGTCCTCAATCATCACCTTGCCCGAAAATCTGGGCTCGGGCTCAAACACACGGTTAAGGCCCCACTGTTTGTATGCCATCCGCTGCATGATGAGACGCAAGACAGACCAGCGTGGGAGGTCCCGAACAAAGTCAAGTAGCTTTGCTTTCTCGCTGACAGAAAGGTATTGAGAAGAACCTGTGCATCTTGCGAGGAGTTCTTGCAGCATCATATCTGCCTCACACTTCTCAGAGTTTTGGATGTCCCTCATGATCCATGGATGGACATTATTGACTCTGCAAAATTTACTGGTATGGGTGATCGTGGCGAGAACAAAAAGAAGAGCTGACGCACTCAATGCCAACAGTATTGATATGTTCGCTGACAATGGCAGAACTGATTGCAAGTGGGTTAGACTAAAGCCCAGCCTCCGAATTAGCAGACAAGGTAGAGTTACAGGGAGGTGTCTTGTGTACGGTGGCGTCAGCATTGTTGGCCATGATGATGAGAGGCCTAAGGATGCTCAGATGGAAAAGAAAGTGAGTTGAGAATCAGAACACGCAGACATGAGCTAGCTTTTGAACTAGCAAAACACCATTGTTATATTTTTCAAGTCAAGGTCCACAATTGATAATCGAAAAGTAGTTGAACAAAGTTGAGGGCAGAGGAAGACTCACGGAGTCACGGTATCCATAAATTCACTGATAAAATGACAACGACAATTATGTAATCATGTTCGTGTATCCCTAGTTGATCCTTCTTGTTTTCTTGTAAGTACTATCCAACTTGTATCCAACACGTACCGGTTGCAATCTGATTATCTCAATAAACAAGGTTTGCTATCATGATGGTACAAGGTTTTACCTCACCCAGAGGCGAAAGGCTTGCATGGGATTCTCAGGCTGGCACTCCGCAATTGAAGGAGTGGCTTGTGGGCGCAGCATTGAAGAACTTGAATAGGCTGTACAGCTGTCACCTTCACGGCAGCCCTTTACCTCCAGTTTGATCTACAATTTTCCGGACGATAAGTCACTTTTAGTGGTCCTCCTGAACACACAAGCAATCAAGGAATCTGATACGGTCTTTCTTGATGTTCTTTTTAGATATCTCTCTCTGCATCCGATCAACTGGACTACTGCGTGATCGTTTTCCATACAACGGAAGCGGGAGAGAGGGACTATCGAAATCACACATCCTCGAATTATCCTGCTGTTGTTGCCTTTGGCATCTATCGGGTGTGATTTCCTTCTTCAATGCATATTTTCATTGATCAGCAGCCTTTGCTTCCATTTCTGATTTTACAAATATCACACTTCGGGCCATTTCGCCGAACACAGGAATAACCAAGGAATCTGATTCAAGACGTCTTATCAGAAGTCTCTGTCTGAAAATCTGATAACCGGGCTGTGCATTGTAGGGGTTAGTCCAACTCGCGACTCATCAATCGCCACACAAGAGATGCTGATAGTGACTCAACTTGACAACAGATATTCTTGCTTATCCATCCATAGGATCCGAATGATCATTCCCTAGACCTGCCTAATTTTGCAAATGGGTCAAATCTCATGTTTCCTGAACCGTCAGTCAGATCTTTTTATGAGTCAGTGATGTACTCTACATGTCTGTGGGTGCCTTTGACATCCTCTGTAATTGCTCCACTTTACCATTTTTGCTGTTCCCCATCATTGTGCTCGAGATGCGTACATTTTGACATCTCACTTCCGACTGCACAATGTGTCGGTTGAAACTCATCATCGATTCATTAACATTCTTCAGGCAGAAGGCATTCCTCGCATTATGATTGAGCTGTCGGTTCTTTAACCCCTCTCGCTCTGCCATCCAATGACGACTTTTAATAGTTCACAAGTACCTGGATGTAGTTACAATATTGTGCGCTGCTTCAACTTCACACCGACCCTTGTGGATCGTCAACTGTACAATTTTTTTTCCAATACATGAATATAAACGCATAGATCTACCGGAATTAGCAAAGCCACAAAAAACCCAAAGATACAACTGTATACTAGTCCATATTGTATGTATGGTCTACTATAGGGCGCCGCCCCACCGGACAATAAACAAGAACCCCCCCCCAAAAAAAAAAAAAAAAATCTACCGGCGAAGCATATCGTACTAGCAAGGTACACAGTGAGATATATAGTAAGACATAGGGGAGCCTGATTTCTGAGCATGGCAACAGGCCTCATACAAATCAATCTCATCCAAGCGCGACCCAACCACACAACTCCATCCTCTGACTGATCTCCGTGGGCATCCGCAACACCATCTCCTTATGCAGTTCATTTTCCTTGCAGTTCTCCGAACAAAGTATAAACCTCCCAAGCCCTCCCTCCCGTCCTGCGAAGATGCAAACCGTCGGCGGTCACTCGGCACAGAAATAATACATAGTCGACGAGTATGTGTCGATGAGCGTGTACATGTGTCCAGGTCCATTCTTCTCTTGTTCCTTCGCATCCTCGTATTGTTTGTCTGAGCCTTTCCGTCTTGCAAGTTGTTCCAGAGTTGAGAACGGTGAACTGCTGGGGGTGAGATACACCGTTGGGAGGTGTACTATCTTTGGAAAGTGGGCAATGGTACCCCCGTATAAGTGGCCCTCTACCATTTCTCGGTCAATCACTCCTTTGACCCCGATCAACCATGGTTGCGCAGTGACTATACGCCCAGATTTGCCATAGAGAAGTAGTGCAGGGGAAAGGAGGAGGCGAATGAATCCAAAGACAATGAATACAATGCCTCCTGCTCTGCTGGTATCCGGTATAATTCCTACCCCAATGACAATGAACGGCCAGGAGAAATATGGTATGGAACCGACAACTGTCCTCGTCAGCGAATATGTATTCGCAAATGCAACATCTGGGAAGTTCTTCCATCTGATGGCTGCTGCCCGACAGCCGTCCAAAACGAGAGCTCCATTGCCTGTCACACCAGCAACTTGAATCTCCGGAAGGATGTCCCAAAGATTCGCGTGATAGATGTCATTATCAGCGTACCAGCGCCGTGACGCGCCTGGAGTGGAATTTGAGGGAAACATGGATACCATGCGCTCAGTGATACGGTCGTTATCATTGGCCATCGACAACCTCGCGAGTGCCTGTAATTCATCCTCATCGTGATTTGGCTGAATGCGGTGGTCAAAAAAGCCCATGAGTGCATAAACTCGCTCCGCCTTGTGTGGCTTGTACCCCCCACCTAATACCACGTCCGACTTTGGCTGGAGAGGAGGGCCAGAAAGTGTTGGGAAACTTGCCATAGCGCGCCGCCATATAGCTTGTTTCAAGAGTGCCAAGCGCTCCAGCCTCTCAAGTGGATCCTTCCCATTACCGTATGCATTGACAATTGCTTGCTCATCTTCGGAGTTCGTATAGGCCAGGTTAGCCAGCTGAAACAACGACAACGCCTTGACTTCTTTCCAATCCCGGAACTTGTAACAAAGCCGAGAGCTCAGGAGGGCTTCTGGGAAAGTCCATACCTGTCCGCCCCAGCTCATCCAGCACTCGTTCTCTCCAGAGTCAGCTCTCCCAAGCATGATCAAAGTCGTCTCTGCTCTACGGTATACGTCTGACATGCAGTACGCATCCAGATTCTGCTCTGACTCAGTCTCCCCTAAACACTCCAGGTTGAGCCAGTAGGCATTGAATTGCTGTCCAAGCACTGCCGCACGAACTTCGTCTGTGAACTGTGCCTTTTCTTTCTTCTCATGTGGGCCTTGAGTGTAGATGTCAGTTGTGCGGTAAGAGATGGCGATGTATTTAGTGTGGATGATGGTGTTGCGATCTACGCATTGAACCCACTCATTCCGATTTGAGCCGCGGATCATGAGAACTCGAGGGTAACAGGTATGTGTACGGGTATTTGTCCCAGGTTCCTCTTTCAGACGCAATGAATGCTCCGTGCGAGAACGGGCTGCCCACAGCTGACCCTGAAACTGGCGAAGATACGGTCTGTAGTATCCTGTGTTGTACGATGTGTCTTCATCCTCCCCGGAGTTACCACTGTTGAAGTAGAGTTCCACGAGAAACCAGACAATTGGCCACAATAGCTTCAGTGCAAACCACAGTGATTTTCCGATCCACTTGAAAATAATCCATCCTTTGAAGGGTGAATGGGTTAGCAGCCATATGGCGAGTTTGCAGGTCTCGCTGGTGTTATCCTTGATGGAAACTTCAAATTTGCCAGAGGGTGTGATGGCTTGCACCTTGAGCTGTCGGCAGAGTCCAGTGGTAGGACTGAGGTATCTCTGTTCTAGGCCATGCGTTCTCAACCTTCCTATGTCATTGGAGCAAGTGATTTCCGAGTCTTTATGCGTGAATAGGAGCCAGCGCATCCTAACTGTTCCTGTAAAAGCATCAATGTGATGATGAGTGAGAAGACACAGGACCCTCGAGCTGTGAACTAGACTTACAGTGAGGAGAGAATCACAAGCAGGGTGTTACTTCTTACAGCGATGCCCCAGTATTACCTTTATACATTTCAGGTGCTGTAACTCTAGATCTTTAGATGGCACATCATGATATACCGCCATGGTATTGCAAAGTCAGAAACCTTGTCTGACTGGACCATAAGATCCCGACCAGCGGTGTTATCAGATGCCTGTTATATCATGATATCACGGAGTATAGGTACTGTAACTCTATATCTTTAGACAGCATATCATGATATACCGCCATAGTATTGCAAAGTCAGAAACCTTGTATGATTGGACCGTAAGATCCCGAACAAGATCCCACCTAGCAGTGTCATCAGATGCCTGCTACAGGACCTTCAAGCTGTGAACTAGACTTACAGCGAGGAGAGAATCACAAGCAGCGTGTTACTTCTTACAGCGATACCCCAGTATTAACTTTATACATTTCAGGTGCTGTAACTCTAGATCTTTAGATGGCATATCATGATATACCGCCATGGTATTGCAAAGTCAGAAACCTTGTATGATTGGACCGTAAGATCCCGAACAAGATCCCGACCAGCGGTGTCATCAGATGCCTGTTATATCGTGATATTACGGAGTAACATAGCTGTGAGCGACTGTAGAAGACAACGAGTATATCTGGACATCAGTAAACACGAGTATATGTACCATTCACTTCAGCGATATTCAATGGGCCCGATCTTATGCCTCCTACAGAAGACCCCCCCAACCAAGAGTATCAAAAATAGAGGTTGTTCTTCTTGTCTGATTGTACGAGATATTGCAAATGCACAAATGTCAGTTCGAAATAATAAGATCATGTTGCCTACTGAAGGTGACTAGCCTATCACTGTCAGAGTTTGAATCCGTCGAAAAACTATCGTCGAACATTGTATCTCTGTTTGGTATAGTCTCGGTCGAACAGCATTGAGCAAGGGACTCAGCCATAGTGTCATGGTGACTGCTATTGATGGTACTGGGGTGATCATGCGGAGCCTGGCATCAGCAAAAGGACTACACGAGTTAGCAAGAGAGTACTAAGAGTACGAACTACAAATAGTCGCCTCAGCGATGATGTTAGGACAACATTGAGGTGAAAACAGCGAAGGTGCCATGATAAGTAACTATGCGGATCTGTGGCTGAGTGTTGATACTCTATAGAACATACATAGCACCCCACAGCCATTATGCGCTTACTGACATAGCCTCACTGCAGGTCCACTCAAAACACCTTGAGCGAGGGTTATGTATTAGTACATGTATAGCAGCTCAGCCATGATGCACTCACTGGTATGGCCTCACTGCACTACAAGCGCTCCATTCACCTTTGGGTGTTACATTTGCTGTTATTTTTTTCCTCTTCTTCTCTTGGAAGTGCTGTTCGAATGTCTCAGCAACATCATACTCTTGAATGCGCGGTGTATAGCTGTCCGTATGTGAACGAATCTGTACGTAGGTCAAGCACAACTTTTCAAACATCAGCCCTTGACTACATACTTCAGTCACTTTCCTATGTAGAACCAGTGCCCCAGATGTGCCAAAACCCTATAGAATCATGGCCAGCCAGTCCCTGGCCGGTCTATGTAGAATACATGCTGGCCGGCCTCATATAGTTTACTATATATAAAACACTAGTAATGGTCCACATGTATAATACACTAGCTTATTGTAAAAGCATGACCAGCCAGAAGATGTAAGACAACTGCTGGCCGTAGGTATACCAAGATCAAGGCTTGCTGGTGTATTAGGATGTTGGCTGTTTCACATCTATATTTGTAACTGGCCAGCCTTGCTTCTACATAGGTAGGATGCAGGGTGGCCAATATGTTTGATTAAGACCTAGATGTGAGGTAGCTTGTATACTGGTATAAGATATACTACTAGGATAAGACCTACCGACCGGCCAGCCTGGACTCTACACAAAGTTCACTCTGTATCTAGTATGTCAAGTTGGTAGGTCTTATACCATTATACTGGCCACCCCATATCTACCTCAGCAGAAACCAGGCCAGCCAGTATGTAGGTCTTAATCTAGCAAACCGGCTGCCCCATATCTGCCTATATAAAGGCCATGCTGGCCAGTGGTAGGTCTTATCCCAGTAGCAACCAGTCACACTTTGTCTGGTATGTACCTAGAGGCCAAGTTAGCCTATTTGTAGGTCTTAACCTATCATATCAGCCACCCTGTGGCTACCTTGGTAGAGGCAAGGCTGGCCAGTTTATATGTCTTAACCTAGCATACTGGCCACCCTGCATCCACCTAAGTAGAGGTCTGGCTGGTCAGTTTGTAAGTCATAAACTAGCCTACCGGTTGTCCTGCATTTACCTGTGTAGGAACCAAGCTGGCCAGTTTGTAAGTCATAAACTAGCCTACTGGCCGTCCTGCATTTACCTGTGTAGGAACCAAGCTGGCCAGTTTGTAAGTCATAAACTAGCCTACCGGCCGTCCTGCATTTACCTGTGTAGGAACCAGGCTAGCCAGTTTGCAGATATTAAACTAGCATACTGGCCATCCTGCATTTACCTATGTAGGACCCAGGCTGGCCAGTTTGCAGGTATTAAACTAGCATACCGGCCGTCCTGCATTTACCTGTGTAGGACCCAGGCTGGCCAGTTTGCAGGTATTACACTAGCATACCGGCCATCCTGCATTTACCTGTGTAGGAGCCAGGCTGGCCAATATATATGTACATAGAGCGAGGAAAGCCAGTTTATACTCAAGTCTTAACTTATCACCAGCCAATGCCCAAGTCTAGACAAGCATATGCAATTACTGTACAAGATTAACTAGCAATGAAGACAATGAAGGATATGAGATCATATCTTCTGGTTTCTCTTAGAGGGTTGCCTTGCCCTACCTGATCTATGAACCTCAGGCTCAGTCCTAGGCTTCTTGGACTTACTTGATGAAGCATGGTGAATGGCTCTCTTCCTCCCTTTCTGCACCACCTCTTCAACCTCCTGCTCCTGCTGTTCTTCTCCCCCAACTACATTCTCCTCTGACTCGACATCCTTCTCCACCACCCCTTCATCATCTACCACCAACCTCACCTCATCATCCTCATCACTGAGTCCCTCCTTTGTCAGCCTCTCAATGTGACCAACGACTGAGCACAAGACTTCCCGGACAGCATCATCCAGAGTGACCAAGAACTGTAGATCAATAGCAGAATGAGGTAGGTAGAAAGGGGTATTGGGATCAGCCTCATCCTCCTCATACTCTATCACGCGCTTAGACTCCCTATAGAGGAGCCCAATTCCTAGTACTACTGGCATTGCAGATGGCGGTCCTGAGATTGGACATGTTTGTAGCTTGTTCAAGCTGGCCACCAATGTCATATATGATGTGTGAATGTCCTCAGGAAGATAAATTCCATTCCAAGACCAGTCAGCCCAGGTAGGCAAATCTTGGTGTCGCTCTGAAATTGGCTGTTGGACATATAAGCCATAAAATTGAAAACAGCACCAAGTGACACTAACCTTCTGATTGGCTAATATTGCCAGGTCCCTAGTGGCATCTACAAGCTCCAAGTAGTTTTCACTCTTGCTAAGGGTTTCTAAAAATGTGTATCGGTCATTGATGGCAACATCATCTGGGGTGGTCTCATGGGTGTGAGCGGCCGGATGTGTTGTACATTCTGTGAAATGAGAGGCAAAGGAAGCCGGCCGGTCTTGATCTTCTTCATCTAGGGCGCTCACTACTTTTGTCTTGGACTTCCCAGTGACCCGCATACCAGCATCCCTAGCCTTTATAAACACAACAAGCTTCTTATTTGCAGTAGAGGGTCGTTCCCAATGCATCCATAGACGATTTACTTCCTCTGTCTTCATATGAGAAGGGTCTTTGACCACAAATCCTGTGGGAACTGAACCAGGTGCCAAATAATTGGACGGACTGGCAGTTATCACGCCCCAAGGTACAGGTCTAGAGCCACCTGTGCAGACTTCTACAAACCATTGAGTCAATCAAATATCATGCATATATTGAAGACATTAGATCTTACTGTATGAAGTATGAAAGATACTTCTAATCAACTCCTGTTGGCCCTTGAGGCCAATACCATCACGAAGAGGAAGTTTTGCATATCCATCATCGTCTACTATGATTTCAGGTAAGACAGGTCCATCCTCACTGTCTGAAGCCACACGGTCTGAATCCTCTGAAGGGTCTATCAATTTAATAGTTAGTGAGCATGATATTTAAAATCAAATGAAACACGTACAAAATTCAGTCTTAGACCATTCTCCGAAGGATTCAAATCCATTCGAAGCCCACTCCTTAATACCACTTGAGCTCACAGAAAATTTTTTCTTAGCATTCTGAGGCGTAGTTTCGTGTCTATAGTTTAGTTAGTCTTGAGATTTCCTTGTTGATTTGATGACTTACAGACTAACAGACAATGTCTGACTAGCTTTTTTCTTATGACTAACAAGCATTACTACGCGACAACCCATGGTGTGCCGAATTTGCTCTGCAAAATCTTCCAGAGTTTTCTTGAGGTTGTTCTTACGGTATCTCAAGCCAAAGTGTTAGACTAGAATAACTGTAGATTTGAAGTCAAACTTACATTGCCTGAGTTTCTTCTGGTGCCCCCTCCTCATTCCATTTCTTCATGGCAAACTTGACCTCCTGCTGTTGTGAAGGTGTCATGTTGTTGAACCATTCCCTGGCATTCCCAGTGCGGTACTTGATTGAATACTCCAAGCCTTTACTCTGTTGTTGGGCCTTGTCATATGTGTCGATCTCCTGCTTAGATAATTTCTGTGCCACGTCCCACTCAGACAGGGGTTTCTTATAGAAAGATGCTTCTCTTGGGCGACTCGCTGCCTCACGTTCGTCTGCCTCTTCCTTGTCTTTCAGACTTTTGGCATAGTATTCTTTTATTGCCTGTAGGTAACATTTATGTATATCATCAGACAACTAAATACATGTACAGTATAAAAATCTTGTGACCTTTTTCAAGGAAGTAGGCAAGGCAATGGGTTCCTCTTGCTCATCTCGAGCAGCTAGTATGGCCCTCCAAATCTTCCTCACCACAGGTTTTCCAACAGACGAGGAACCTGCAGCAAAAATGGCCTTAGAGTGAAGGTCGAGAATTGGCTTAAAGGCAATAGACCAGTCGGTAGACATTGTAATTGATTCAAGATAAAAATTGCAGGTAGGCTGGTACAGGCGGTAGGAGGGTGGCTAGCCGAAATTAATTTGAACACCCATGTTTATCAACAATAACGCGTGACTTATGAAGTCACGCGTTATTGTTGATAAACATGGGTGTTCAAATTAATTTCGGCTAGCCACCCTCCTACCGCCTGTACCAGCCTACCTGCAATTTTTATCTTGAATCAATTATCAAATTGGATATATTGAGATGGTCAAATTCACATCAAGTAACAAGATTAAAGGCACATTATACTTCCATTGAGTGGTGGAGTTAGACTGTGTAGATAATAGACAAATTCACATCAGGTAAAAAGATCCAAAACACGTTATACTTCCATTGAGCGGTGTGTAGATAATAGATGAGGGTAATCTAATCAAGTAAGATGAAGAAAAATAAAACATGAAGGGATGTACGAAAAAGCTAAGACAAAATAATTGTATCCTAATCCTCATCCTCATCAGGGATACCAGGCATGGGCCTCAAGACAACCGAAATCCAGCAGGAGCCAGGTCTTTTGCCTGGCAAAAGGATCCTGGAATGAGGTGGTTGTGAGAATACATACTTTTTCCTACATTGGCCATTCTTGCATTCAAAGATGTAATCTTTGTGCATGTTGACAGAACACCAGGCATTACTCCACCCACACTGTGGGCACTGGACTGGCAGGTACTGACCCCAAGGGCGAAGTTCGGAATGCGTCCAGGCGAACTTGGTAACAGCCAACGAACCTGAGTTGTCAGGCATCAGCAAGAACACGTCAGTGTGGCGCCCAAGTTTGTAGGACTGGCCCAACATGTCAGGGAAGACGGTGTGAATGGGCAAACACTTGATGATGACCAGCTCCGCGAATGCAAGCAAAAGGTGCGTGGCGAAACTCGGCTGAAAACGAACAGCATTAAAGCCAATAGTGGCTGTGATGTGATGACTGTTAGGGTTAGTTAGTATTTGCAAAGATAAGATCAAATGGACTTACTCTATGACCGCCTGTTGCAAGCCTGAAAAGGAAGTGATGTTGTTGATGAGCACGCCACACGAAAACAGCCATAAGTATGATTCCACGGCACCATGAATCAGGGGATGCCAAGGTGAAAGCAGAACATCGAGAACCTTTGGTGTCAAATGAGCAAATACAATGTTAGTCAAAAAAATGCCACTTACAGAGTGAACACGTGCCGAAACGTATGACTTCTTGTTGCCCTCGTACCCAATAAATGGATCCCCATGCTCGTTGTTGGTGTGGTTAGTGATGGCGACGATGACACAAGCCCAGTTGGAGCTCATCAGCGACTGGACGATGGCAGTCGCCTGCAACCGGTACTCATCGATCTTTGAGGCATTGCCGATGTCGAACGCGACAGACTGAAATTCCAACCCTCCGCTGGGGAAGTATGGCCAAAGGAATTCGGAGGCCAGTTTGAAACAGCCGCCGGTGACGTCGTGGTCGACGAGGACGAGATGGAGCATGAGCGTGGGTGCCGAAGACAGTTGGGAATGGAGTGAAACCTCCAACGTAGCACGAATGTGGAGGAACGAAGGAAGGAGCGGTTGCCCCTTCCTGTAAAAACCCTATAAAATGAAGTTAATGTTAGTTAGCATGAAATAAACGAAAAAACTTACAAAATAGGGCGACTGAGATGCGCGCCCATGTCGTTCCATGCCAACGTGGCAAGATATGCAGATGAACGTGACGTCATCGGCCTGCACCGCGCGTGCACTGGCAGGCGGGATGTTCATGCAGTTTGAACACATCACCCGCGGACAGGTGCTGCAGAGGAAGAGGCAATCTTCCCCTACAGAACTGTCTCTGCAGATGAGACAAAACTGCAAATAAAGATGCATGTTAGTGCAAATAGTAGGTAACTAATCACTTACCTCGTTGTGTTCAGACAGCTCTCTCACATTCAGCTCACCCGGCGCAGTGACCACTCCAGTAGATGCCGGCAACGACAAGGCAATTCGTGGCGCGGTGCCACCGGTGGACTTCTTGCATGTTTGTTTAGACTTTACCATGGCAAGTAGTGAAGTTAAGACTAATATAGATATATCAAATTAGTAAATGACATGAACCAAATAACACTTACCATTATGTACTTTAAACAAGCGCAAAGAGAAGATGGACAAGTCAAAGTTTGAACGTTTGAACGTTGGTTGATTGTGTCACGTGTCAGTTTGTTGTTATTTGTAAAGTCACATGATGATCAACAATGAAACAATGAACTGTGCCACAGCGACACATGGCTAATCCACAATTCCACGCGTCGCGTCAAAAAATCCACTCAACATGTGCCGGTGCGCCGGCACGTGTTGATTTTGTGGATTTTTTGACGCGACGCGTGGAATTGTGGATTAGCCATGTGTCGCTGTGGCACAGTTCATTGTTTCATTGTTGATCATCATGTGACTTTACAAATAACAACAAACTGACACGTGCATATGAACAACAACAATCAGTTCTCACGGTTCAATCTCTCCTTTCGTCTTACCTTCATCATTCCCCTTCATTCCTACTTTATTTCTGTCAGTGCCGTTACTCAAGGGCGACTTCTGGCATACTCCTTTGGGTTCTTGCAGACTGCAGCTGCAAGAATTCAAAGGTACTACCCTGCAGTCGCCCTTCAAACATAGTAAGTTCAATTTTTTTTTGGCGCGCCTACTTACTAATTGTTTTCATTTACATATACTCTCTTTCCCTTGGGGTCTCGCAAGGTAAGTACTTCATTTCTCGCACCCGCTTGCTAATGTCTGTTATACATAGGATTTTTGATACTTAGGGATGGCGCAATGAGAGCCACCTTTCCTTTTGCCTGCAGTCGCCCTTCCAACATAGTAAGTTCAATTTTTTGGCACGCCTACTTACTAATTGTTTTCATTTACATATAATCTCTTTCTTTTGGGGTCTCTCAAGGTAAGTACTTAATTTCTTGCACCCACTTGCTAATGTCTGTCATACATAGGATTTTTGATACTTAGGGATGGTGTTACAGGGATCTGTAACACCTACTAGAGCCCCAGCTCTCCCTACGCCTGCCCCCGCTCTGCTAGACTCCCCGCGCGGCGGTGCGCCGCCTGCGCCTAGAAAGACAGCGGTCTGGACCGCTATGACCCCGCCTGGCGCTACGACCCCGCCCCTGGCCTAGACGGCCTTGTACCTGAACCATGGAGGCTGTACGCCTCATGGTCACCCTAGATCAGCGCATGCATACCACATGTCGCTTCATGAAGATCCGGAGCGCGCTTGGCGCTTCCTGTACCTATGCGCAGCTGCCCTTGGCGCAGCATGCTTGATCAGAGGTTAAGCCTCATGTATCTTATCTGAACCTCATGTCTGGCTATCATAGATTTACGATATACTATTGATTACAGACTGAGCTAGAATACTTGTAGTACTTCCCTATAAGTAGACACAGATTATTGTACTTAGACTTTACTTTAATCTACTAGGTTCATTCCCAGAACTTGCTCATCTAAGCCTTAACCAGCTTCCTTGTGTGAGACCGCACTTCTAAGTCGCCCCCATACGACTTAGCACGTATCCGCTAGCCCTGCATCTCGACGAGCGCCGTCTTACCGAGATCGCCGGAGGAATCCTTGACGTTCTGTCAAGGCTAGACCACGCTCAGCTTCAGTAGACTCACTCGAGTCGTCGCTGAGAAGACCTATCCTAGTTCGCACACGCCGACCTACGGTCAGCGTAACAGATGGCGCAATGAGAGCCACCCTTCCTTTTGAGCACCCCCTAGTTGCTCAATGGTAAGTCCTCCTTCTCTCACATCTGGTTGCTAATCTTTGTTCTATTTAGTATTATACTTACGGTTTTTGACTTGGGCTGGCCCAGTTAAACCTCTACTCAAACGGTAAGTCCTTCTTCTCTCACATCTGTGGGCTAATGTCTATTTTATTTAGTATTTTGCTTATTGGGACTAGCACAGTGCATGCCACTTGTCAGTGGCTCCTGCTTCTTGGAATTGGCAGTAGCGCAGTGCATGCCACTTGTTAGTGGCTCCTGCTTATTGGGACTGGGGCTCAGCGCAGTGCATGCCACTTGTCAGTGGCTCCTGCTCCAACTTTTTCATAGCCTGCTCCAACTTTTTCAATAGTCTGTTCCGACTTTCTAACAGTGGTAAGCGCTCAATTCCTGATGACCTTAACTGATCTGTTTTGTTCTCTAGACTGCTAAACCTGCCGGTACTTTTGTGTGGCAAGCGCTCTCTAGTTAAGTGTTAATCTTGTCTTAAATTTCGGTCTAACGTTTCTACAGGACAAATTTGTATTTTATTATATATATATTTGCTACATACATTTTCACCTGGAGTGTTGAGGCTTTGGTGAGGAGGGCCCCCTCATTGAAGTCTCGCCTCCCCTTTTGTATTTGTTACTTTATTTGTTTGCATACTTGTGGTAAAATTCACCTACTTGTGGTAAAATTCATTGTCACTCATACTTTGTAGTTGAAAATGTATGTTGATGGACGCACTTCATTTGCTGCTGGCTGAAAAAGTCACGTGACCGTGTGTATATTAGCAAAGAGCCTTATTAAGAAAGCAAGCGCAAAAGCACAGTAGTGTATAATAATAATAATAATAATAATAATCAAACACTGCACAGACCAAAGCAACAAAGCAACTATTATCTACTACATGTCTTAGATAAATAATGTGTTATGTAGATCTCAATTCTGCCTTGATGCGGCTCACCATTGACATGCTGAAGGACGCTATCATTGATTATTGTCTGCCAGTCAAAATATACTATTGGCATAGGCAGATGGTGGCAGAACACTAGGACAAGTAGCCATTACACCATATGATACAACCTTCCCTTCCTGGTCAGAAGGTTGATTCTTCTTTGAAATTGCCTTCTGCAGCACACTAGCATATTTTGGACTGACGGACATTCTCAATACCCTGCAGGCCGCTTAGAGGCTAGCCTGCCCTCAAAACTGTTCATGTTAAGAGTTCTGCCTCAGAGGTAAGTTGGCTACACCTATACTGCAGGGTATTGAGAATGTTGTCTTCGGTTAACAAAGAAAACATTTTCAATATCCTACAGTATAGGTGTAGCTAACTGGTTACCTCTGAGGCAGAACTCTTAACACGAACAGTTTTGAGGGCGGGCTAGCCAGTATATGTCTCAGGGGTAACCTCAGAGGTATCTCCCCTCCATGGTCAGAAGGGAAGAGTCAGCCTTCTGATGGTGCAGGGCAGTTTGTATCATATGGCGTCATTGCTACTTGTCCTGGTGTCCTGCCAACATCTGCCGGATGCCAATTTACTATTATACACTACTGTTATTGCAATTGCTTTCTTAATAAGTGAGTCCTTGCTGTCTCTCAAGGCGTTGAACTCCAGCTGGAAGTGTCTCCTGCTATTTGAGACAGGGATCCCACAGTGTAGTCCCAGATTCAGAATATCATTCATTCTTCTGTGGTAGTCTGCCAATATTAGTCTTCACTCTTCCACATCTGAGCGAGTTATTACAGTACTAATTATGTCACACGGATCATGTCACAATCTGGGCAAGACTTCATTTAATCCGTCTTCCATCAGTAGATTCCATTCATATGTCCAAATTTGATTGCGGGACAATTTTTTCGGAATCATTTCATATAAGTTAAATTGAGTCTTGATCCGAATGAGCTGGTTGAAAATTTTCCTTGCTCACCATGGACCAACAAATGAGTCAATCAACCAAGCTGAGAGCAGCTCTGACCACAAGGATCAAGGAAATTATGGGAAAATCATCAGCAACAGGGATCTTCAGAGGGGGGATATTGCAAACTCACCTTCTACACAAAGCAAGGTGAGGTTATATTTAGGGCCTTATTTGATCCGCTCTATTAAATGGTCTCACTTAAGATTAAGAATTGGACATGAGCTAGACAGTTGCTTAGCAACACATGATGTCAACTTCCATACTTCTGGGTCAATCTCAGAATATGAGATCAATCGAGCTGCACTGACAGTTGCCCATGCAATGGTAAATCCTTGTGAGTTATTTCACTCTGCAAGATATCACCTGGTTTTAAATTCACATCATTTGCAGATTATGTGGATTGGGATGTTGACAGATTTGCCAAAATGACCAAAGTCTCTACACCTAAATCTGATGGTCCCCTCGCTAATACCGATCAGCTACCAAAGTACTTTTCTGCAGCTATGATCGGTAAAATTTCAGTACCAGCTACTATTGTGGACCGGCAAGGTAAAATTTTAACAATTTACTTGCCAAATATTCTGTCTTCTTCTCGGGTTGTATGTTCATTCTTCCTTGGGAATTCCCCTCATCAATTGATAAATTAAATTAGGAATATGTGAACTCAGCCACTAAGGGTTTACGGACTTTACTTCTTGAAACAATTACGTCCTCCACCCAACAGTCTTGGCGATCTCAAGGCTTTGTTGTCCCAGAGGGGGGTGGGGAATTTGGAGCAGGCAGAGTCACAGTATCACCAGCATATTTTATGCAAAGACACGAGGTATAGGCCAAATTTAGTGGTTGTTTAGCTACTTTTGACTTTGTTTGATTTCATTTGCAGAGACTGGAAGACCCAATGGTGACCTCGGCTTCCTATAAGTCTGTGGAAGTCCAAGAGTGGCTAGCTACTTTATCAGCTACTGAATCTTTCTGGAATGCCATTACCGCTGTATCGGCTCCAGATCTATTTGAAGCAGGCACCTTGGCAATCACTCGCATTATTCAGGAGCTTCAAGGTTCTGATAGAACATCGCCACCCATCTGTCATTGGCCCTCGATCTTCTCAGGATTGGAAATAATTGCAAATCATACAACTTTATCACACAGAGATTCTGGTGGCGCACCTTCCCTTTTTGATCTTCTGATTAGTTTAGGCAGTGGCCATGAGGCTAAGTTGACGTTAGCAGATGTTGGGGCCGAACTGGATTATTACCCTGGGACAATGGTCTTCATTTCCGGGAAGGTTTTACAACATTCTATTGGTCCATGGGGTCCAGGAGAAAGGCTTGTTATTGCCCATTTTATGAGGGATAAAATCCACTCTAGAGTCGGGGTATCCAGACCCCCCTTTCCAACACAGGCCTATTTTTTGAAGATGGTGGGGCAGCAGGATAGTTCTTGGTTGTGACAAGTAGATGATAAGGAAGGAGTGGTTCTTGGAGGAGGAGGGGTGGAATGGGACAAATCAAGTGTTTGACAGTATACCTACTAGATTAGTTGATGCGCTCTAGTGATTCCTATGAATGATTTCAACTATCAAAAATAGAATGTTGATAATATCAATTTTTTCCCCCACACGTAACCCTATGTCTCCCCAGAAAAAAACTCGACTCAAGGCAGCTACATTTTCCTTCCAAGGAAGAGGTCGTTTGTCTAAAGGCAAGGACCTTGATGTTGCCTATGTGTCTCATAAACAAGTCATTGGAAAGAGAAGGAAGCCAACCTGGGTGGAATCATGCGCTGATAGCCTTTATGACACTGCCCCAACACCATCTCCATCCTCCAGCCCTCGTAAATGTATTAGAGAAGACACTCAAGGGTTGCAAAACAGTCATGAAGATTTTGATAGACAAACCCTTGGTGACTTTGTTTCTTATGTAGAGAACTCACAAAGAAAAACCAAGGCAAGCATAGTGATTCAGTGTCTTTTAATGATGTACTAAATAGAGATTATTACGACCAGACACAAATGACTTTATCCAAGAATATCTGCCTTTCCGAGACTTGTACTTGGATATTCTCCTTGACTTGGAGAAACCCTCCAATGTATCCCAGTGCCAGTCTTGTCAGATTAGTGAAGGGAAATTCCGCTGTTTGACTTGCAGTGGAGATCAGACATTCTGTCATTCTTGCATTGTCAATGCTCACCAGTTTTTGCCCTTCCACAAGGTTCAAGAGTGGACTGGGAAATGCTTCAAAGACACATCACTTGAAGAATTAGGTTTTATCTGGCATATGGGCCATGGGGGACAATCATGTCCATTTTCTGATGACATGCATGCATGGGAGAATATTCCAATGGACGCAGAGGCCGATTTCCCACCGACAGAGACAGTTCATGGTCCAACTATACCAACCAAGTTGACCATTGTACATTCCACTGGAGTGTTTTTGCATAACATTGTCTGGTGCAGCTGTCCTGGGGTCGATTGTCAGCAGCATTTGCAATTGCTGAAAGCTAAATTATTTCCAGCAAGTACCACTTGACCACAGACTGCCTTTACTTTTGATGTCTTAAATCATTTTCTAATTGACGCACTGGAGTGCAAGACTTCAGCATCCAGCTTCTTTGAAAAAATCTGTCGCATGACCAATAACTGTTTCCCAGATACTGTTCCTGTAAGTCTTATAAGTCTTCTTGGTGAAAGTTAAACTAACAGTACCAATTTGTTTTTCTAGAATAGATATCGAGAACTCATGAGAGTGTCTCGACTGTGGAGAGACTTGATGAGTCGAAAATGGTTTGGGTTTGCCCATAATGATGAGCAGAAACCGGACAAGGGTGATCTGGCTTGGTTTTGCCCTGCTTGTCCACAGCCTGGGATTAACCTACCTCCTGACTGGCAAGCCAGATATGAAAGGCAAGTCATTTATCTATGGTCTCATTCTAAGGAGAGGCGGCTTAATTTCCCTACTACACTTGAGAATATCATACTCACTGGCTAGCCCTACACTGCATAGTGTACAAGAGCTCCGGCCGGGTTGACTTATGTTCTAATCAAGCTGGCCAGCATGATATAGACTGGATGTAAAACCAGGCCGGCCAGCACATTAAATTGGCTTGCTAGCTTGACACAGATAGCATGCATAACCGTGCTGGCCGGTTAAACTGAGGTGCATAGATGTCACCCAAAGACATGCCAGCCAGAGTTAGTTCGGAGAGAAACTTCTACTTTATTTTTTGCACTTTTTTAACCTTATGCTTACCTGTTTGTACAGTTGGCTTGTTTCACAAAGATATGTGGTAGACGGGAACTTCACTGCTCAGCATATGGTAATAAGAAAACCACAGTTGGACATTAGTTTGTCAGACGGGCTTGGGTATATGGTGAAAGATCATGAATACCAGACTCATCTGTCATCGGCTGTAGAAAGTAAAGAGGTGAGTTGGCTCATGACAACCACTTTTCCTTATGGCTTCACTATCTTTGTAGCGGTCTTCTTGCAGCAATCATCGTGCAGTAAATGCAGCCAATATCAGCAGGAGCAATCTTCGAGCTACAGGTGTAGGAGCAACTGCTTGTGCTCGACATGGATGCTTTGTTCCTCATAGTATAGTTGATTTTCAGAAGGGTGAAAGGTCTGTGTATGTCCTCCAAATCAACATGTTATGCAAGCTCAGGTAATTTTTAGACACATGAATATCGACTACTCAATATGCAATGCATTGAATTATCATTCAGCTGGTATAGACTCTTCCCTCATCATTTATGATGTGGGGTGTCAGTGGAGCATTAATTTTCTACAGAGAGTAGCCCAGAGCAAGGGCTTGTCTGTACCTGAAAATATGCACATTGTTCCAGCAGTTGGAAAATTCCATCTTAGCGCTCACAAATTGGCTTGCTTTGCAAGGTACAGCCTCAACTTTATTCAAGGGGCTGGACATGTTGATGGGGAGATTTTGGAGACTCTGTGGGCACCATTCAATAAGATCTCCCCAACTGCTCGGTCAATGAGTCAGGCACACCGTCAAGAAGTTCTTGATGATCATATGCGAGACTCAAACTGGAAAAAAATAGTGGGAATAAGTAAGCACTCCAAATTTTGCATTTGATAAAGCTTGAAAATTGAGCTTCCAGTGAAAACTCTCTTGAAAAAGTACAAATGGGCTCTCAAAGGTGTTGATGACACAAAGTCTCCCTTTGACGAGCTCACTCTGTCTCTGGACCCTGAGAAGATTTTGATGTGGAAGATCGATGAGAAAAAGGCCATGGAACAATGTGGAGAGTATCTTGACATCTATCAGTTGCAGATGAACAAAGGTAAGTGAACTCTGTCTAGTTGTGAGGCTGCTATTCTTGTATAGACGTCTAATCAGTATTTGTATCTAGCTCCAACTATGGCAGAGATTAGACTCAAATTAACTGAGTCTGAGAATACTGACACTGGCAAACCTGGGACAGTCTCTTGGCTCATTACTGGCATCAATCTGGAGGATTTACAGTATGTAACCAATACAAATAGAGAAACAGTTTGACTTAGTACTATTTTAGGGATGGACTAAGGGCAGATATTTGACAACTTCCTACTAATGCAACCCCAGGACAGAAAGCTTCTATAGAAGAGAAGTGACAGAGATTGACAGCTAGGATTGCTAAATTTCATGAAACAGCTGATGCCATGACTGCTGGTATGGATCTTGGAACTGCAACAGTGCATTCTAACAATCCTAGATTCTGCTATGCAGGTCATGATGAAAATGTTTGGGGAGAGGTCTCAGATGAAGAGATCTCAGAGTATATTGATGAAGAAATCTTGGCTGAAGAGATGGGTATCTGGATGCCATCATCAGTGCCCTACCAGGATGCATTGGCTCTCGGACTGGGTCCCCTCCAAGTTGAAGAATTAGAACTTCGAAAGGGCCAAGCCAATGACTGCCTCAAAAAGCTCCGAATGGCCCTTGGTCATAAGGCCATCATCTATCGTCAGTATTTTCGAAGTGCTAATTCAACATGGGCTGGGACTAGGTCAAAGCAAGAAGCTCAACGCTGTCAGCTCAAAATTGACAAGTGTGTAAGAAGCTATCAGAGGGCAAGGTCAGCAATGGAAGGTCTAGGCATGGACAAAGCCACCTTGGGGAGTCTTTATCAGCCAATATCGCCTACAGAGCTCAGTATAGACAAAGAGGTGACAGAAGAACATAGATTTGGACAAGGATCAGACAGGCTGGCTTGGTTTTGGAGGGGAAATAATGCAAGCCAAGGTCAAGACGATGCCTGGATAGATGAATGTAAGAAAAAATATTTATCTCTATGATATGTCACTAAAGCTCCAACCGATCTAGTCTACAGGGTGAACTGGTTGAAGGCTAAGGCTAGATGGAATAGATGGCAAGAGGAATTAAGGCTGGTAAGACATGAAATGGGTTGGACCATAAACTGGTTCAAGTACCACCAGAATGAATGGGAGAGAAGGGGTGGCCAAGCCACCAGACCTGGTCATCAAGCCTATGCTTATCAGCAGGTCTTGATGTGGGGAAGATTTGTTGAGGAGGCGGAGAAAAATTTCAATGGATGTCAATTTATACTTTGATGTGGTATACTGTCTTTGCTAGGAAAAATATGACAGGATAATTCTCAATGCTAATGAATGACAAGGTAGCCTAGCTAGCACTAGCTCCACTCTATGTAGTCCACAGCTGGCCAAGATAATTGTATCTAAGATATGGACTGGCCAGATGGTTCCTACAGCATGTATGTACATGGCTGGCCCTTATAAGAGTATATAACTAGCTTATATCTACCCTATGCAGTCCATGTAATTCTGATACCAATAACTGGTTAGCCTTGATTCTACAATAGACAGAATCAAGTCGGCCGGTATGAAATGTTGAAACCAATAACCAGCCAGTCTTGATCATACATGTTGTAGGAACTATCTGACCAGTATACATATCTGAAACCAATGACTGATCAGCCTTGATTCTACTATTGTACAATTAAACCGGCCAGGATGCAATATTAAAACTGATAACTGGCCAGTCTTGATTCTACATGCTGTAGAAGCTATCTGGCCAGTATGAAATTCTGTAACTAATGACAAGTATAGAAATCTCAAACCAATACTTAGCCAGGCTTGATTCTACTGTAGAATTAAACTGGCCAGTCTTGATTCTACTGTTGTAAAATCAAACCGGCCGGGATGCAATGTTGGAACTGAAAACCGGCCAGCCCTGATTCTACTATTGTACAATTAAACCGGCCAGGATGCAATATTAAAACTGATAACTGGCCAGTTTTGATTCTACATGCTGTAGAAGCTATCTGGCCAGTATGAAATTCTATAACTAATGACTAGTATAGAAATCTCAAACCAATACTTAGCCAGGCTTGATTCTACTGTAGAATTAAACTGGCCAGTCTTGATTCTACATGTTGTACAAGCTATCTGGCCAGTATGAAATTCTGTAACTAATGACTAGTATAGAAGTCTCAAACCAATAACTGGCTAGCCTTGATTCTACAACAGACAGAATCAAGTTGGCCGGTATGAAATGTGGAACCCAATAACCAGCCAGCCTTAATTCTATTGTGGTAGAGTCAAACTTGCCAGGATGTAATGTGGAACCAATAACTGACCAGTCTTGATTCTATAAGCAATGACTGGCCAGCCATAATTGTACCTGTAGTAGAATCAAGCTGGTCAGTATAGAAATCTGACACCAATGACTGGCCAGCCTTAATTATACTATTGTACCATTAAATCGACCAGGATGCAATATTAAAACTGATAACTGGCCAGTCTTGATTCTACTGTTGTAAAATCAAACCGGCCAGGATGCAATGTTGGAACTGATAACTGGCCAGCCCTGATTCTACTGGTGTAAAATCAAACCGGCCAGGATGCAATGTTGGAACTGATAACTGGCCAGTCTTGATTCTACTGTTGTAAAATCAAACCGGCCAGGATGCAATGTTGGAACTGATAACTGGCCAGCCCTGATTCTACTGGTGTAAAATCAAACCAGCCAGGATGCAATTTTGGAACTGATAACTGGCCAGCCCTGATTCTACTGGTGTAAAATCAAACCAGCCAGGATGCAATGTTGGAACTGATAACTGGCCAGTCTTGATTCTACTGTTGTAAAATCAAACTGGCTGGGATGCAATGTTGGAACTGAAAACCGGCCAGCCTTAATTCTACTATTGTATAATTAAATTGGTTAGGATGCAATATTAAAACTGATAGCTGGCCAGTATGAAATTCTGTAACTAATGACTAGTACTAGTATAGAAATCCCACACCAATAATTAGCCAGCCTTGATTCTTCTATAGAATTAAACTGGCCAGGATGCAATGTTGGAAGTGATAACTGGCCAGTCTTGATTCTACATGTTGTACAAGCTATCTGGCCAGTATGCAACTTAATAACAAGTGACTGGCTGACTTGATTTTACAACATGTAGAACCAAGACTGGCCAGTTATCAGTTTCAACATTGCATCCTGGCCAGTTTGATTCTACAACAGTAGAATCAAGGCTGGTCAGTCATTGGTTACAGAATTGCATACTGGCAAGCTTGATTCTACCTGTAGTGAAATCAGGCCAGCCAACTAGCTAGCTGAATTCTATATCTTGCAGGCATAAAGCTAGCCACTACCACTGATGGTAATCATTTATATATATATTAACACTAAACACTAATTCTACATACTTCGGCCAGCTGTATTATACATTCTGTAGGCATAAGGCTAGTTATTGTGTTCACAGTAATTCTAATATGTATATATCTACACCAGTCAACACTGATTCCACATACTCCGGCCAGCTGTATTTTGCATACTCCAGCCAGTGACTGGCTGGCCATGATTCTACAGCCTTTTGGCACATCCGGAGCCAGGGTTCTACATGGAAAGTGACTGAAGGGTCTGCCTTGACATCCGTTGAATGTCGTCACATAAAGAGGTCGCAGGGGAAACTGTTTGCGATTTCGGTCCAGCTTGAAGGTGCTGATCCGATTGAAAGAGAAAATCATGCGAGTGCATCTATCCGGTATGAGGAAGCTGATGAGTGATCGCAATGCTGTAGAGGTCACATGTACGCATTGGAAAAAGTGGAGCACAATTTGCAAAAGGAAGAGACATGGCTGCAGGTCGGACCGTACTTATAACCCACGGTATAGCAGCTTACCGGCAGTGTTATAGAAAGCAGGATCGCTGTGCACCGATGATGATCTACATCTAAATCCCAATCAATTGTCCTTGAGTGGTCATAGCGAGCACGGGAGTAGAAGAAGACAAATATACATAAAACAAAAACTAACCAGAAAGTGCGGGATTTGGCCAGTCTGTGCATGAGGTCTATACAGACAAGTCATAGACTCTGTGTTGAAATCTGGGACAAGTGGTTGTCCGGAAAGTGCCGGACAGCAAAGCCTTAGTCTGCCGCGTATTATGTCATATGATTCTGGCGTCAGCCTCTCCCCCCACCGTCAGCTCTTGCCCTGTCAGTCTCTCCCGCCATTTGAATGAGGACGGGCTGCTCATCGTCAGGAACAGCGAGCTCGATACCAGGGCTATTGTTTCCGACAGACGGTATTCCTGTACCTCTTCTAGGGTACGGTCTCCCAGAAAAATTTCACCGTGAGCTCAATCATGCGGGTTTTTCCTGATGCAGTAGATTACGCCAAACCGGATGGTCTGCACATCCGAATATTCGTGCACAACCTTATTCCTTTGGATAAAGCCAAAGGATTTGGCACAGACGCTGCAGGATTTGCCTTATTGTGTGTCATTCCCCATTCTTTCAAGCATTGCATGTACGATGTTCACCTGCGAAAACTAGTCTTGTATCTGCAAGGTGATCTGTTATGACTCAGAACAGTTGCCATCAGAGGTACTTCGTTATGCAGGTAGTTCAGGATTCAGTATCGACCTATCTTTCAGCATACACCTGGGGAGTGCGGTACGTCGATTTGCTATCATACACGGGAAGATTTGTGAGACTAAATAGTATACTACTAGGTATGAGCAAACTTCAGAAGAGAAAATATCGGGCAAGCAATTTCACAAGTCTTCGTTCATCCATACTTGCTATCTGACAATCGTAGACCCTTTGGCTTGATTTTTGTGAGATTGATCTCAGTACACCGATGACAGTGTACATCTTCCAAACGAAGCAAATGGATAACGAGGCCATCATCAAGTATCTCAAACACTTTCGTGCAGATAACATTGGTGGGTATTTCCTCAAAACGCTAAGGGCCGCCAATGTTCACGCGAAAGGTAGTCAGACTGTGAGATCATCCGGCTAGATCCTGAAGCACGTAAATAGATGATCTTTGAGCAAAGTTTCGGAGGCTTCTGTGCCGCCACCTACCTTTTGTTCCACAGTGATGGTTTGAAGGAGATCTTCATCACTGGCGATATCCCACCCATGGTCGACTCTCCTGGTGCAGTTGACAAAGCCCTTGTTTGTGAGCGCCCAGTTGTCTGTCCTCATCTCAACTGACAATTCGTCTAGTGAAGGTGGAAGAATGAAACAAGGCTTACTATTGAAAGTATCCTCAAGATGTTCGAAATGTAAGAAATTCAGACAAGTCTAGTTCCACCAAGTTGTTAATCGGCCACAGGTTCATCGGATCTCAGGTTTCCTAGAAGGCGACAATGTCGTTATTTTGTACGGCGGGAATCTGACGGTCTCACGGTGGCAACAACTCAGCCTGCAATTTGGATCGCATGTTAGGTTTCGATAAGTAAGTGCGGCTTTACATATTTTATGCTTAGGCAGCATCGTTCGGGTTCACCATATGTAGTTTCGCTTCAACTTCGCTAACGAGAGCTCATTCATATGCGCCGAACTCCGAGCGATCACCGACTTGAGCACGTTTGGGAAGTCCTCATATGAAATTTTTGACACTGCAGAAAACAGAGCTCTGACACCAACCCAATTCACCCAGTGCTTCACGAGCCCATTGCCAAGGGTGATTTTGGTCACTGGCCCTATCGCACATTCCATCGCACACTTCTGGAGGTTGTTAGTATCAGGAATAGTTCACAAGTATCTGAATGTATGTATGTAAAATGTGCGCTGCTTCAGCTTCGCACCGAACTCTTGTGCATCGTCAACTTTACATTTTTTTTCCAATACATAAACATAAATACATAGGTCTACCGACGAAGCGTATCGTACTTTGAGTAAGGTAATGCATAGTGAAATATAGTGACACATAGGGAGCCTGATTTCTTGAATGGTCACAGACCTCATACAAATCAATCTCATCCAAGCGCGACCCAACCACACAACTCCATCCTCTGACTGATCTCCGTGGGCATCCGCAACACCATCTCCTTATGCAATTCATTGGCCTTGCAGCTCTCTGAACAAAGCACAAACCTCCCAAGCCCTCCCTCCCGTCCTGCGAAGATGCAAACCGTCGGCGGTCGCTCGGCACGGAAATAGTACATGGTCGACGAGCATGTGTCGATGAGCGTGTACATATGACCCGGTCCACTCTTCTCTTGTTCCTTCGCATACCTATATTGCTCATCCGAGCCTATCCGTCTCGAGAATCGTTCCGGCTTCGAGAACAGTGAACCGCTCGGGGTGAAATACATCCTTGGGAAGTGTGCAATAGTACCCCCGTATAAGTGACTCTCTACCGTTCCTCTATCAACCACTCCTTTGACCCCGATCAACCACGGTTGTTTGTCGATGATACGCCCAGATTTGCTATAGAGAAACAGTCGAGGGGAAAGGAACAGGAGGAGGAGTCCCATTACAATGAGTACGATGCCTCCTGCTCTGCTGGTATGCGGTATAATTCCTAACCCAATCACAATGAACGGCCAGGAGAAATACGGTATGGAACCGACAATCTTCCTCCTCAGCGAAAATGTAGTCGCAAATGGAATCTCCGGGAAGTCCTTCCATCTGATGGCTGCCGCCCGACAGCCATCCAAAACGAGAGCTCCGTTCTCCGTCACACCAGCGACTTGGATCTCCGGAACAATGTCCCAAAGATTCGCATCATAGATATCACTGTCAGCGTACCAGCACGCTCCTGGCGTGGTGGTTGAGGGAAACATGGACACCATGCGATCAGCAATGCGGTCGTTATCGTTGGCCATTGACAACCTCGCGAGTGCGCGTAACTCATCTTCATCGTGGTTCGGTTGAATGCGGTGCTCAAAAAAGCCCATGAGCGCATAGACTTGTTCCGCTTTGTGTGGCTTGTACCCCCCGCCGGTGACAGGTCCCCCACCTATCATGTGCGACTTTGGCGGGGGTGGAGGGCCAGAAGGTGTTGGAAAACCTGCCATAGCGCGCCTCCATATGGCTTTTTTCAACAGTGTCAAGCGCTCCAGCCTCTCAAGCGGATCCTTCCCATTGGCGTATGCATTGATAATTGCTTGTTCATCTTCGGAGTTCGTGTAGGCCAGGTTAGCCAGCTGAAACAACGACAACGGCTCGACCTCTTCCCGATCTCGGAACTTGTAGCAAAGCCGAGTGCTCAGGAGGGCTTCTGGAAAAGTCCACACCCGTCCGCCCCAGCTCCTCCAGCACTCATCCTCTCCAGAGGCAGCTCTCCCGAGCATGATCAAAGTCGTCTCCGCTCTGCGGTAGACGTCTGACATGCAGTACACATCCAGATTCTCCTCTGATGGAGTCTCCCCTAGACACTCCAAGTCGAGCCAATAGGCATTGAATTGCTGTCCGAGCACCGCCGCGCGAACGTCGTCTGTAAACTGTGCCTTTTCTTTCTTCTCACCCGAGCCTCGAGAGTAGACGTCGGTGGCGCGGTAAGAGATGGCGATGTATTTAGCGTGGATGATGGTATCGCGATCTACGCATCGAACCCACTCATTCTTGTTTGGGCTGCGGATCATGAGAATTCGAGGGTAACAAGCATGTGTACGGGTATTCATCCCAGTTTCCTCTTTAACGCGCGATGAATGCTCCATGCGAGAACGAGCTGCCCACAGCTGACCCTGAAACTGGCGAAGATACGGTTTGTAGTATCCTGTGTTATACGACGAATCAGTATCGTCTTCAGAGTCATCACTAGCGTTGAAATAAAGTTCCACGAGAAACCAGACAATTGGCCACAATAGCTTCAGTGCAAACCACACTGATTTTCCGATCCACTCGAAAATAATCCATCCTTTGAAGGGTGAATGGGTTAGCAGCCATATGGCGAGTTTGCTGGCGTCGTTGGTGTGATTTTTGATAGCAACTTCGAATTTTCCAGAGGGTGTGACGGCTTGCACGATGAGCCTTCGGCAGATTCCAGTGGTAGGGCTGATGTATCTCTGCTCTTGACCGTGCGTTGTCAATATTCCTATGTCATTGGAGCAAGTGATATTTGAGTCTTGATGCGTGAGTGGGAGCCAGTGCATTCTAACTGTTCCTGTAAAAGCGTCAATGTAACGATGAGTGCGAAGACTACAGGACCTTCGAGCTGTGAACTAGACTTACAGCGAGGAGAGAATCACAAGCAGGGTTACTTCTCACAGCAATGCCCCAGTATTACCTTTATACATTTCAGGTACTGTAACTCTGGATCTTTAGATCGCACATGATATACCGCCATGGTAGTAGTTGCAAAGTCAGAAACCTCGTCTGATTGGACCGTAAGATCCCGAACAAGATACTGACCAGCGGTGTCATCAGATGCCTGTTATATCATGATATCACGGAGTAACATAGCTCTGAGGGACTTGCAGAAGACAATGAGAATATCTGGACATGAATAAACACCAGTGCAGGCAGGTGGCACAGTAGCGAAAAAAATAGTTTGTCATTCTTTCATTCTTGTGGCAAATTTTTTGATTTCTGTAACACACCTACGCTTAGCAACCTGTGGCGCGTCACGGTTGAGTATACGTACCATTCACTTCAGGGATACTGATGGTGACTAGCCTATCACTGTCAGAGTTTGGACCCGTCGAAAAACTATCGTGGAACATTTGTATCTCTGTTTGGTATAGTCTTGGTCGAACAGCATTGAGCGAGGGACTCAGTCATAGTGTCATGGTGACCACTACTGATGGTACTGGGGCGATCAGGCGGAGCCTGGCAGAGCATGCACATAAGTTGCGTCCGCAGTATCGAATATTTCATTCCTCACATACCATGACAGCGTCAATCAATACATCAGCAAAAGGACTACACGAGTTAGCAAGAGAGTACCAAGAGTGCGAACGACAAATACTCACCTCAGCGATGATGTTAGGACAATGTTCAGGTGAAAACGGCGAAGGCGCCATGATAAGTAACTATGCGGATCTGTGGCTGGGTGTTGATATTCTATAGCACATACGTAGTACCCCATAGCCATTGTGCGCTCACTGGCATAGCCTCGCTGGAGGTCCAATTAAAACACCTTGAGCTAGGTTTATGTATTAGTACATATATAGCACCTCAGCCATGATGCGCTCACTGGTATAGCCTCGCTGCACCTAGGTTTATGTATAGTACATACAAGCGCTCTATTCACCTTCGGATGTTACGTTTTCTGTTTTTTTCTTCCTCTTCTTCTCTTGGAAATATCGTTCGAATGTCTCAGCGACTCGTCATACTCTTGAATGCGCAGTGTATAACTGTCCGTGTGTGAACGAATATGTGCGCAGGTCAAGCACGGCTTTTTCAAGCGTCAGCCCTTGACATCCGATGAATGTTGTCGCATAAAGAGGTCGCAGGGGAAACTGTGTGCGATTTCGGTCCAGCTTGAACGCGCTGATCCGATTGAAAGAGAAGATCATGATGGGAGGCAGACAATGTATCTCGAGGAAGCTAATGAGCGATCGCAATGCTGTGCAGGTCAGAGTCCGCATTGGAAAAAGTGGAGCACAATTTGCAAAAGGAGGAGTAGAGACGCGAAGAATGGCGGGATCAAACATCCAACCGTGTAGTTATGTGAGCGTAGATGCGGCGGCCAAACTTGAATAGCACCTCAGCGCTCAGCCATGATGCGCTTACATACTGGCATAGCCTCGATGCCAATCAAAACACCTTGGCCTAGGTTTACTCCACAGACGAACAAGGCAGGTGGGCTGATAGTAGATGTTTAGGCGAAAAAAGCGCATGTGCTGCATTACGTAACTACGACACCGCCGCCGACCCGCCAGTTCCGGCCATTTTCAACACTCATTTTGCAACACGCCTATGTCAAGAGTCAAGACCTGCAACAGTATTTGTTGCAGGGGCTAACCCACTTCTCTGGGCAGTGGGTCACTCGCGCATTTATGTCTGACCGCGACACTAATTCTCCCTAACTATGCACGGTCCGCCTTTTAACCTCTGAGTGTTATCGCTGTTGTCACGGTATCCTATACTGCTGCTCTGTTCTGTGCGTTGGCTTATCCTTTCCCGCAGTGTGCGATGTTCGTCTGAAAAGTCTCGTGCCGCTGTTGTCCACCATGCTATGCAGTTGCCCATACTACCTCAGGTTGCCCCATTTACTACGATGCACTTTCTTACTTTGAATGTCATTCGTTGCGCTTCGAATTCTCCGGTTGTTGGCTTTCGTGATCTTTCGTTGAGCACCGTGGTCATTGTGATTCGTGCACTGAGCCGTTTGCAGGCTGTGTGTGGTTTGATGGCGAGTCGATTGTGGTGACTCACAACAAGGTGTCTGTGGCATCATCTCTTCTTGTCTTTCAGGCATCCGATCGGACCTGTTGCGCTGTGCTGCATCGGTTGACTTCTTACCAATGTTCTGATGTGATGACATCTGCATCGTTTCCGGAAAAGCCCCACCGTAATCGCAGAACATTTGAGCGGTTTGATGGCCCCCCATTCTGGCTTTCTGCGCTACCTCTCTGTCCGGCAGTCGTGTTCGTCGCACAAAAGTGGCGACTTTTGCGTTATCTTACAGCGTTTTCTCGACCCTTCATGCACATGGGTGGTTTAGTGCTTTGTCGGTCGATGCTGTTTTGAAGTCATACTATCCAAGGCTATCAAACGTTTACTACCACATGATCGTCTTGTTGTCCATCCTCGTTCTCGTACTAAGCGATTGGATTTTCACATTTGAGAACGCCTTTTGTCTCTGCAGTCAGCTTGCTTTCAAATCATCAAGCGATCATTTTCCAAGCGAAGACAATATCATAGCGGAATAAAAGGGGCTGCTATATACCAGTTTCCTACAGATAGATTTTTAGAGAACAGCACGAAAGTTTGCTCAGACAGAACCCTCCCTAACTTATCATGGGAGTAGGGAATGTTGTACACATACTAATCTACATAGCCTAAAGTTTTGCCAGTTCTACCTCCTACACTAGATCATAACACGCGGTCAATCGCTATTGGGAATCTTCCCATACACTAGGATCGCGGGGAAGCGATAAAGCAGTACCTACAGCAAGAAATACAATTGCGGTGAAGAAGTAATATATCGACCATGCATCATGCCCTTTCTGCAATGAATAAGAGAAGACCGAAGATGCAGACGCCGGGCCGATGATTCTTGCTACCGCGACAGCCACCTGGGCAATTCCATTGGTTGCTCCGAGCGAGGCACGATTGGGAGCAGCTGCTCTGATGAATAATACCATGCAGGCTATGGGTCCTTCTCAGTTCAACAGAACGCAGAAAGTACTGGATTAACATACGGAAGCACATGCTCAGGATAGTCTTCAGCATGAGCTGGACGACAACACACAGCCACACCGCCATGCCTATTCCATAGGCTCGAGCCAAAGCATTGGCCACTGGGAATAAAATGACCATGGGTATGCCGGAGCTGACGCCGGTGATGTGGATAGCTCTTGCACCGAAGCAATCAATTAAACGAGTGTAGAAAAGTAGCTGAAATATTCCGTGTATGACACTTGATGCCGCAAGTAAAGTGCCGATGCGAGGAGGGTCAAGGGAAAGACCACCAAGTTCAATCGGTGTGGCATAGAAAACAGGTAAGACCGAATTGAACCCCATTTGAAACAGGCCCGTGGTGGCATAACTCGCTGTCACGCTCAACACTTTCGAGGTTAGTAAAGCACGCAACGGAAGCGGCTTTGATTTGGCTTCGTCAGGATCAACTATAACATTGCTCAATGGTTGGCGAGGTTCTTGTCCGAAGAATCCTCCTTTAATGAGCTCCCAAAGCGGTGTCTTGGTAGGAACGCTCTCGTAACCACACTTAGTGTGATTCAGAGATGGGTTTTCAGCATCGCGCTCACCTCTTTAAGACGGATATACGTGACTAGCCAAATTGTCAATATAAAAAATGCCGAAATAGAGCACGGCAGGAGATATGGGTAGGTTTTCAGGAGTTCGGATCGCCCAAAAATGTCAGGGAATCTGTCTGCTGGTCGGGAGAGCGATCCCCCAATGAGTGGTCTAAATGCCGTCAACCTCAAGTGCGAAAGATAATGTACAGTATACCTACCCAACTGCGCCTGCGATCGTCCCCGGGATTGGTAGATAACTGCATGCCTTGGGCATATTGGTTGCGTCAGTGATGTCCATCAGCATGCTCTTGGCCATACTATCGCTCGCATCGAATGCTCCGCAGACAACACGACTGGTCGAGAATGTCAGGAATTGATGGTCACAGCTACTATTTTGAACACACTGACCTGACCACCAGAGCGAAGAAGGTCTTCGACAGCCCAAACGAAAACATAGATATAGAGATTGCTAATAAAGCTGTCAGTATTACAGGCTTCCGCCCGATGTGGTCGGACAGTTGACTCCAATAAAAAATAGTCAGGGTATGAGCTGCATAGTATGATGATTGCTGAAGAGAATAGTATCATAGATGAACGAAAGGGCAAAAACGATGAAGATATGCTTACAAGGATGCCGGCATAGTGACCGACCTGGGATTCGTCTCCGTGGGTGACTCCAATGTCTCTAATGAGCTTGACAAAGTCCAGTTGTGGTTAGATATAAGTCCAAACAAACACAATATTCTCACTTGAGGAATAAACGGGGCAAGGGTCCGAGAAGAAAGAAGTTCTGGCATCTCCAAGAGTAGTAGAATCCAAATTTGATCCCATGGAAGAGGTGTCTTGGCCATTGGCTGCTCTGGTCGTTGCAGAAGAGGTGTCTCCTCATCATTCTGCTGCGCATTCATGGTGGTGTGAGGGAATGACTCGGATAAAAGATGCAGTTCGTTATACTACGTGAAGTCATTCCAATGAGGCGGTTGCTGACCGGCTTGTTGGCTAGCTAATCGATAAGGCCTAGTTGAGCTGAGATAGAATCAGTCACACGGCACCTCCTGTTATGTAACACCCGGGTATAGCCGTCACAATTTAACATCGTTTATCACTGTAGCTTTATCATCGTAGCAGTGTCAAGGCTGCGAGTTTTCTTTGGTTAATAAAATTTCTGATTTGCGCTGTAAATACGGTCAGATCTTCAGCCTAGGCCATGTCATATTTTCCAACAGAGCCTGATGTACTGTGTCCCAGAATTGCATCTTTGAACACTGATAAGTTGCCAGAAGAGACTGGCAGTAGGGGTTAAATCCATACAACAATAGACTACATACTGTCCAGCATAGGGCCGGGCCCGCCCCACTGGACAATAACCAAGGATAAAAAAAAGGGGTTAAACTTCCACTTCAAGTCTGCTTTCACACGAAACATTACTATTCCCACGCTCCCAGCCTCCCCTACTGAATCAACCTCGGCACGCCCACCGGTATCACCACCGTCTCCAAATCCTCAAGAAAACGTCAAGATGGTGAGTCTCGCTGCCAACTCGACGCCCGATAGGTCTTGGCACATGCGTGCTAGCTTCCTGGGTGAAAAAATGGGATGGAATTGGATGTTTGATGGGTGGATGGAGACGATTTGTATTGGATGACATTTGTGTCAGTGGGAGTGGTGGACGTTATTTCGCGTGTCTGGCTGATACACACACTACTTCGTATTTGCTGACGCACTTTTTATTCTCTAGACGAAAGGTTCGTTTGGTTTCGATTCGATTGTTGGGGATTGGATTTGACGAATGGCTTTTGATCTTGGATCTTCTTGCTGTTGATTAGGTACTTCGTCCTTTGGGTGCGTAGTGTTTTCCCTTCGATCTGCAGTATCTCTCTCATGCGGTTTGATTTGAATCGTGCAGTAAGCGACACACTAAGTCCCACACGCTCTGCCGGCGCTGTGGTCGTCGTGCGTTCCACAGGCAACACAAGAGTGCGTTCTTACACATCTCTTTGCGAGACGGCATCTGACCTTGCATTTGCTCGTCCCTGTCCTGTCACCACGCCCTCCATCCAAATCTACGCTGAACGACCCGTTATTGTCATAAACTAGCCTGTGCCCAGTGCGGCTACCCTGCAGCAAAGTTACGCTCGTATGAATGGGGCCAAAAAGCTAAGCGCAGAAAGACCACCGGTACCGGGCGCATGCGCACGCTCAAGGACGTATCGAGGAGATTTAAGAACGGATTCAGGTGCGTTCCATCCATGCCATGCCCATCCCAGCCATCATATTAATCATATGATGTGTGGACTTTTGCGATACAGAGAAAACACCGTCGCGAAGAAGCGTGTCAGGCCATCCGCGGAGGCATGAGCGTGAGCGGAAACTTGCATATGCCGATGTCGTGTTTGCATGTTGTTTTACATACTTGAGAATTTTTAGCCTATGCTGCTCGCATCATTTTCTACGCACGCACAGAATACATGATTCATGCCATGCCTCCTTGTTGAGCAGAGGAGCTGAGTGATAATACTGAAGGTCAATTGGTGTCTCCTTTGTCTGATGGGCCTACGATTCATCAATTGACGCCCAGTGGTCTCTTCCACTCACTTGAAATTCTCATTCGAAATGTACTCGTTCATTCCCTTGTATTGATAGCTCTACATTGACTAAGCCGCGCAATAATCCGCAATTAACTATTTATCATGTGTAGTCCCCGTTCCAGCCGATGGGTATCTTCAACGCATGTACAATGAACGAATGCTGAAGACCGAAATAAAAAAAGGCAAAATACCAATAAATACTTCTCGCTCGGTCTCCCGTCTGCGGTGCATTCACCACTACTGCCCACAACACGACGCCCCCCGCGCATTCCTCTTCCTCTTCCCATCCTCCAATCCTAACTTAACCGTATTCCCATCACTCTCATCACTCACATGAAACGTCCTCGCCTCCACAGCCTCTTCATACTCCCACTTCTTCACCACGCGCACCGCGATATACTCAAATGCGTCGCTTACACCCGTTCCGGTCTTTGCGGATGTGAAGAAGAGCTTTGGACCTGTGTCTGGTGGGTCCGGGAGGCTGGAGGGTAGGGGAAGGTCTGGGTCTGGGTCTAGTTGGGGTGGGGTGGGCGGTGTAGGTGGACGTTGGCCCCTCGTGAATAAACTCGGCGTGATAGTAAGCGCAGACGAAGAAGACGTTGTAGTAGTCGTAGTAGTCGTACTAGACAAACTCGTCATTCTCCTCACTCGTGCTGGTGATTCCGGTTGGGACCCTGGAAGCGGAGACGACCGTGCGCTTGTATATACATCAGAGAGGGAAGAAGAGGGGGTATGGAAAGAGGTGACGCCGGAGCGGAAGGTTCCGTATAGAAATGTGTTCGCGTGGGATGTACTTGAGGGGGAACGGGATTTTGAGGGCTTGCGGTGGTTTTGGATATCTATTCGCGCAGAGGGGGCGAGGAGGGATGGGTCGGCATCGGCATCGTATTCGTATTCGTGCTCGTGCTCGGGAATGATATCTTCATCTTCCCTTGAAACGAAGTCTTCTACCACGATTTCTCCCTCCTCGCGCTCTACAGGCTCTGGTTCAGAAATAGGCACAAGTTCCTGCACGAATTTCTTCGCTTCCTCCGCAGTGACGCCCATCCCAGGCTGTAACAGATCCATCTTATTCCCAACGACCACACAACAAAAGTTATCAACCTCTTCATCACTAATCGGTGCTCGGTGCTTAAACTCCTCCCACCATTTCGTGAGCGCGTGCATAGTCTCGGGTGCACTGACGTCGAACATGAGTAGGACAGCGTCTGCGCCGCGGAAGAATGCGGAGGATAGGGATGAGAAGCGTTCTTGGCCTGCAGTATCCTGTCATATGCGTGAGCGAATAGCAGGTATAAAGGAAGCTCGAACCAGACCTACCCATATTTGAAGAGAGATGGCCTCGGTTGGTTTTTTTGGGTCAGGAAGAGATTTCGTTATGAAATCTGCACCGATTGTTGCGCGGTAACCGGTGGAAAAACGACCTGATATGTACTGCGCAGCGGTAGATAATAAGTAATGCTCGAGATAATGTTGAAAAGCGGAATACTGACCTGACCACGCAAAGAAGTCTTGCCTACGCCCGAAGCACCGATGACGACGAGCTTGATAGTTCGCATTGCTCCCCGTGTACTGCTCGTCGTTGAGCATTAATGATCTATAACGTTCGGCGGCCAATTGCGCCATATGGTGCTCTCTTCTAAGTTCACCGGCACCGGTCGTTCTCACTCAGCACCAAACCAAACAAGTACAAACCCTTGACATGAACTTTAATCATGAACGAGTCAACGCCTCCAGTGTCCACCATCGTACCCTTCAACCAGTGGACCAACGAACATTACTGAGACTGATATGACTACTCAACTGAATAATGTTATCAACCCTTGATATATTCCAAGAACAAGGTACGTGCAACATAACGTAAGAACGTAATGACAAGACCTCGAAAACCTCGTTAGCTCTGACTTACCCGAGTAGTAGGAACAGGGACGGAAAAAGTCTCTTGACCATAAACAGGAGGCGCTCGCCGACGCCGACGCCGACGCCAACAACGACTCGTCCGCACTGTAACGTCTCAACTAGGGTTGTTCATTACCCATCATTCAAGTTTCATCAGTGCGGCACTGATGAAACTTCACTCGTCCGTCACTTTCGCTGCCCTCGTCCCTCTCCGGTGATCGAAAGTGTGCTTTTGAGCCTACGCTTTGTATGACCACCATCGTCTTTCCCCACCAAAGCTCGCCTTCCCTCCGCCAAACTCATCTTACATCATTCCGCAGATAACGCCAGATACGCCGTCATCGAGTTATTCAACATTGATATCTTCGACCTCAACTGTATCTTCGAGATCGTACCGCTCGCATGTTATCGGTATCACCATCGTCAGATATTTCAAAAGACAACCTACGCCGGTACCACCATCCACCATCATCCTTGCACTTGTAAATGGCAAGAATCACTTAGACGTGTTGTCCGCTTCGGGATCCTTCGTTGAATTTGGAGCCGCATAGAGACATGTCTCCCTCATTTTTGTTTTGCTTTTTCTTCTCATATCTCCTCATCTTGTATGTCGTGTTCTCTAAATCACCTTCCGTCTCGTGCTATCTACTAAGCAGAATAAGGCTAAACAGACACTCCATTGTGACTAGGCGAATGCAGGAAGTGGCGGGAGGTCACGCCCTGGCGCGGTGGCACGAGTCAACGCGAGGTTTTGATGTGTGGAGGTAGTAACGCCAGGCTTCATTAGGTCGGGCGTGGTGGGCAGTAGCACACACGATTGCAAGATGCTTGACCTTATACATGAGCAGAAACTTCCTTACAGAGCGGTGCTGGAGGTCTTGACGAATGCCAAACGGAGGTAATGCACGTTCCTTGTTCTTAATATCTGGAAGCCGGAGTACTTACTTCGGAACGGTAACAGGTCACCTACGACACCCGGTGCCCCTATGTGCGAAGAAGCCGGGCACTTTGCTGCAACTTAAGCTTATCCGTAGGGGCCATATACGTACGTCTGTAGTCATGCTGTCCTATAAAAACCATCACTTTACCATAACGTTTTGACTCTCAATCGTCACCAGCATGTCCCAGCTCCAATCGAATGCCGCAGAGGACCTGATCAACGCCAATGAGAGGTGGGCACGAGACGTAATCAAACACGATCCCAATTTCTTCAAGGACTCTGCTACTTATCCCCAAAGGCCCAAGGTAGGCTCCGTGCCTCATCGCACGCCCCTACGTTAGCTGTCTTCTTACTGCCATTTAGGTCCTTTGGATTGGCTGCTCTGACTCACGAGTGCCGGCCTCTGTCGTCACAGCGTCCATGCCTGGCGATATCTTTACACACACAAACATCGCAAAGTACCCACCATTCATTCAACTCTGAGAAGTACATCATACTCACACTCACTATCCCTACAGCCAATTCCACAGCTTTGACGACAACGCTAACTCCGTCCTATCCTACGCTGTCGACCCGGTCGGCGTCAAACACGGTCAGCCTCTTGTTCTTTGATAATGTTGCGATTGTCCCTCTAACAGGTTTACACTTTTAACAGTCGTCCTCGTCGGCCACAGCGTCTGCGGAGGTGCCCAAGCAGCGATACAGGCTGCTGAAGAAGGGCCCGTCGAGCCCCACAACCCACTCACGCGTTGGTTGGTCCCCCTCATCCAACTTGTTCGAACCCTCGACCTCCACGGGTTGCCTGAGAATGAGGCGGTGGACAAGGTCGTTGAAGCCAACGTCCTCAAGCAGGTTGAAAACATTTGCCTCTCGGAGCCCATTGTTAGTGCGTGGGCAACCGGGAATAATGTCTCTGTGCACGGATGGGTGTACGATCTCGCTACGGGACGCATCAGAGAGCTTGTCGTGCGATCCCCTCCGCGTGCTAATTTATAGATACGTTGAAGATGTAACTGATCAATATGTACAACTTTATATCACGTTGCTTCCCACATGTTCATTTGAAATGCGGCACTGCCAGAGCCTGCAAGAGTGTTCCGTTGTATGTAAGTGGATGAATGGATATTTATAGATAGTAGTGAAAAGGAGTTAAAAGAGACAGGACATTCTGAACATTTTCAGCACATCGTTCAGTCGGACTATAGTAAATTCAGGCTCAGTGATAGGACAAGGGTCTGAGGAGTCACTAGTCAGGCCTCACTAGTGCACTGTCCAACAGGAGCAGTAAGGATGAGAATAAAACCAACTCACACAGTTCATAATGTACATCAGAACAAGGAAGGCAACTCGAAGGTCTAACTTGCGGACAAGCCTCTTCTCCACTACCTGCCTGTTCTGTTCATCGTATCCAGGAAGCACGGGACTATCGCTTTCGCAACAGCTCAATGCTGCCCTGGATGAATTAACAGTGAAAGAGATCATAGCTGCAGTACGTGACGACAACTTGAATAGAGCTGAAAAACGCAAGCGCAGTGACTTAATTAGTGGCTACCGTGCAAGTTTCGACGGACACTCATTTGCCGATCATATCAGCAGCGAACAACAACTTGAAGGCAGCGCAATCTCACGATGTGCTCGGACGTTGAAAATGGTCACTGTACCGCCGGAAAAATCCGAGACCATGGCAAGCAAGAACGGAGCATCACTAGTCACTACTAGATGGTCCCACGAGTCCGTGTGTCCCAAGAGTCCGCGCATTGACTCTAGCACACGCAATTCTGCACAGAATCCTTATCCATGATAGATCTGGATTCGCCCAAACATAATACACACTCCCATATTTTTTTTTGAAGAAAATCGAAGTAGATCTTGTTCCATGGGCAACTTATCAGTGCGAGAGGCATAGAAGGCTCACTCTAAAGGTCAGATCTCCACATATAATTCTGGAATATTGTGAGATGGTTATATACATGATTAGAGAATACTAAAACAAATTTATTCGGGGCACATGCTTGTCAGGATCATCTGCGATAAAGAAATAAGCCCCAGACGTGACAATCTGCCCAAAGCGTTACATAGAGACTGGGTAATCAAAACTCCGCAATGCCGAAATGCTTTACACATGCACAACTTCACAACATTTAAACGGTGCGAATTCTGCGGAGCGTGAAAAGGCATCGCGGCAGACGTGTGACATAGTGTGATGAAGTGCGCGAACTCTAGGGAAAATGCACTTTTCTGCGCGGTAACTCTCCGCTGGACTCAACACGTCAATTTTCGAAAAAGAAACTAGCAGACGTTGTACTTTCGATGTCACGCTATCGAACTGTCAAATAATTAATTTTGTTTGTTTGTGCGATGTGGAGTAATAACCGTTTTGCCAAAAAGGCGCGAACTCCCGTGGACATCTAGTAGGTATCAGTCTAACTTCGAGACACCGCATCTAGGCCTGGAAAAACCAAACAAGTCCATATCTTTGACTTGGACCCGACTTGGGCTTGTTAAGTTACAGCCCTTGAATAAACGTATTCGAAGTTCGAACGCGTCCAAACGCTAAACGCAAATAGTAAGATTATCATCTAACTGATCTATTGTGATGAACGCCAGTCCAGGACTGAATTTTTCCATCATTAGTACTGCGGCGGCAACGCAAGTGGGATGCGTGTGCCAAGGCAGCCTCGTGTCTGGGGCGTCTAATGAGGCACGAGTTGGGCACGAGGCAGAGAAAGATCGATGAATATTGTAATTCAAATCCGCATAAGAACGCCCAGTTCACGAACCTCTGCAATCTAGTGCAAGACGCTTGCACTCCTTCGACCAAGTCTACCTCGATTGTACCCCATAAGATTGACCTCCAATCAAATGGCGTCGCTCGCTCCAAGCACCACGCCAGTTCGAGTGTTTGAAGATCATGAAAGGCGTATAAACGCAGTTGCGGTTTTACCTGATCAACGGCGCATGGTCACAAGCTCGGAAGATAATACGCTTCGTCTGTGGGACTTGAAGGAAGGTGCTGTGTTGAAGAAAATGGTGGGGCATCGTGCCAATGTGAAAGCATTGGCGGTATCACAAGATGGGCGATTAATAGCAAGCGGTGATCTGGACGGAGAGCTCAATGCTTGGCATGGAAACACCGGAGATTCTCTCACCCCAACTATCAAAGCTCACCAAAATATCTATTCCCTGGATTTTTCTCCAGACGGCTCAATGCTAGCAAGTGGTTCATGGGACGACACGACCAAGCTGTGGAACACAACTACGTGGCAACCGTCAGGAGCACCGATCAGTTGTGGCGCAGATGTCAACTGCGTTCGGTATTCACCATCCGGCGAACTGCTTGCCATTGCAACAGACCACAATATCCAGATTTATAAGTTACTAGGTAAGCGTGACTGCATCGCGAAGTTTAAGGGTCACGCGGCATCCAGCTCAACATACAACTATTCTCTCGCCTGGACGCCCGATGCTACACGCCTTCTTTCAGCGGGCAATAGTAATGATTGTACCATACGGGCGTGGGATTCATTGACCTGGGAGCAGGTTGGTGATCCATGGACAGGTCATACCGGTGCTATCAACTCCATTGTCGTCGATGCTTCTGGCACGCTCCTTGCATCTGCATCCAGTGATAAATTTGTACGCCTCTGGCGGCTCTCGGATCGGCCAATGAAGCACTCCAGCGACGTGCAGTGCGTCGCCTTCTCCGTAGACGGCAGGCACATCCTCAGCGGAGGTGATGATCTTAAGATCTCAGAGTGGGAATTACCCAAGGGACTGTCACTGGTAAGTGCCCGGTGATTTCTTATCCTCAGTTTCATCTCACAGATTTGATGAAAAGGCTCAAAGCTCTGGTTTCAAGGCATGTATCTACCTTTGACTCTTGTCGTACAACGCGAACATATTTCACGTAGATCCTTGTTATCAACGCGGCAGCCCGCAATGCATGTATAACTGGGGACCTGCCTGCTGCTATACAGTTGTTCACACAGAAAATAGACGCCGATCCCAACGACTTTGATTCCTATGCCAATCGTTCATTCGTCATGGCGAGACAGTTTGCCTGGAAGGACGCACTTCAGGATGCAACCAAGGTAAGATACTCCGACCCATCTCGCTCCACTTAATACGGGCTAACCTGGATGGTGACATAGTCGGTCAGCATCGAGCCCTCCTTGATCGGCCATATCTCCAAGGGCCTCTCCCTATGCGGAAACCAGCAGGTGCAAGATGCGATGGTAGAATTTGACCTTGCGTTCGCGTTCACGAACGCAGACCCAAAGACAACTCATTTCCTTTTCTTGATCAAGGTAGGTGATTTCGGAATCATACTCTACGCTTCATCATGGTTTTTCAGGCCATCACATTGTTCAATACCAATCCTTGCGAACAGACCATGCTGCCTATCCAAGAGTTAGCTGCTCGTCCCAATGCCGATCCTCTCGCTTGTCGTGTCGTGGAAGTGAGTGTGATACATTCCGTTAATATCATGTTCGTGTACTCACCGAATTTCTTAGGCGTATATGCAAGTCCAGCTTGGGACCATTGCCATGGATGGCGCGCTTCACAGAGATGCTGCCGGCCACTTTACTGCCGCGGTCAACGCTGGCGCTTTCTTTTCAAAATTGGACATCCATTCTATGTACGAGGACTTTGTTGTGGTACGTTGATATGATGTAACAATCTGATTCATGCTCAACTGCGTGCTTGTGCAGCTTTTCGGCTGGGACCTCAAGTCCTTGTGGCAAACCGCAAACCAACAACGCTGTCACGCACTTGTTCGGGCAGGTAAAGTTGGGGCTACCCTCGAAGCGTATCGATATATGATGGACATGAGTGACGAACCCACGAAGGCCATCTTCCGTGCTTGGGTTCCTGGCAAGTCTTCTGCGTGCCATTCATACTACAATTCTCACTTATGTGTCCCTCAGCTCTCGATGAAGAATAGCTAAATGTCCACAAAGGCGTTGCCCTCGCAACGAGTACTATTCCAAAAAAAACCAAACTATTTCTATGTAGAGCGCTATATTCGATAAACAATAAGTACTTAAGTACTCGGAACATCCAAAACTTAGATAAAAAATACCACAATAAAAACCTTCCCGCTTCCTGCAGAATAGTAAAGAGCAATGGAAAAGGCATCCTTCGTCTGTCATTATACCAGCGTGCAACATACCGGAGTTCCGTCACTGCTGATGATCTTGTCAGAATTCAGACATGAGATGAGTCGATCGGCAGGTTCTTATGTCTCCGCACATGCGAGGTGTAGCCACTGAATGATATTCGAGGACACTTCGAACATTTTCAGTACATCATTCAGTCGGACTATAGTAAATTCAGGTTCGGTGATAGATATAAAATCGTCAAGGGATCAAGGGATCAAATCGTACACTCGATATCAATAAAACCATCATTTAGCACGCGGAGCTATATCACAGGATTAGCGGAAGAAACTGTACTTATGGAGAAGGCCACCTACACATTCACCGCCCTCGCGATCTGCTTGTCGAGAACTTCACCTGACAAGGGAGTTGATCACTTGATACCAAGACATCTCAGTTAACCTACTACACCTTTATCCAACACAATAGAATCTTAACCGATCACCGCCACCTTGATCAACGAGTGCTATAAGAGATATCTGAAGCCTTTGAGCAGCCCTAGAGCCTGCTCTTCAGCTTCAGCAGCTCTATTGCACCGTGACAGGTGCCCTCTAAATACCCAAAGCATCGCAATAGACATGGTGCTTGTCAAGATGCATATGAGAAACGAGTTCGCGTATGATGGCCCCCAACGGGACGGCCAAAAGTACCTGCGACATATCAGCGGCACCACGGAGTAAGAGTAGGCTATGAACTGACGATGAACCGATGTAGCCAAGTGATGACATGGCATTGATTAATGCGATGGCCGCAGCGCGTTTCGACTGTGATTGGGAAAATGTGTTCATGACCCAGGTCAAAGACACGATATGTGCAACTGGGGCCTGAGCCATAAAGAATCTTCACAGAAAACGTTGAGATTGTGGGATCACGAGACGAGGAGAAGGTTCATACAGGGACAAATATCGAACAGCCGCATTCATAGTAGAAGTTGCAATCATGAACCCAACGATGGCGACAAATAGAGGGCTAGCGATATGCCAGAAGCGATCGCCAGTAGCATCGGAGTGCCTTGGCCATTGTTAATTCACCATTCCGGACTTTCAAGTAGATACTGACCTGGCCACGAGAAACAAGGTTGCAGTTCCCAAAATCCACGGAGGTGCACACAATAAGAGGGTTATAGTCGAGTTGTAACCCATCGTAGCAGATAGTGTCGGGAAAAAAATGTAGAACGACAAAGAAGCCTCCATCAAAAGAAGGGCAGCGCCAAGCCACCATACCCTCCAATCTGCAAGTGCATCGACAAGGCCAGACCAACCCTCCACAGGCGCGTCTTTGTGCTCATTTGCGACTGCAACTTCCTCCTCCATCCGTCGTTTGGCCAGGGCCTGTTCATCAGGTAAAAGCCAAACACTGGGCGATGACGGAAAGTCTGGTAAAATCCAGATTGCAGACACTGCAACAACAATTGTCAAAGTCCCCTCTATAAGGAAGAGCCACCTGCAGCAGCACAATCAGAGCGATTCTACTTTGAAAGCATACATATTTCGCCTCTTACCTCCAAGCCGCAAAACCTAGTGTACTATCTAGGCTTCCCAAGATCCCTGATGCAAAAAGAGCACCAAAAGCATTGCTAATCGAGGCGCCGCAAGCAAGAAGTGCTGTCCGTAATCCTAGTTCGTTGCGCTTGTACCTAGAAAAAATTCAGGATATGCTGTTCGGAGGTATTGGGCAACTATACCATCGTGAAAGAAGGAAAATAGCCCCAGGAAAAAATACTGCCTCAACAAATCCAAGCATGAAGCGCAAGATAAGAATGGCATGATACCTAAAGCAGCGTTAAGTCAAGGCCGGCAAAAGAATGGATGCTAACGTTTGTGCTACGCCTTTTCATGACCCTCGTTAGGCAATATCGATTCAGTGAATGGTGTACGTACCGATGAACACAGTGATAGCACCCCATATTGCCATGCAGTTTGAGAGGTACAGCGATGGCCTCGTCATACGGTCTAAGAACATGTTGCTGTTGAATTCTCGGATGGGCCACGGCAAGATAACGTGCTGATACATACGAAGGAGCTTGCGTCAACAAATACCCCACGTAAAAGATGCTCATGAGCGTGTTAAACTGATTCCCCGTCATACCAAGGTCCTCCTCGAAACCACGCAGCCTTGCAGCACTATTTCAACCGAGAGGTAATTGAACCACACTATTCCAATCGCGAGTTCGTACGTACGCTGCATTAGTGCGGTCCATCTATGCAAGAAATTAATGCAATAGCAGAAATACTAGATACACCGACTCACACAGTTCATGATGTACATCAGAACAAGGAAGGCAACTCGAAGGTCTAACTTGCGGAGAAGCCTCTTTTCCACTACCTGCCTGTTCTGTTCATCGTATTCAGGAAGCACGGGACTATCACTGCTGTTAGAGGCACCATAGTGGGAACTGTTGCCAGCACTGAGCAAGGGGTGATCTGACATTCCTATGGAGCATCATGCATTACTGACAGCCTGAGTACCGACGTACCTACAAGTGATCATGTGATGATGCTTACCAACTACGTCCCGGGACGACGTTTTGATCTGTTCTGCACTTAGCGGCTAGCCTACCTCAAGTAAACATGCACTGCTTGTAGTACACAGCCCAAGGTATCTGTTCGCACTTTTATTTTTCTTATCGAACTGACATCTACTTGCTTACCAAATTTGTGCACCATGCAACGTGGCACTTTTTCCTCGAGTGGTGACGTCACTCAAGGAAAAAGTGCCACGTTTTTCATCATGTGACTGCGGGGCCTCTAAAAATAGGCCTGCGAAAACCAGACAGTCCAAATCTTTGACTTTAACTTGGACTCGACTTTCGTCATGGACGAGTCAACGCCTCCACCGCCAGATATCGACGCATACCCACCCCCACCCCCACCATCAGCACCAACAGACACACCAACAGATTTATTGAAAGGCGTGGTCGGGAAAAAGGTCTAGCGATGTAGAGAGGGGCTGCAATGGTGCTGAGGTGCGCAGAGGTACACGACATCGGATCTTGGCTTTGAACGTATGCAGCAGAGGAGGCAAAGGCAGATGAGACTTGGTATCCAGTTGAACCAGCGGCGGATTGAAGTCCTCGTCGCATGGGGTGAGCTGCCGTTTAACTTGAAGCGCCAGGACTTCTTCGAGATCTAGCCCGCATACAAGCAAGGTGCACGAGTTTCCACCAGAGTGTTCTTGCATTATCGGTGCTTCGTTGTTTGAATTGACCGTCTCAGACACGAAGATGAGCACCGATGTAGGCAGCCTAACGCTTCATATATCGTGTCAGCCACAGGAGACACGTATGGATTCATAGATGGAATAGAAACATTTGTCCCGCGTAAGTCTTGTAGCATCAAGATATCTGCGTCAAAGATATTGATATAAAACTTTTCATATATTGTGCTGCTGGGCTTCCGTCCCATTGGATCATCTTTACTCGAATTCTCTCTCCTATTGTCTGTAGATTGACGAGGTAGTCCTATGGGATGGAAGTTCATTCGTTGTACCTGACATTCGTCAGGTGCTGGTATGCCGGCAGGGACGAGCGAACATTGCTTAAGCCTGGTTCTGGACCCAAGCATGAGGAAGCGTCTTAGTTTTTCAGAAGAAACGTATCGAATTGGTTTTCCAAGGGAACAGAAGAAGGCGATCAAGTACTTTAGCGAGAACGATATCATTCTCGAGTACGATGCGTTAGTTGTGTAATCCGGTGTGGGGAAAATCAGAGAGGTATTTGCGAGTGGGGTTACTTTGGGAAGGCGGTTGTGCATAGAGAGCGAACCTTGAATAAATGATACACGAAGAAAAAGCATATGACTCATGCGAATCGTAGCTAGGAGTATTGAGCATCGCAAGTTTCTATTTTGGTAGTGGGATGGCGGTAGTTTGGCACTCATTAGGCTTTAACTGAGGGGAGAACCCAGTGGTGTGATGTGAATGCACGCATCTGGTACGCGCTTTTTGTGAGTGTCACGGACGGAGACTGGAAGTGTACCTGTAGACATGATCAAGACAGGGAAAGAAGATAGCGCAGCGGAGCCATAATTAGATCCGGTTTGGACCGGACTCAGGCTTATTCGACTAATAAAGTATCTGCCTCGAGCAAGCCTTGAGGCGTGCCATAATGGTTTTATATAAATGATGTGGGCCCATATTTTACTTGTTCCCACTGTTTATTGCAAATCGCGATGACTCCGAGGAAAGGCAACTCATCGAAGGGTTCAACTCAAGAAAATCACACATCTAGTCAAGCAACAGCTACTGGAAGCTCGGTACGTGGCTTATGAGGATCACTTTCTTTAGTCCACTCCAAAACTGACATTGACATATCCTTCGTCTAGCATCGGCCCCGTAGCTCAATCGGTCAGTTTCTGAAGAAGCTCAGGGAAGATGCGAAAAAGTTGAAGCCGGTGAGTTCACAAGAATGCATAACGAGTCTCCTGGAATGCGACTGAGATTGCAACAAGCGCTTGAGGGATTCTCGCAGCCTTAGCCCTGCTCCCCTAAGTGATGAACCTTTATCGACCCCGAACACCGAGGTAAGTCCTCATACTTGCCCTTTAGTCTCTGTCTCTAAATTTTGGTGTTCGTGCACGTTCAGGCCGCTCCGTCTGTTGTGGAAGGGGAAGCTGATACCGAATCGGCACTTCAGGATGCACAAGAGGATGTAAAGCACATTCATCTACTTTCGGGACCTGTGACAACTGCGGCGTCTGTTACCAAAGGTGCACAAGAGGATTTGCATGATGCTAGCAGTTTCCAGGAGACGTATCTCCAACCCCTCAGGATATTCGACGATGTCATTGGGAAGATCGCGGATGTATGGGGTTTCCTTTCAATCGGAACCGAACTAACCTAGTTCTACAGCTACATCCATATGCAAAGATGGCATTGGGCGTGTTATCTTGGACAGCCAAAGTATGCTTTCTTTTGATCTCTTCCTATCTCACACCACTCATCAATCATCTGTGCAGATTATTCTAGCTCAAGCGGATCGCGACAAAGAAACACTTGCACTTCTCAAGAAGTTGTGTGACATTTACGACTTCATGACACAAGACGAGAAGCTTAACCAAAAACTGTCTATGCGTGCTATTAGTGTCCTCGGAAAGATATCTAAGCAGATCCGTGAATGCGCCCATTTCATTAGCAATTATTTGGAGACTAGCAACTTTTGTGAGTGTCACTCGCTGCTGCGCTCTGTACCTTCTCAAGCTTCTACCATCATCACAGGGAAGAGACTCGGAAAGAACGTCGTCTCAGAAACGACAGATACGATCCAAAAGTACAATGACGTGTTAAATAGTCTCATGCAAGACTTCCGGGACCAGGTTTTGCACGATATAGCCATACATGTCCACGATACAGGTGAGGATTCGGACGTCCTTGCAACTTGACATATATTCATATTTTTTCAGAAGAAATACTGGTGCTCAGTGATATGACCTATGCAGAGTGCGCGGGACTAGATAGTAGGAAAGAGTGCCTTGAAGGAACGCGCACGGAAATCCTTTCCGAGATCACGGATTGGGTCAGGAGCACTGGGGACGACGTTCCACGCGTGCTGTGGCTATCTGGGCCTGCAGGCAAGGGAAAATCGGCGATCGCCCACACCATTGCTAAGTGGTTCGACGACGTGGGGGGGCTTGGTTCTTGTTACTCTTTTGACCGCGAGCGAGAAGCAGATCGTCGCCACGAAAAGATCTTTTCTATGATTGCGCGCGACCTGGCCGACCGTGACCCGCAGATGAGGCGAGCATTGGCAGATGCAGTCCAAAAAGCAAATTCGCTAAAGAAGACCGCGGATATCATCCAACAGTGGCAGAAACTTCTCATTGAACCACTGAAGAAGTCATCTGGGTCGACTAGAGAACCCATCGTGATCATGATCGATGCGCTGGATGAGAGTGGTGAAGCAAAGACACGGAGAGACCTCCTCCATATCTTAGCTGACAAACATAAAAAATCCGGCATTTCCAGAATCACAGACCTCCCAGACAACTTCCGCTTCATCGTGACCTCTCGCCCGCTTGATGACATCAATAACGAGTTTCGCGGTGTTCGACATATTCGACCGATGTCGATGGATGATATCCCACCAACATTCGCAGAGCGCGACATCCGTGCTTACGTGTCCAACGAGTTGGAAGACTTGGATTTTCAGGACAGAGAGTTTGCAGTCCTCGCTGAGAAAGCTGATGGACTTTTCGAGTGGGCGCGTCTCGCTTGCGAATACATCAAAGAGTCCCATACTGGGCTATCTCAAATGGATTGCTACGAGGCTGTGGTGTCACGTGTTTCCACTGAGCGAAGCGTGCTGTTGCACGATATGTATCGCCTCATTCTAACAGATATCATGCACAGGGATACATCCACCAATGTCCAGCATTCACAGAAACTGCGTTCGACTGCGCCAGCAAGATTTTGCTCGGTGATGGCACAAATACTAGGCACAGCTGAGCCTCTCACTTTAGCTTCCCTGAACGCCATGAGGGACCATTTTCCAAACTCAGAGGATCATCTCGACGTGGGGCTTGTGGTAAAAACCATGGGCTCCCTCCTCAGCGGCACCACCAATGCAGATTCCCCAATTCGACCCCTTCATGCATCCTTCCGCGATTTCTTGACAGACAGATCATCCAGTCAAGAGTTTTTCGTCGACGTATCGATGGCGCAACGCGATCTTGCATTTGCGTCACTCCGAGTAATGAAACATGGTCTTTGCTTCAACATCTGTGATTTAAAGTCGTCGTATCTACCTAATAGTGAAGACCCCGGACTGCAAGAACGAGTCAAAACATGCATCCCCCAACATCTGTCGTATTCCTGTCGATTTTGGACTTCGCACGTACTAGACACAACTTTTGACAAGGAGCTCGCGAAAGAGATAGCATTGTTCTTCGAGCACGAGCGGGTCTTTTTCTGGCTCGAGTCACTGGCCCTGATCGATACGCTTAGCAGTGCAGTTACTGCCCTTCTGCTCGTTTGCCGCTGGCTAAAGGTCAGTACATTACTACGGAAGGTCAGATAAAAGCGCTCATGTGCATCCCCAGGACCATTCCGAATTCGCAAATGTCTCATCGACTGCAATGGACGTACAGAGGTTCATTCAAGTCTTCGGCAGCATGATTCTTCACAGCACACCACATCTATATGTATCAGCACTCCCGTTTTCGCCTGCCAGTTCTCCGTTGTGGAGAAAGTTTTGTGCACGATTTCCGAATGTTCTTCATGTGGTATCCGGACGTGATACGGACTGGCCAGCTGCTCAGACCTTGCTCATTGGGCACACTGATTCAGTCAACTCGGTCTCGTTCTCGCCGGACGGCACTCGCATCGTCACCGGTTCTTGGGATCACACCGTTCGGCTGTGGGATGCAGGGACGGGGAAGCCAGTGGGTGAGCCCTTGCGGGGGCACACTGATTCAGTCTACTCGGTCTCGTTCTCGCCGGACGGCACTCGCATCGTCACCGGTTCTTTGGATCACACCGTTCAGCTGTGGGATGCAGGGACGGGGAAGCCAGTGGGTGAGCCCTTGCGGGGGCACACTGATTCAGTCAACTCGGTCTCGTTCTCGCCGGACGGCACTCGCATCGTCACCGGTTCTTCGGATAACACCGTTCGGCTGTGGGATGCAGGGACGGGGAAGCCAGTGGGTGAGCCCTTGCGGGGGCACACTGATTCAGTCTACTCGGTCTCGTTCTCGCCGGACGGCACTCGCATCGTCACCGGTTCTTTGGATCACACCGTTCGGCTGTGGGATGCAGGGACGGGGAAGCCAGTGGGTGAGCCCTTGCGGGGGCACACTGATTCAGTCAACTCGGTCTCGTTCTCGCCGGACGGCACTCGCATCGTCACCGGTTCAAGGGATCACACCGTTCGGCTGTGGGATGCAGGGACGGGGAAGCCAGTCGGTGAGCCCTTGCGAGGGCACACTTCTTCAGTCAACTCGGTCTCGTTCTCGCCGGACGGCACTCGCATCGTCACCGGTTCAAGGGATCACACCGTTCGGCTGTGGGATGCAGGGACGGGGAAGCCAGTCGGTGAGCCCTTGCGAGGGCACACTTCTTCAGTCAACTCGGTCTCGTTCTCGCCGGACGGCACTCGCATCGTCACCAGTTCTTTGGATCACACCGTTCGGCTGTGGGATGCAGGGACGGGGAAGCCAGTCGGTGAGCCCTTGCGGGGGCACACTGATTCAGTTGAGTCGGTCTCGTTCTCGCCGGACGGCACTCGCATCATCACCGGTTCTCAGGACACCACTGTTCGGTTGTGTGATGCAGGGACGAAGCAGCCATTGCAACAGTGCGCCCAGTCGGATATTCCAACATTATCAGATGAACGTCACAAGATCGAGGCCACCGCTACCATGAAGTCGAACAATCGGAACAATCACTTCATTCGCTTCTCGTCCAACTCTATCCACGCTCTATGCAATACCTCTGAGTTAACGGAGGGAGCATCCCATGACGACCACAGTTCGACCCCTTTGACCTCCTTTTTTCTGAATCATGACAGTGGATGGGTAGTAGGGCCCCAAAACCAGCTCTTATTCTGGGTACCCCCTGCTTCTCGACACGGATTTTACAACCCTGCAACTACATTAGTGATACCCAGAGGAGGTTCCGAGCTTGATTTAAGGTGCATGGCACATGGACGGCACTGGCAAAAGTGTCGAGAGGAGTAAGTCTTCTCAAAGCCCTTTCCGTCCCTCGCACTAAAATCAACACTTGTAGGCCTTAGTAATGACGCTGATTGCAGCAATTGATCCATTATGGACATTTCAGATACGATTTAAACGTGACACCAGTATACAGTGTATTATACCTCGCATTCTATTCTATACTCAATATCCAGTCCAAGTCCAGGGTTGTCTGACCGAACGCCGGCTTAGGCTTATTGGAGAGCTGACTGTCGGACTCCTATGATGCATGATGTTCGTGCTGGTTCGTGAGAGCGTGCAAAGACAGACAAGGCATTATAGTATCACATCGGTGCTTCCACGTTGCATACTGAGAAGCTGAACAGAACGACGTCGTGGTTGTGGACATTCGTCATAATGCAAAAGGAAGAGTCTGCGCCGCAGCGCTTTGTATTTTAACTGGCTTCGCTGGGATTTCAGTGTGCTTCTGATGTCACGTGGACGTTATGCCATGAGTCCACCATATACAACACCCGTTGGTCGTGACAAGTGCGAACGATTGTTTCTTATCGTTGAAGCACTGCCTGGAAAACTAGGTAAACGTCGGATACTCACGCTTGCAAGTCACGATCTATGGTCAAAATTCACTTAGCACTACTCCAAAAAAACCAAACTGCATCTCTATGTAGAGCGCTATATTCGATAAACGATAAGTACTCGGAACATCCAGAACTTAGATATAAAAATACCACAATAAAAATAAACCCTCCCGCTTCCTGCAGAATAGCCCACAAGTACAAATCATATCGAGTATCTCCCATGCTACACACCACCGCCATTTGATATATGCACGCGCTCCTGGAAAGACATTGGAATCATGCTGGGACCTGCATCTGAATCGGCCATGAGCCTAGTATGATATTCTCGCACACTAAGGATCAGGCGTGGTCCCAGCACAAACATCTCAGCAAGCGTGAAAATTTGGAGAAAACCAAGATAAATCTGAGTTCCCGGGGAGTATTTGTCCTACAGAAATGATGACTCGGAAATGTGGTCACATGCAGAGATCAGGGATAGATCGACATACCGCTGAGATCATTGGCGACATATAACCGAGCTTCAAGCAAGCAGCAGGAAGCATGCTAACACATGCAGAACTTCAGCGGGAAAAGATGATCACGTTCATATCATGAACTCACCTCGCAAAGTAACCCACGTGAGTTTTCAACAATACCGTGAAACAGTCCCTTATAATTTGGCCTGCCGAATGTCTTTGTAGTTCACGGAAGTGCTTTACAGCGATCCGGACAGCGAGACACAGAGTGAGGACCTCCCATGCAATCCCGAGTGTCCAAGCTACGGAACCCAGAAGGACCACATCTTCCTCAAATTTAATAGCGCACTGATAGGTCCCGGAGAGAACAAGCTCCTCTGGAATCAATGAGCCGGATGCGCTTTGAAAGTCTGTCATCTATAAGCACACTTACCTCCTGAAAAATGCCTCATCGTTATTGCGACCACCACTATATTGACAATACCAACAGCCAGAAAGGCGATAAGCAGAATTATCAGCACCGTTCTGGAATGCTGATACATGGCGTGCAACCGAGCAATCATGATGACTAGCATGATGTTTCAGCCAAGTCAATATCACTGAGGTATTACAGCTGCATATCTCACCTTCCAGCATTGTAATTACGATCACGCCTATCCAATTTAGTGCAGCGTACATAATCTGGCCTGAAACCTCAAGTAAGCGCCTGACCTCGGATGATCACATACTTGTAACAGACTCACAACTGCGACAGTCATTATGTTTGAACCAAAAGGCTGGTCAAGGATCCCACCCACCCCCACACAGCGTAACAGTTAACCCGACGGGAATGGCAGAGATTAGCGCAAAATACTCACTACATCTGTCACCAAGATTGGAAGACTCACTGTATGGCGCAGGTCAGAAGAAAAACACACAGTAAATGTGAGGAGACGTACTAAGCATGTTGATACTGATCGTGAGAGATAACCGATTAGTACGACATCGTTTTCTTAGCCTTACAAACATACACGGCATGAATTATTCCAACATAGCGCACCTAGGATATCTTCGAGTCAGCACAACTTAGCGATTTGTGATGCGATTTACAAACGCTGAGATACAGAAAAGTCATGAGGGACCAGCGTTGCCTCTGTTGTGAATGAATTGTATTTTTGCATTGTTCCTCTAGTGCGGGACTCTGCTCACCCAGATTAGTTCGACCTACGAAAATCACTTAGCCAGTGAGCCACTCCATTACTAACGGCACCAACTAACCTCTTGTCCGAATGTCAGTGCTAGAATTTTCATGAGCATATCAGCGGTCCTGTAATACTATATTGCTCACCCCAATCATACATCAACACAGCAGAGGAGGCAACTGCGAAACCGCAGCCAGGGTTAGATTTATGTATCACCCTCTTCGTCTATGATTTAACTGGTTCTAACTGATCCTCCACGAACCTGCAAAACAACTAGCAATGTGACTCGCATTGATAGAAGGCCACGAGCTGGGATCATTTGAGATTAGGGTCATTCTGTTTTAGACCGGGTGTGAGGAAGCGACAAAATTGATGGAGTACGGCAATGGCGTTTGTGATAGATATATCACCTTTGAGCGCTTTTTTGACCGAAAGTTACATGCTAGTATCGGCGATGAATTTGCAAAACAGTCCACGTGGGCGGAGTGTTTCACTGCAAAAGTTCAACGATCTACTAACGCTCCCCTGAAAAGATGGGATAAGCTACTATCGAAGAGATCTTCCATCTCGATCGGCATTGGCACTCTCTGCCTCGGCCCCTGATCTTGGCTCTGGGGACGTAACAGCTCTTTCGCATTCTGTCGGGATGATGCTAGTCAGAGATGGAAAACACAGCAAGTCCACATGAAGCTGGTCTGGGCTGCCAAGACATCACTCAGCCTGTCAAATCTCCTTGCTCCTCGGCGACGAGCCCTTGTCTAACTAGGATTCCAAAAGTATCAGTAAGCGTGAAACCTATCTATATCGTGCACACCATACCAAATTTGTGCAGTTGAAACTTGATGCGGTGATGATGCCATCAATTTTCACATGATACTACGAGCCATTTCATAGCAATATGGGATTGGTATCTGGTGAATAGTGTACCACGCAATCAAAACCACAAGGTATGAGTTGATACTAGCGGCTGTGAGCGACGACATGCCACAAGGATGCTCAGGGCATTGATACGATGATCGCGAGAATCGCGATGCACTAGTAGTAGCGGAACCAAGTATATCTGAAGAGTTAGAGTCCAACTTATGTTCCAAATGAACGGTAAGAGTCGGAGGTGTTTGTGCTTGTTGAATTCAAAGGCTTCCGACTTAGTACACGTGCAACTCTTCCTCAAGCACAGCCATTTCCAATGGAACCAGTAGGACAAAATTACTCTCTCTGGGCATGAGAAGGCGAATCTCTACGCTTTCTCCTTTAGTTGGTCCTTCCGCAGGAGCGGAATGACCTCCATACTCTAAGTTCTCTTCGATTATCTCCCAGTCAAACAGGCTTTTTATCTCGAGCCCACCATGCGCGTCGCAAGGCATTTCATTGAGTGTGTATTTGTTCATGACTTCTGCTCTTACCTAGCACTGAACATCGCTTCTCAGCACTGTCATCCTATTGGAGATATGGGATTGTCCAGGAAACGTCACCGTCGACACACCCGGTCTATCTCTCGCCGATGTCTCAACTATAGTCTTTGTCATACACATTCGAGTACGTATACTGAATCTATCTGCCGACTATCATCCTCATCTAGATGCACAGGGTCTCTACCAACATCCCATCTCAAAGCTCGTAGAGTTCAGTCGATGTGTACCAAATCAACCCATACATAAATTTTAAAATATTTGCACACAAAGCCGAAAGGCTTCAAGAGGACAACAACATCGGTATGCCAGTTCCGCATACATTATTTGCTCGTGAATGAAACAGCACGCAGGACACTTCCGCCAGGTACATGAATGCGTCATGGACCGCCTCAGATGAATCTCCCGAATTTGAGCAATTCCTTCTCCCTCTCACCTCCATATATGACCACTCTGTTCGAGAGGCGTTCTCGCGTGCTTTATAAACTGATCGATCCCCTACCATATCTCGAAGAACTGTTAAATATATTTTGCTCTGTACGTGCCTTCATTGCTATCTATCCCCACAGGTACATCTCATCACTTGCAGAACACAGCATCTCCCAAAGCTTTCCTATTCGATACATCCAGTAAAATCCACGTTGCGACAGATGCCTGTCGATTGTCCCCAACGCTAGCACCAGCGCCGCCACCCATAGCCACGACATCAACTCCCACCTCTGGCACCACTCCCGCCGGAAAATCGCCACTCACCTCATCGACATCCCTCATACCAGGAACTACGTTCACGTAACATCTCGTCATGCCGCACCTTGCATTTCTGGCACTCCTTCCAACGACGGTGTATGATATGCGCAGGGGTTTAGTCGAGTGGAATGTTGTATGGCTTAGGGTGGTGTTAGGGAGATATGGGAATCTAGGCTTAGGAACGAGCCATAGCTCTGGTGATAGCTCTGTTGAACAGTGGTATCAAAGAGTTCCTGCACCCGTTTACTCGTGGTCTCTTTTGTGAATCCCATAGTTATAGCTTACTTGCTGTAACATGGTCAGACCGCCGCCGCGCATAACCGTTACACCAAAAGGTGAAATACTGAAAGCTTATGTTTCAGCATCAGCGACGGTATATGTACTGATTATGAGAACTCAGGTAGTAAGCCAGCGTGCTTACACTTGCTTTCCGACCACCCATCTTTAATTTCTTTTCGCCATACGGACTACCATTATCCCCAGCCATTTACATAAATTGGTGACTATATTCACATGGAACGACATGCAAACCTCTGCAGTTTGTGCCTATAATCTCGGACCTAGTCCAGCCTTGGGGTCGCATTTACGTTTTCATTCTCTAGCCGTCCAAGCCGGATTCTTGCAATTGGTACCGATTGTGCTATTTATAACGGTTGGCATTCTTCATACTCGGCTCATACGATAATCGTGTCGCCTTCTCAGATGTACTCATGCTATGTCATATGTACCAGCAGTACGGATTGCTCGAGTGCCGTGGACAATTGGGCAGCCTTACTGTCATCATTGTTCTGCTACCGAGACTGGTGCGATTTCTTCACGAATTTCATTGATACGTGCGCAATCTTCCACGAAATGATATAGATAACAATAAAAATACGGGTTGGAGTGTAGATCGTGACTATCGTGAATCGTAGACATCAGGATATGAAGTCGTAGATACATATACAAAGAACGGGATGAAATCAACGTTTACGAAAAAAAAATACCTCTCCACACTTTGCGCTATCGTACATCTGGACGTAATGAGAGGAAGTGACCATCTTAGGGACTCTTGTGGATGCGCATGTGTTGGTTCAGATTGTCACGGCGGCTGAACTCCCTTTCGCACCCCCCGATCGGGCAGACCCACGCTATGTCAGTTAAAAAAATCAGTCACTCTGGCATGCAGGATAAGCAGAAACGTCTGCCTCACGTTTATCGTTCGTGTGAATGGACCGGATGTGCCTTTTGAGGTGCTCGCTTCTGACAAAACACTTGCTGCAGCCATCGACGTGGCAGGTATATGTCCTGGTGCCCTTCTTCGACCTGTCTTTGCTGCGTGCGTAGACGGGACCACCCCCTGAAGAGACTGGAACCTTGCGTCCGCGGGACTTCTTTGTCAGATTGGGAACAGGGATTGGAAGACTGACGTCCTGGCGTCTGCGACGATGAGGCGGTTCTGGCAAAGACTGAAATAGGGGTGAAGCTGGATCAGCTGAGCGGCAGACGGGAGAGTCGGATGCGTCAGAGGGGTAGTATAAGTCTCCATCGCTTTCGGCGTCAGAGTCTTCTTCGAATAGCTGGTTGCCCTGGCGCTGCCAACGAGGAGCACGAATGGGGGGAGAAGGCATGGAAGGCAGATTGTCCGAGCTAGGCTGGGGCGGCGGGAGGGATGACGGAGATAATGATGATCCGTTGGGGATGACAACGTCCGACATACACACGGTACGAAGAGGTGCTTGTTCCACGAGGATCTGCGGTGAAGGGCGTTCTGCACGCACGAAGCCTAGGGCATCAAACTGTCCTTCTTCGTCACTGCTGAACCACTGAGAGATACCAAGCCCGTATGCGGGCTCGACCGAGGGTTGGAGTTCGAAGCAGTCAGATGCAGGAGAGCTTGTGGAACTGCTTCCGATACTGGGGGACATAGTATTGAAATCCGAGTGGTATCCGAGTCCATCGGTGCCATACATGGTGGAATAATTGTCAGGGGCATAAGACGCAAATGAAGTGTCAGCCATCCACAGGTCGGGACTGCCGTCAGGACTGGAGATATCTTCATGGAACATCCCAGCAAATTCAGTCATGACGGATGTCGTACTGAACGAGATATAAGGGGGAGTCAAGGGTATTGTGTACCAGCCAAATAACTGGAAACGAGTATAAGTACTCGGTCTGGAAATCAATTGAATGGGAGTCCATGTTCGCCGAGCCTACCAGTTTAGAACAATTGAATGGCGGTGGCTGACATAGTCTGGAGCCATTTTGTGCCGCTGAGATCTAAAATCAATAGAATGATCTGAGGTGAGACATTTGGAGGACTTTGGGGTACATTTCGAATTTGTCATGGACTCTTGTTCACTCTAAGATGAAATTTTCGGAACTTTATCAGAGTCAGAGTCATTGTACCATCCACGGAAACAAATAGAAACGACCAAGAGAAGGCGCACCAGACGACATCTGCAAATCTTATGGATGGACGTTTTAACACGTGAAAAAATCGCACGTGTTTGGTTCAACACTGCACTGATTGGACCCCTCTTAGTAGATGAATTAAAGTATTGATCGACATATGAGTTCAGACGTTTAACAGCAGTGCTATCTCATGAGAGGGATGTAGAGAATAGTAATTTGGCATGGTCATTGGTCAAGCGCATGAAGAGTGGCGGCCACTGACGTTGACAAGCCGCGGTAGTATTTGGTCAGATGATTAACACGTGAAAACGTGTACCCCAATTATTGTCACTGTGATAATCTTGGTCTGCACGTGCAATTGCGAGTGTCTCTTCTCTAGCATCTCGCTTTTTCTGACAATACTTATTCCATCCTCAACATCGTTCTACGATGTGCGAAAAGTCTTCACCGCCGTCTTTAACTGTTAGCAAACACATGTCATTTGAAGATGAAGACGAGAGTGTGCGCATAGCCGTGAGCGCGCTGGGCGATATGAGGAGTGGTGCCAGAGCTTCTGGAAGCAATGGTGAGTAGACTCCACGCACTTGACAACGATGATATAGATGGCACACATAAGCCCAAATTCCTGCATCAGCTTCGAGCGCGCTATCGACCCCATCCCCTTCTCTGCCGCCGGATACGACCTCTCCAGATTTTGTAGCCAGGGTGTCAAATTTTCCGCTTTTCAACACTGCTCTGCGAGCATATGAACATGGTAAAGCCAGTTCTCGCGTTGTCAAGGTGAGCTTCTTGAAACCTATGCGCGTCTTTATTGACCCCAATCATTCTTTAGTATGGCGCTGAGATAATGGAATCATCAGTTAAGACCATATCCCGTCCTGTAATCGATAGGCTACCCGTTGATGTCAATCAACTGGACGAGTTTGCCTGTAGGCAACTCGACAAAGTCAGTATAGTCTTTTTTGCGCTCAAAATTAGCTTATCTCCGTTCATTTTCGCAGCTCGGTAGATATGGTCCATCGTCAAATACTGACCTCGAACGGATGCAAGTCGATGAGACATCTAGAGAGCGAATACTAGGGGAAGAGCAGACTAGTCGGGATTTTTTTAGCTCACGGCAGGCACACCAAAGCACGGACCCACAACCATGTAATTGCATCATTACATTCTTTTATCATATCATCTCATCTGTCATTATAGCTCGTAGTCCATCCCCTGTTCATCCATATTCGAACGATAACAAAACACCATCCCCACAAAATCAAATCACTACACCTGCTGACCTTCAAGGTCAGCAAGCAGTGGTACAGAGGAGTCGCTGGCAAGCTGTCCTCCTAGAAGCAGGAGGCATCAGCGCTGCTGTAAGCGAAGAAAGTATGCGGCGTCTCAAATACTGTCTTCAATGGCTCCAGGTTTGTCCTTCGTTTTTCCTCCAGATCTCATACGCATGTGATTTCCCACCAGTACGCCACACTGCATATTGATGCCCAGATCCTCATTCTCAGGGATTTTATCGAATCCTTGCATCCATCGGACTCTTCATCCGGCACCGATATCCTTATCTCGCCTTCGCATATGCGGACGCTAACCGACGTTCGTCGTGATATTGTGCAAACCATTCGCCAAGTGGTTGATATTGTAAGCAAATATGCCGGCAGTGCTCTCCCGGAGCCCGCTCGGTCACGTGTCAGGGGCTTCATCTTGCATCTACCTCAGCGCTGGGCAACTGCCAGTGTTAATTCAGCTCCTGGTATTGCAGACGGTGCCCCAGGTGCTAGTTCAGCAGTTGGCGCTGCTGCTGGCGGTGTTGGATCTATGAGACGTGCACGGACCACCAGACATAAGGAACGCAATGCTGGTGGCCCTGACCGCTCCCAAGCATGTACACCTACATCCTCTCGAGCATCATCCCCTTTGTCCTCTGGACGTGTAGGCTTGCGGCCAACGACAAGTGCTGCCACACAGGCTGCACAGCGTGTTTTGGCACTTGCCACAGAAAGTCTAGACATGATGCGTGGTGTTACCGGTGTCGTCAAGGACAGTCTGGACCGTGCTGATGCGTATGTCAAGTTCTTTCGCATAATGTCCTTGTTAACTAATGTATTTCCAGATGGGTTGAGCGTCTGCGCGTTGTTGGCTTACAGCGCCAGCAATCTCATGATGATTCAGAGCCCTTTGACCCTGCCTCATCACTATTCGCACAACACCAAAGGCAGAGTTCTATTCCAGGTCTTTCATCCACTTCCTCGACACCATTCTCTTCTATACCCTCAACGCCTGCGGCTAGTTATTCTACACCAGCCACGCCCGCTGCTTATTCCTCTTCTGATGCCCTTGGAATGGGTCTCCGGTTGGGGGAGGCGAGCGCTCGAACGTCATTGAGCGAGCTCCAACTCGATGGAGAAACATACGAAACGGCGCGTAGTGCGCCGAGAGACTTATGCGAGGGAGAGCCGCAACGACGAAAGCCCGATCGCATATGGGAGAGGCAGAGCCCCGACAATGCTATACCAAGTGGAATGATAGTGGACGGTGTATGAAGATCTGGTACTATATCTTTTCTCTATTCCCCTATCTTTTCTATATCCATGAACCTTATATGAAGCTCCTTTATTTAGTTACGTGCTTGCGTGCTGGCAGGATCTCTAATCGTCTTGTATACGTGATGTACTAGTACTTGGTATTACTCATCCTAATTTATGGCTAGGTCGCTTGAAGGTTATCCCTAAAGCAGGTTCAACGACGTCATCACGACACAACAGTACTAGTGTAACAAAGATAGGGGCGACAACTCGAACTTCACCAAATGTCAACCCGTCCTCGCAACCAACCAGATCTTCCCCGTATAAAGCTCGAGCTGAGCGAAGATGCATTAAAAGCAATCAATGCACGCCTCCTCAAGCTCGATGTCGTCAAAAACACTCAAGCCATCCATTTTTCACCCATGTTCTCAATCTACGCCACCACTGTCCTGCTCGCAGCTATCATAACAGCGTGCCCGGACCTCCTTGATCAGAGGTATGCACGTGTGGAAGAAGCGATGCAGGCGCTGTGCCAGAATTTGAGATTGCAAGAGGATTTGCGGGAGGCGATTGAGAAACAGGATTTTACCGATGTGTTGAATATCGGTGTGTCTTGTGTCGTTGTCGGAAAGCTGAGACTAATCAAGATCATGTAGAAATGCTGCAGAAACCTGCTCGCGCGAACAGTATGTTTCGCTGTGCTCTCATCATCATGCCTGCTTGTCTCATATTTGTGTTTTCGAACCAGTACGTTTGCTTAACAGAAGGAGAACATTATAGGGGCAGAACGAGGTGAAATAGTGTAAAAGTACACCTGCAGTATGCAAATCAGCAAGGAATCAGAGTTTCAGGTCGGAATTGTAACCCAATGTATACACCCACTAATACTTATCACTTTTTCTGACTCTCTTCATGACCGCCTCAACATACCCATCCATATCTTTCTCCCAGCGCTTCACAGCACCATTCCGAACAACATAAAATGCCCTCTCCTCCTTCACATCACTTTCATCATCATCGACGTCATCCTCTCCCTCCATCAGTTGCTTCATGAACCATACGTCATGGCTCACCAACACCAAAGCTCTCTCGAAGCCCTCCAACGCCTCCACCAGCCTATCCACAGTGCCCATGTCCAAATGATTCGTGATTTCATCAATCACAAGCACATGAGGTGCATCATACACAATGATCGCAAACGCGATGCGGTTCCGCTGTCCTCCACTGAGGTTTGCGATTTTCCGCAGAACGGTATTCCCACTCACGCCGACAGTGCCAAAGTGCGCCCGACACTCTTGTTCTGAAAGCCCTGGATGCCGCGAGCGCATCTCTTCAATGGGTGTACGGGTGAGTGTGAGCTGATCGACAACGTGCTGCGAGAAGTAGCCGATGCGGAGCGAAGGGTGTCGGTATACTTCTCCCGTTGTCGGCTGCGTCACCCCCACCATCATGTTTAGCAGCGTTGTCTTCCCGCACCCATTCGGGCCAAGCAGCGCTATGCGAGCATGGGGCCCGACATCCAGGCTGACGTTTGTCAGTACATCCTTGCTCGAATTTGGATAGCGAAACGATGCATTCTTCACAGTGAACACAGATCCGTGGTACCGCAACGGAGGAGGATCTGGAATCTTGATCGACGCCGTCTTCAAGGCCTTCTCAATCTCAATCTCCGCGCGCGCTGACGTGTGGTACCCGGCCCAATAAGACACTTTGAACCGCTTCCCGTCCTCCGTCTTCTCCATTCCAAGGCGTTCAAGCTTCTTCTTCCGGCTTGCTACTTGCCCGAGCCGCTTGTCATCCCCTGTCGCACGAGCCTGCTGTACATTGTGCTGGATGCTTGCCACGAGCTTCGCTCGCTTCTTCACCTGCACATCCAGTAGAGCCTGCTTCCGTACTCGCTGCTCCTCGCTTGTACTTTCGTAATCTGCAAACGACCCCGCGTGATATTTCAACACTTTGTCCCGTAGAATGATCGTTTCCGTTGTCACCGCGTTCAAGAACGCTCGGTCGTGCGATACAATGACAAGTGTCAGCCCCGCTGTTTCATTGATCAGATATTCTTGCAGCCAGAGGATCGCAGGCAGGTCAAGGTGGTTCGCTGGAACCATGAATAAGTGGATATTATGTCATATAAAATGACTTACTTGGCTCGTCGAGTAGGAGGATGTCTGGACCAACAAATAGCGCTTTTGCAAGCGCAATCTGCATCCGCCATCCACCGCTCAGGGTCTGTACCCTGGCATCGATTTGAGCCTCCTCAAATCCAAGCCCTCGCAGGATCTTCCTCGCCTTTGCTTTCCGCGCATCGAAATTGATCAGCGCGAATTTATCAAAGACGTCGGTAATGAGTTCCGTCGCCATGTCAGATGAGATGTAGACTTGTGGATCCTGAGCCTTCAGTGCAGCGAACTCGGTTTCTATCGCGAGCTGCGCCTGACGGGCGTCATGTCCACGTGTGCCAGAGCGTTTCTGTGCGAGTTGTTGTGCGGTGATCACGCGAGCTTCCATTCGAGAAATGAGAATGCTGTGAAGCGCAACATTCAGCTGGGCAGTGTTTGACGTGGTGGACTGAGGTGCATCTCCGAGTATTGCATGCAAGACTATGGGAGCGGATTTTAGCTTGCGCAAACTGTATAAGAGACAATTTACCTTCATATTCGCGCAAAACCTTCATGCATTCTTTGTCTGCTTCAAGTACTTCATTCAACACAGTGGTGTTCTCGTCAAAGGTCTCGAGCTGCGCGATATGAAGGATATTGAGATTGCTTGGCATGGCAAGAATATTATCCGCCATGCATCTCATTAACACTGTGTTATCCACATGTAAGCACGTTTATGTACCACAAAAGAGAGCACTGACTCGTCTTTCCGACCCCATTCTGCCCCACGAGACCATATCGCACGCCATCCTTGAGCCGCAGATGTGCATCGACGAGGAGATCTAGGTTGTTGACGCTAATGTTGACGGTATGCATGTCAATATCTTTAGACGATGTCTCGAGGGTCTCGCGGTGAAATCGGCTCTGCTGGGCAGTTGCTACAATTTTGGGCTCTGCTTCTGTAGGTTGTGATGGTGAGGCGGAGGCAGCAGCAGCCTTCTTTTGCGCGCGTTTCATGCGACGGGCTTCGATAGATGACATAGGTTTCGGTTGGCCAAGAGGTGGAGCATCATCCGTCGAAGGGCCAGACGCCGATACTGACATCGAAGTCCTTCATCAATACTACCACATCAGACTCAAAACGAGAAAGTGAAAGCTGAACGCAAACCCTGAAGATGTCTTCACATTTCCCTTGCCAAGGGTAGCATAAAACTGATTGATCTTCTCAGGGTCCACCTCAGCCTCGTCAAGAAACATCTCCGTGGCGTCTCGTATGTCCTTGGCTTTATCGGACATGGACATGACGGTGAGCATGGATGTGAGGTAGTTGAGCGCGCTGGGCTCCAGGGAGATCTGAAAGTCATCTAGATGGGCTTTGAACTGGGTTATTAGTGAATTTGAGGCCATGAGGATGTTGCTTGAGTCGTAGGTCTATTCTTGATGGGCCCATGTTGTCCTAGGTATTAAAAACTTGGTGACGACTCACATCTAGTTCGACGTTCTCTCGGTACCGTCTCGCATGCAGTGCTATTATTAATTTTGGCGTGGATCAAGCAGACTGTTTTGGGTTTGGCACCGGAATTTTGCTATTCCTTGTCAAGTTACTACAGCCACCTGCAGGCCATGGTCGTAGTCAGACCTTGAAGATAATACCCTCGGGACCGAGAACCGCCTTTGTGACGTGGTTTTCTGTTCAAAACCAATCATGGGCTGATACTATCGGACGCGTTACTAATGGTCAACATCAAGAGCTCAAGCTTCAAGCTTCAAGACTAGCCGCTTAAGCATCACTTCACGCTGTTTCATCACCTTTCATCGCGCGAAACCGACGAGAATCTTGGCAGGACCCATGCCATACGCCAGGATAACGTTTCATCTGCGGGGTAACGCATGCGTTGTAAATGGACCAGATCAGACCCTCCTCAGGACAAATCGAGTCGTCAAGACAACTTCAATCACACCGAGTCCAGTTTTGTCATTGAATACACGTCTTCCAACAGGTATAATCCGTTCGGGATACTTTGCAATGCAGTGTCCATTCCATTTAGCGGCCAATGAGGTGTGCAGGACAGCAAATCATCATCCATAACGAGTGAAGATAACCTATGTATCGGTGACCTCAAATAACAGGTGCAAGAGCCACCTGGAACCAATCCACCGTCTCAGTCACTTTGACATTGTATACTCCTCCAAGCAAACATGTCTCTTCCCGAGAACACAACCGTGCTTATTGTCGGTGCAGGCCCCGCGGGTCTCACAGCTGCTCTTTCTCTCGCCCACCACAGGTGCCATGATTTCGTTATCGTGGATGCCGTAGCCGAAGGACTGAGAATGTCGAGGGCGGTCACCATACACTCTGCAACCGTCGAGGTAAGCTATCTGTGCGTTCATAAGAACGCCTAACTGATGTTCTCATGATCTTAGGCTTTAGCCAGCATCGATGCAGCAGATGGCTTACTGTCTCAAGCCATCAGGGGAAAGGGCTTCAAAATCACATCCCGCAGTTCGCAAATTTTTGTGGCCAAATTTGACTCTTTAAAAAAACATTCCGCCCACCCTTACGCGCTCTATATCCCTCAAAATGTAACGGAGCTTGTACTTGGGCAGAAGTTGCAGAGCCTTGGTGTTCAAGTGCAACGTCCGCACAGGGTAGTAGGAATGAAACAGAACGAGAAGGACTCTCGCGTCACCGACGTGTCCTTTGAGGACGGTCAAGTTATCAGAGCTAGATATATTATCGGCGCAGATGGTGCCCACTCAATTGTGAGACCTCAGTGACCGCTAGCTTGGCTTGGTGGAATGTCTGATGACCATTTCCAGATCCGTACCATCGCCGGTATGGGGTTCTCTGACCCAGACGGCCCGAACGCAGCCGAAAACGCATTGGTTCAAATGGTCTCTGCAGATGTCACATTTGAGCCTGAACCTGTCGATCCATTCACCCTCAAGGGCTACCTCAACGGCACGGTTTTTTCAGGCAATTTCTTTTTTTTTGTACCGTTTGGCAACAGCTTCAATGCCGAGCTCACAGGAGATGGAAAGCCCACTACGAAATCAATCTTTCGCGTAGGTTGTGCCATACCTGGAAAGAACGGAGAGCCCCCCCGTGCTCCACCAAAAGAGTACATCCAGAAGCTGATTGACACATACGGGCCAGCATGCATAACATCAGATCCGTCCCTTAACCCGAGACCTGTCAAAATCGATCAGCTGGTCTGGTCAACACGTCACAGAAGCCATTCCGCCATCGCCGATCGTATCTTCACGCGTTTTGGAGCCGCTATTTTTCTAGTTGGCGATGCAGCCCATATACATTCCCCTGCTGGCGGCCAGGGCATGAACCTGGGCATGAGGGACGCGATCTTCCTTACAGAGGCTATCACGAAGCATATTCAAGCTTCTGCAGAGAATCCCGATGGGGATGATGCCATTTTGCAGGAAATTGCGGAAGCTCGTCACGCACGAGCACTAGAAATCATCGGCTTTACCAGTACACTTTCGAATCTCGCAAGCCTTACGTACGATCCATATGCTTGGTGGATGCCGTTCAGTGGGGCCTCCTTCCGCGATTTAGTGCTACGGATATTGGGCGGATTTGATTGTGTGCAGTCGAAGGTTGCATGGGGCCTGAGTGGGCTTGGAAGACGGTAATCGCATATTTTTGGATGTTTTTATACGATAATTCACGACATTTGTATTTCATTTCTCAAGATAGGATAAACATAATTCTATCAAATGTTCCAAACTTCAAAGTGGTGTACTTATTGGCTGCGGTCATTGAACGAACTTAAATCTCTTAAATATGCTCTTGAATCTTGATCAATTAGAGGGTGCCAGACTGTAGGCTGATCGTTATAAAGACAGTGAGCGCGATTGATACCAAAGCACACATCCTAAGTTACTATTATAAGATGAAGCAATATATATTGGGCTGCAATACGAAGACGACGGAACGGGAGTTGCGCAGACCTGCGCGAATATACTAGTAGGACGCGCCGGCTTGTCAGCGAGGTCGTATTTTACACGCCTCTGGTAAAATGAAGCAATCAAACCAACGTGTCATGCATCTTTGTGGTTACCCTGCGTCTCTCTCTTCCAAAGAATTCGAGATGTCGTATTAACGGTGAAGTAAATGTGAGGTTTAGTAGTAATGGCTTTGTTGCCGATTGGGGTTCGTGCGGTGCTACGGCTGGGCAGAACTATTCCGAGTCCGAGGTAAATCCGCTGGCAGAACTGGCAGAGCCTAACATGTGCGGGAGTTCTGCAACATTCAAGTTCTGCCGGAAAGGTTCTGCCATCTGCCTGGCAATGCCAATTCTGCCCACAATACTAGCTATCATATGGCCATGTGCTGGGATTTATCGTAGATATGTATCCATTTGAAGGTACATCCACGCAACAGTAATTCCAGAGAACAATATAAAAACCAGCCGTCTTCCTACTATTGCCTTCAGAATTACCTGAACACACACGAGTCGCAAACAATGCATTTCTCCTTTGCAACTGTCCTCGCCGTCATTGCTGCTTTAGTAGCATCGAGCTCTGCCATCCCCTCTACCAGTGATACAGATGGATGTGGCTCGTGGTGCAATTGACTCACAATGCCAAGATAAACACTGCTTTGAAAATGTGTGAGTATAAGCATTTCCTGGACCTGATAACATGACTCACCTGCATGACAGAGCACTCTGGGATTCTGCAGTGAGCCATATTTTTGCTTTCACATCGGTGGAGTATGGCCGTTGACACTGACGCGCGATTTACTAGTGATTTGCAGAGTTGATAGATGCAATGTGCATTCAGTCCACTTGCAGCTTGAGTAAAGTCACTCAGAATAAACTGCGGCGCTGCTATCAGTATTTGTCCCATTCGAAGCAATCATATTTGCCGTGTTCTACAGATCAGATATATGTGCATGTCCTGCATCCACTATGAGAAAGGCAGGGCCGCATGTAAATATGCCTTCGCAGTCCACCTTTTTCTCTGCGCAGGTACAAGCATCCACTTTCAGCCATTCTTCTAGCGGTCTGTTCCTGCTGAGGAATTTGCCCCCTTCATACCGAAAACAGGTCCAGGTGAGGACCCAGATGAACGATTCGGCATCATGCGCGTACACGTGCTCGACCTTGCCTGCCATGAACTCTGGTATGAGAAGGTCTAACGCCATGAATGGTACTGTCCCTGTGCGCTCAAGGCTGTTGGGACTGTCTCGCTGAAACAACGATAAGTCGTAGTCATTGAGCACGCCTGTGAATTGACCGTGTGTGCGGTATCCCGTGAGATTGCTGGGGCTGACATCCCGGTGATGCTCACCTATCTTCCAGAGGGCGTGATGGCCTGTCGGAGTAGTGAATTGATGATAAAGAGCAGGAGAAGGGAGAGAGGGAGAAACGTACAGTTCACAATTTGCCACCATGCGGTAAGGAACTCCTTGCTGGAGAGCTTCGTGATTGGGATAAGCTCTCTAGACGTGATGATTGTCAAAATACGGCTGCCTGGTCTGACCCGTTCGACGTCCTTCAGTCCTGGTGCAATGCTGATTTTGTACGTGGATGTTTTTTTAAACCGGTAGAACAAGACAAGCCCCCGGGGATGGCTCAACGCATCGATATCTATTTGCGTAATCTTGCAGACCTCGTAGAAGATCATTGGCTCGCTCTGATGTGTGTCTTCTGGCCAATAGAGGTTGGCAACTAGCTCGGGGGATTCAAATTGGCTGCAGGCCCGATAGCGCCTTGCTCTTAACTGAAAATACAATAGTTGTACGTCCGCGCATACAGATACAAGTCATGCACTTATCAGGACAATTTTAGTACCCTTGGCCATCGCATCGCCCGAAAATCCGGGCTTATGCTCGAATGCACGGTTAAGGCCTGTTCACCTTGCCTGCAGCTTCTGCAGTATGGCGCGTGCCTTACATTTCCCGAACTTATGGACATCTTGCGCGATCCATGGCCGTATGTCATCGACTCTGCGTAATGACGAAGTTTAATACAGGTGATGCTGGCAAAACAATTTGAAAGGAAGGGCTGACGCACGGACTACTTATCATGTACCGTGAATGTCTGGGGCGTTCGGCAAACGCGGCTGACCGGAGCTGAGTTTTAATTGTATTTGGTCACGTGTTTGCTTCCAAAATTCAGGTCACAATATATAAATTGAACTCCGAATTGAGCTCCGCACGGGTCAGCCACAGTCCCAGACTGGATGTCCTCGATGTACCGGACTTTGAAAAACAATGAGATATAGTTAGAGTTGCGCACCTTTTTCGACACACTTTCTTAGACTGGTGACCTACATACTAGTCGGCCTAGCCACTTGTACAGATCAATTCGAACTGGAATGTAATTACTTACAGCAGCGTCACATGATGGCATGATAGACCTGGTTACTCTGCAGTGCGTCTTGATCAGACCAAGATAAGCGAAAGCTTCGTCGCGGCCAAGTTGCTGTATTATCAGTCCAGATATCCTGCATGTATCCGCAGATCAGTACTGTAAGCAAAACCGAATTCAGTGTTCGTACGTTGGTGTCAGAACGTGACACAAAACTGGCCCGAAACACAGATGTACGCTCCATTTGCATGCTATCTACTGACTTGTATCTAAGACTAACTTCTGATTTTCATGCAGGTCGTCATCACACTTGTTCCGTCGCTTGGGGATAGGAAGAGTGTGATGAGTAATAGCTTTAGTCCAATACCTTGGAAGGTACGCAGCCATCACCGTAATCTAGAGTCAAGACAGGTAGTTGACGCGTCATTGTTCCAGATCCTTACGTTCCCAGCCTATAGTGAAATAATATCTTTCCCGAACTTGGCCTGAGTACTTAAAACATTGCTGTGACAGGCACTACATACCGTTCAGTTACTATACACTCAGAGTAAAGGGGTATCATTATTTCCTTATTCCATTGACTGATGGAAATTTCAAGGATTGCCGTGTGCACAGTCAAGGAAAAGGAAAATGGTGTCCTGATCCCCCAGCTTAGTGAAATACTTACGGTATGGCAAAGTTTGTGTCACCCGAATGCTCGTTTTCATGCTACTTCCTGAAGAAAGGTGGCGAAATCGTACTCAAGTTGGCGCAGAAGGAAGGCGGGTTGTATTGGGAGTTAGCTTTTCCTCCTCCGCCTCATATTGAAAAGAACGTCCACGATAGTAACAGGAGCATCACTGGAGAACCAGTATATGTCTCAACCGATTTCGGGGATAAGCACGGTGACCGACGAGTCACGGTCGCCTCCGATGTGTTGCAGCAGACTGCACGAACTCAAACTACACCTGCATTTGCCAAGGACAATTTCATAATCAAGAATGAGTACGAGGATACCAGGCTTGCTCTATGCTTAACCGAAGAGGACGGTCAACGTCTGCTTATCGTTGATTTGGGCACACTCCCGTCTGTTCCTGTGCGACTTCTTAGTGACTGAGCTGACGACACCCCTTGCAGAAAGAATAAAAGATTCACAATCAGTGGGCCGTTATATCTACAAGCCTACTCCATGGCAGAACAAATGGGTGCGTTTATGTGTATTTACAACAAGGAATTACCTAAATCTCCTCGTTGTCCCCAGTGGGAAAGCCGCTCGATTTGACAGATTGTGCTCCATTACTGGGACCTATGGCTATAGTCGATCTCCCCGAGGTGTGTTTCATCCAAGTATTGCTAACGCTAAGCATTGTTATTCACGTCATTGTTATGAAGTCTGCATTCATACTTTATACCAAGCGAAACGGGTCAACCATGCTTAAGCAGCCCTAGTGTCTTGCATTTCAAAATGGAACAGCACAGAGGTTCGCAAATAGCGATGGGCCGCCACCGTTGTTACATACCGGATTTCAATGCGATCTAAGTTAAAAATTACCATCCCTTGCCAAATTTTCGTAAGCGCTGCCTCAAATAGCAATCGAAGATCATAGATATGGATCAGACTCGAAGCCAACGAAGGTCCATCTGGGGTGTACCCTCCCCAGCATTCTAATAATGTAGAATACATCCTCGATGGACAGTGGTCAACCAGAGTAGATAATGTCGGATTTTTTGGCTAGCAGTTTACAAAAGATACATCAATATAGCACTATGGGCTACTGAAGTCTTGAATGAGCCTGCGCTAATGGCACGCCTCGAGGCAGACTCGGATACTTCAAGTTAGTCAGTGCTGCAAGCGCTAACACACCGGCGGTTTAGGAATTTCTCACTATGCAAGATTTTCTTTTAAATGTTCATGATAGTGATAAAGTTGGCATTCTCACTATACATTCTGACACAGTTAATCAGTTCTACATTTGACTTGCAAGTCTTGGATCGAAAACATGAAGTAGGAGGAGCACAACACCCTCAGCACTAAAGTTCGAGAGTGTCCGCCGAGAAACAAATGTATTTGACAAGCCCGGCGTCCCCAGCTGAAAAGCTCTGGGTCACTGGGGCTAAAAGTACAACAACATTTAAATTTGAAACAAACCTTGCATAGTGAAAAACTCCTAAACCACCAATACAAGCATTCGAATTTCGACCGCATCTGACTTGGAATCGTGCGCGCTGAATCTGTGGGTCAAGTTTATATGAGTACCGATAGTCTCTACTAGCCAAAGAAATTTTATTGCTATTTGCATAATTTGAATCTCGAAAAACCTCGCAAGATGATGCTCTCATCCAAATGTTATATGCGCTTTAATAGAGCTTGCAAGTCGGCCCAAAGACCAATAAGATCATAATACCCCCTCCAAACATTTACACTCCACAAGTCTCAGGACAACCACGAAAGATAGAACCGCGAGATATGGCTGATGAGTGCGTCATAGGAGTGTGTATGATGGAAAAGTACTGATTTTGGAAGCATGTGGCAAATTTGAGGAAGATGAGTCTCCCCAACCAGGGGCTAGGCAGGGTAAACGAAGAATATTAGCACTTTATTCCCAGTCAGTTACAGGGGGGTTGGATGCTGGCCAACATCACAGGCAATGGAATTCCGAGTCGTAGTTCTCTGCTGGCTGAAAAATGTGCGCCCATTAGAAGTTGACGTGCTCCACAGACTCGGAGGGTCATATTCAAGCCCGGTCCTGAACCCAAGCTCGAGGAAGCGTCTTAGTTTTTCAGACGAAACGTATTGAATTGGTTTTCCAAGCCTTAGAAAGGGAACAGAAAAAGGCGATCAAGTGCTTTAGCGAGAACGATGGCATTCTCAAGTACGATGCGTTAGTTGTATAATCTGTTGTCGGGGAAATTGGAGAGGTATTCGGTATGAGGAACGAGTGGGTTTGCTTTTGCGATGACAGTATGGGTGCAGTTGTGCATCATGATAGAGAGCGAACCCGATGGTGAATAAATGATGCGCGAAGAAAAAGCATGTGACCGATGCGAATCGTAGCTAGTACGGCAATGAGTAATGAGCATCGCAAGTTTTCTGTTTTGGAAGTGGGATGTGGCACTCATTAGGCTTTAACTGACCGGGGAAGAACCTAGTCGTGTGCTGTGGGATGCGCGCATCCGGTACGCGCTTTTTTCGAGTGTCACGGACGGAGACTGGAACGTGTATCCTGTAGACATGATCAAGAGAGGAGAGAAGATAAGCCAAGAGGTAGGGGAAATTCAAATATCTGATATCAATCTGGACAAACTTCCCATGCCACCACCACCACCGTCACAGTGTTATGGTCACGCTAATTAGACCACCGAATGCTGAACGCAAATACTAAGATTGTCATTTAACTGATCCATTGTGATGAACGTCATTCCAGGACTGAGCTTTTCCACCACCAGCACCGCGGCGGCAACACAAATGGGATGCGTGTGTCAAGGTTTTTACCTCATGTGTGGGGCGTCTAATGAGCCACGAGTTACGCACGAGGCAGAGAAAGGTCGATGAATATTGTAATTCAACTTGTCCGCATAAGAACGCCCAGTTGACGAACCTCTGCAACCTAGTGCAAGACGCTTGCAATCCTTCGACCAAGTCTACCTCGATTGTACCCCATAAGATCGACCTCCAATCAAATGGCGCTGCTCGCTCCAAGCATCACACCAGTTCGAGTGTTTAAAGATCATGAAGAACATATAAATGCAGTCGCAGTTTTACCTGATCAACGGCGCATGGTCACAAGCTCGGCAGATAATACGCTTCGTCTGTGGGACTTGAAGGAAGGTGTTGTGTTGAAGAAAATGGTGGGGCATCATGCCGATGTGAAAGCATTGGCGGTATCACAGGATGGGCGGTTAATAGCCAGCGGTGATCTGAACGGAAAGCTCATTGCTTGGCATGGAAACACCGGAGATTCTCTCACCCCAACTATCAAAGCTCACGAAAATATCCATTCCCTGGATTTTTCCCCAGATGGCTCAATGCTAGCAAGTGGTTCATGGGACGACACGACCAAGCTGTGGAACACGACTACGTGGCAACCGTCAGGAGCACCAATCAGTTGTGGTGCAGATGTCAACTGCGTTCGGTATTCGCCATCCGGTAAACTGCTTGCCATTGCAACAGACCTCGATATCCAGATTTATAAATTACTAGGCAAGCGTGACTGCGTCGCGAAGTTCGAGGGTCACGCAGCGTTCAACTCATTCAACTATTCTCTCGCCTGGACGCCCGATGCTACATGCCTTCTCTCAGCGGGCACTACCATACGGGCGTGGGATTCATCGACCTGGGAGCCGGTTGGTGGTCCATGGAAAGGTCATACCGATGCTATCAACTCCATTGTCGTCGATGCTTCTGGCACGCTCCTTGCATCTGCATCTAGTGATAAATCTGTACGCTTCTGGCGGCTCTCGGATCGGCCAATGATGCACTCCAGCAAAGTGCGGTGCGTCGCCTTCTCCGTAGATGGCAGGCATATCCTCAGCGGAGGTGATGATCTCAAGATATCAGAGTGGAAACTACCCAAGGGACTGTCACTGGTAAGTGCCCGGTTATTTCTTATCCTCAGTCTCATCTCACAGATGTGATGAAAAGACTCAAGGCTCTGGTTTCAAGGCATGTATCTACCTTTGACTCTTGTCGTACAACTCGAACATACTTCACGTAGATCCTTGTTATCAACGCGGCAGCCCGCAATGCATGTATAACTGGGGACCTGCCTGCTGCTATACAGTTGTTCACACAGCAAATAGACGCCGATCCCAACAACTTTGATTCCTATGCCAATCGTTCATTCGTCATGGCGAGACAGTTTGCCTGGAAGGACGCACTTCAGGATGCAACCAAGGTAAGATACTCCGACCCATCTCGCTCCACTTAATACGGGCTAACCTGGATGGTGACATAGTCGGTCAGCATCGAGCCCTCCTTGATCGGCCATATCTCCAAGGGCCTCTCCCTATGCGGAAACCAGCAGGTGCACGATGCAATGGCAGAATTTGACCTTGCGTTCGCGTTCACGAACGCAGACCCAAAGACGACTCATTTCCTTTTCTTGATCAAGGTAAGTGATTTTTGAATCATACTCTACGCTTCATCATGGTTTTTCAGGCCATCGCATTGTTCAATACCAATCCCTGCGAAAAGACCATGCTGCCTATCCAAGAGCTAGCTGCTCGTCCCAATGCCGATCCTCTCGCTTGTCGTGTCGTAGAAGTGAGTGTGATACATTCCGTTAATATCATGTTCGTGTACTCACCGAATTTGCGCTTCGCATACCAGGCGTATATGCGAGTTCAGCTTGGGACCATTGCCATGGATGGCGCGCTTCACAGTGATGCTGCTGGCCACTTTACTGCCGCAGTCAACGCTGGCGCTTTCTTTTCAAAATTGGACATCCATTTTATGTACGAGGACTTTGTTGTGGTACGTTGAATGATGCGACAATCTGATCCATGCTCAACTGCGTGCTTGTGCAGCTTTTCGGCTGGGACCTCAAGTCCTTGTGGCAAACCGCAAACCAACAACGCTGTCACGCACTTGTTCGGGCAGGTAAAGTTGGGGCTACCCTCGAAGCGTATCGATATATGATGGACATGAGTGACGAACCCACGAAGGCCATCTTCCGTGCTTGGGTTCCTGGCAAGTCTTCTGTGTGTCACTCATACTACAATTCTCACTTTTGTGTTCCTCAGCTCTCGATGAAGAATGAGCTAAATGCCCACAAAGGTGTTGCCCTCGCAACGAGCACCCTTCTGATTTGTACCCGGAACCACTTATCACATTTTGTGCTGTATCACAACACGCAAGTAGGCCCAAGATCATGGAGTATTCCCTACGGACTTGATAGTATTCGCAGTCAAGAGTTTCAAAGTCGGCACAATCCGCTACTTGCTTATGGTTATTGCCGATGATGCTAGTAATCGAACAAAGCTGACAGATAGATATGAATATCACAAGGGTTTGAGGATGGAAGGAACGTCTTGTATAATCTGGGATTGGTATCTAGTGAATAGTGTACGACGCAAACTATATTGAGTTAAAATCAGGATTCGGCGGTTAGAACTTAGCGATAGTTGGTAATGCCAATCATAAGGTATGTGTTGATACTAGCGGCAGTGAGTGACGACATGAAACAAGGATACTCAGGACATTGATGCGATGATCGCGATGCTACTAGTAGTAGCGGAAGTGGGTATATCTGAAGAGTTGGAAATGCCTTGAGTCCAACAGTTACGTTCCGGACCTTTCGGTTGGGTCGGACAAGAGTCGGAGGTGTTTGTGCTTGTTGAATTCTCAAGTTAATACACGTGCAACCTCAAGCACAGCCATTTCCAATAGAACCAGTAGGACAAAAATACTCTCTATACGCTTTCTCCTTTTGCCGGACCTAACTTATCACAGGAGCGGAAAGACCTCCGGACTCTAATTCTTCTTCGATGATCTCCTAGTCAAAAGGCTTTTTATCTCGAGCCCACCATGCACGAC